CCTCGTGAGCGATATGACCGATCTCTCCGAGCTAGGGACTCCGCCCTAAAGTTGTAGACGAACCAGCGTGATTTATTTTTTTGATAAAGACATGTCTCACTTGGCCATTTGAATCGTACAACACTCAACCCCAAACACAGTTCATCTTGAATAGCGCCAATACCATGTTACGCAATTGAGGCCGTTCGATACCATCTAGCCTAAATGGATCAATTCCAATACATTGAAGAAGTTGTGAGCTCGGACGCGCACTAGCAACTCAGGGGTCAGACACCACTGCCTCCTAATCATGCAATGATACTGTGCACTTTGGGCACTGCATCGTAGACCAGCCAACAGGGGCTTAGATATGCGCTAGTGATGAATCGAGCGAGTGCATCGAACGTTATTGCGTAACCGCGCTTCGCGGATGATCCATATGTGCAACGTGTATATGATTTTCCAGGTTTTAGTAATATCGCAATAAATTACGATGAAACAATATGCCCACAAATTCTCCGAAGCGCCCACATCCTAGCCCTGTGTATCACGGGGGCCTAGCGTTGGCATCGCGGGATGGCGGAACACCCCTGATCGGAGTTTAAGCCGTCCTTTTTTGTTTTTATTCTTACCGGATACCACTACCCGATGTGATTATCTGTGAAGAATATATGGGAGATAAGGTATCGTTGGCTTGGACCTGTTATAGGTTGCCTTCCTGACGAGGTAATCAGATTAGGGACCTCGGGAGGATATTGTCCTTGTTGATCCCTTGAGGCTCTGACTTGTCTTGTGTTATAGGTCCGTTAATTACTTTGTAGACTAAAATGGCTCGGTTGAATCAACCGAGTGTGCCGTGTTTTGTCTAAATAATAAAAATAATAAAAAGGCACCAAGTCTGACATTCTAGATCGAGAATACGTGGGGTGACAGCATAACACGGATGATCAGCACCAGGGCATCGATCTAAAAGTGTCCCAGGAAGGCGTCAAATGTCGCACACGACCAACTTGAAACAATATCAACAACATAGTGGATAGCGGAAGATACGGAGACTAGTGGGTCTCCCGCAAGCTCCAGGGGGAAGTTCTCGGCCGTGTGCCTGGATAACATATTTATTGTAGGTATTATGACAAGAGTATACTAATAACATCTTTTATCTTTTATAAATTGTCCGGTTATGTCTCCGGATACGAAGTCATACATTGGATGGAGACTAATGCAATAGTAATGCAGTAGTTATGATCGGGAAAGGATTTCCCAGCGCATGGACAGGCGCTCAAACTCGCAGTCTGACTGGATAGTCTAGTCCCTGCGTGGATCAAAGTTTACTGTGGGTATAAAGTCGGACTACTCCGTACGAAAGCTCCAATTACTCCGTACAAGGTGCTTTTGAGGAAATGAGAAGAGTTGGAGTTTATCCGCTAAAATTAGACAGATCATTATAGTCAAGTTCGGAGTACTCCGTACTCCGTACCCAGTGTCTATGTAACATTCTATTGAACTCCAACCTGGACAAACTATTTCAATACATTACAGATAGGCGGAATAAACCGCTTTCTCCGATAAGAGCAAAAAGAAGACAAATTGATACCGGAGAGATTATTGACCGGAGAACGTCGCAAAAACCGAGCTATTTTAGCCTGTTTCTGCGTCAAACGTGAGAGCGGTTAGATCTGATGTGATTGACCGGCTGCCATGGGCGTGCATTAGCGGTATTAATCGCAAGCATGATGACGGAGCGAACTCTTTTTCATAGGAGCAGACTGGGCCGGTACTCCGTAGATCAGATCGATTCTCTAGCGTGAGGTACTATGCAGCTTTATACACACACTCACTCTATGTATACACACAGCAATATAGATGTCTCGAGCCGAGAAACACAAGCACAACAGTTGTCTGACATTGTAATGCGCTCAACGGTCTCCATTGGAATTCATGCATGTCATACCTAGAGCGTCAACTCCACTGTCTCCATATAGCAGCGTGGGTCTCATTGACAACATCCCACATCGCCACAATGCACAGCCAAGGTCGATCTTCCACCTTCACATGTTCCCACTATAATGTATCTATCTGCCCATTCTGTCTCGAATGCTGATATTTCCACGCTACAAATTAGCAGCGGGTACTCCGTGCACCACCCGCCACTAACCAGCGCAGCCCTGGATCATTGAACCGACTGGTCCCAGCCTCTCGTCGCACCCGACTCGGCCCCAGGCCAACTCACAGCACCGAAAAGCTACTGTAGGTCACGTCACATATAGTCCGCATAAATAGTATTTAATGGCGCATTGGCGATCTGGCACGGTCCATCCTCTGGCAGTGAGTAGTGACTTGGCGTAGCATATCCCTGCTAATACATTTCATCTATTTGGAGTATTGGAGTATTGGAGTATTGGGTTTTGCATAGGCGAGAATAGCGAGTTATGTCCTCGTAGTCCATATCTATCTTGTATGTTTCTGGGTAAATGGAAGTGAATCCATGTAAGGGTGTATTTTCCGCTGTACCTGCTCTGCTGATGTTTTGCATTGCAGATTTTGCCCCTCCCCCCTTAGGCCTCGGCTGGATTGGCGGAATTGTCTCAAGTTAGTTCCGCAGTTGAATTAGCCCTGGAGGTACATCAACGTCATTGGCTTGTATGGAGAGAAATTCGCGCGAAAATATGTCTATTTACTATGATATTTAAGACAAAATCCTTTTTTGTTCACCACCCTATCTGCAGGAAAGGGCCTAACTCCGAGCATAATGATGAGGAGCAAAAAATCCACAAAATTCGAATGGTATATGAGCAAGACATGGCACATGAAATTCCCGAGTCAAAAATAGTCGGAGCGTAGATACATTTTCTTCGTCTAGACACTGATAGTCTTGAAAACACTATGAAACAGAGTTTGGTTAGCTTGGTTCATAAATCATTATCAAGAATATAACATACCTGAATCCATTGCTGCCGGTAGCCATGAGCGTACCGGGCATCTGTGCCTGCCAGTGGAGTTCCTTGACAGACTCCATATAATGAACGAACAGCAGTTGCGAAGGAATATCCACCATGTTGGCCTGGCGGCTTTCTTCGTCGTCCAGCTCGACAGCCAGATCCCAGAGTGTGACAGTGTTATCGGCGGAGCCAACAGCAACCACACTGTCGTCTGAGGGGTGCCATTCGATGGTGGTGATCGGCTCTTTGTGGAAGTCGAATGATGCAACGGGGGTAGAGGTGATCTGAGCAGAAGGTGCCGCGGCATTGGGCTTCCAGTGACGCAAATCCCAGACCGCCCATTGTCCATCGTCGGCACCAGTGGCCAAAAGGTGAGCGGTCTGGTTAGACCAGCTCATAACGTTCACATCGGTGTTGGAGACCTGGACGTCCACGGCAGGCTTGCGCGACTTGGATCGCACATCCCAAACCTTAACGCTACCGTCACTGCTAGCGGATGCGAACACGTTACGCTCGTTGGGAGACCACTGCAATTCCTCAATTGAGGAAGCGTGGCCTGTGAACGGCCGGGTGTCGGTAACCCAACCGCCACCTTCGGTGCGAGTGGTGGCATAGATCAATCCGTTATTGTCACCGGTCAAGAGCTTTCCAAGAGGCTGAAGCGGGGACCAGTCCAATGCATATCCTTCGGTCTTGTGCATGCGCAGGGTGGAAAGAGGCTTAGATGCTGAAGGAGGAAGAATAGTACCAGGAACATCAAAGCTGGAAAGGTGGGCGGTAACATCGTGAATGACAACTTGCGAGTTCTCCAACCAGGTCGCGGTGAGGGTCTGCGGGGGCTTGGAGTAATCACCGGACTGTGAGGGGGTCTGGTGGGTACGGATGCGGTTTGTCGTTGAGCCAAGCGGGATCGACTTGGACTCGAGAATGGGCTCTCCCATGTCGTCGTCATCGGAGTCGCTGTCTGAATCCTCGCCTTCTCTCTCCATCTTGCTTAGGCCGCTCATCTTGAGCACCATGAGTTCGTTGTCTTTGGATTTCGATCCCTCTGCTTGTGTACCGGTAACAGCGTAGACAGTAGCGGGGAAGGTCTTGCGGTTATCACCGAGCGAATCACGCACAATATCGAAGGAAAGGCATGGCCATGGTGTGCTGAGTGTGTGAAGCATATCGTAGGTGGAGGGATCGGGCGAAAGTGTCTCTCCAGGAGCCAGTTTTGTTCGTCCAGGAATGAAAGTCTCCTTGTCAACATCCATAGCTTCTATAAAATTCAAGAAAAAGTTTAGTTTCGGTGGAAAATATTGGGATGTTCCATAACGATTGCGCACCCTTCTCTTCTTCCTCACGCTCAGCATCTGGGCGACCATCCACTCCGGCTTCTAGGATCTCATCTTCACTCTCAAATTCATCCTCGAACTCGTCTTCGAACTCCCCCGCCTCGTTCATTGTGGCATCTGCAATTGGCCGCTCACCAGCCTTGAGGGCGGCGGTATTTTCATCTGTTTCGGCACTTCTCTTGGACATTTTAAAATCCGTTAAAAAGTGTTTAATTATAAGAGTGTCGAGACCGAGGAGGGGTGCGATAAGAACTTTTTTTTTTCCGTAAATTTTGGCAACAGCGTGGGAAAGGCGCTAAACCTATCGTGGATTAGCGTCAGATCCGTGTTGCCCGCCCTCGAGCTGAAGGTACCTGAGGAGACTTGACGTTCTTATTTGCCTAGGCCTTGCTGTTTCGAAAGGAATTACATTCTTGACATTCATTTTCAGCCTGGTTCCTGCATTTGTTTGCTTTGCTTTGCCTTTTTCATCACCCCCTCAATTCGTTCTGTTTACTCAGGGACCAACCCTGTCTTGAACTCCCGAGATCAACACAGTTCCCGGCTCCTTCAATTTTCTAAAAACGATCCCTTGAGGCATACACATGCAACCTCGCTAGATCGCGCGGGAATTTCAGCCCTTTGTGATACTGGTTAGTTATCTCCCGAAATTCTCCATCCACGTCCACGGGTATATGCTGATAATCAGGACTCCTTTGACAGGTTGCATCTCTGAATTCTACACCGATACCAATATTGAAACACCATGGAGTTCCCTCGGCCTAATCTGGAGCCTCTTGCTGCCTCTGAAGTGGGAGCGCCCGGTGTTCCTGCTGTTGCGGAATCGGACCAGATAGCCCCAGAGGTTCAGGCGCAACAGGCACAGGAGCAAACACACGGACAGGGACAGGAGATTCCACCCGAGCAGCAGCCTCTCGAACGACCTGTAGGCCAACCTCTGGAGCAGCCTGCATCTGTCATGGTCAATGTCGAAGAGCCGGCTTCCGACCACACAATCAGCCGTGCTGCTATCAACAATGGCTATAACAGCGACTCGAAGGCGCATTACCACTCCCGATCGACCGATTTCCATCAATCTGCTCCCGAATATGCTGCCCAAGATACCGATCAGTCACGCCAAAACTCCTCTCCATTGCTCAGCCACCACCCCCTACCCGTTCCCAACTCCAGACCCGGATCTGGACTCTCCAGTGGCCCAGAACGTGCCTCTGGTGTTTCCCAGTTGCAGCAACCAGACTCCAGCCAGCGCCAAGCTGCCCAGGCTAACAAGAACAGTGTGGTGATTAAAGTTGGTATGGTAGGCGATGCACAGATCGGAAAGACCAGTCTGATGGTCAAATACGTTGAGGGCAGCTGGGATGAGGATTACATCCAGACATTGGGTAAGTTGGATTTATGTCAATTCATCAGCTCTGCTCCTTCTAACTAAGGACTTCTCTAGGTGTCAACTTTATGGAAAAGACAATCTCGATCCGCAACACTGAAATCACCTTCTCTATTTGGGATCTTGGTGGCCAGCGCGAGTTTGTTAATATGCTACCGCTTGTCTGCAATGACGCCGTTGCAATTCTTTTCATGTTTGATCTCACTCGCAAGAGTACATTGAACTCAATTAAGGAGTGGTACCGCCAGGGACGTGGCTTCAATAAAACAGCCATTCCCTTCCTGGTGGGCACCAAATATGATCACTTTGTGAACTTCCCCCGAGAAGATCAGGAAGAGATCTCCATTCAGGTATTTGATAATCCTCTTCTATTTTCCCGCAGCAGCTAACATATTTGCAGGCCAAGCGATTCGCTAAGGCCATGAAGGCGAGTCTGATATTTAGCAGCACCAGTCACAGCATCAATGTGCAAAAGGTATGTTGTAGTTGGGCATATCCTCTCGCTCGGCTTATTTCAAGTCTGATATAACACATGCTGACCCACTACAGATTTTCAAAATCGTTCTAGCCAAGGCATTCGATCTAAAGTGTACCATCCCCGAGATCGAGAATGTTGGCGAGCCCCTGCTCCTCTACAAGAATGTCTAAGAATTGCCTGTTTGCCCTGACGATGATGTACATTGGGACGAAGTGACGCTGCTGATGATCGACGCTGGCCCTCTACCCTCACGGCTTTAACCACTTTGTGAATTTCCCTTTCCTTTCTCCAACGATGTACTTGACCTTTCTTATGTCTGTATCCCAGCCTCGGGCTCTTCTGAACAGGTTGCTATCAGTCGGAGATCTCGAGGCTTGTTATGTTTTAACTGCTACCCTTCTCCTTGTCATTTTCTTTGCTGCATCTTCTTCCTTCATTCATCTCTGAACGTACCTAGTTCCTTTTTCTTTGTTCCAGATGAGGGCTTCACCAGCTTAAGGCGTTTAGGAGTTTGAATCGTGATATTCTGGAAATACATTCAAACCTCTTCTGCTTGCAATCTTTCATATTGTATAGGTAAACATAGTACTTGTTCTGTACATTGAAGCTCCAAATATAGATCTGGACCCATGGGTACTCCCGTATATCGCCCCAAGGCTGACCCCTCTTTAGTTGAGCCTCATGTTTTTTTTCCCTTCCATACTGGCCTTGTCCAGTTCTCAGAGGTATTTTGGGAGCGGGAATTAAATCATCAGCATTTATTCATATTTGAGATTATCCTTGTCTCAGAAGTCCGAAGCTACATCCTTTCGCCCCCACACCAAATACAAGTTACCTCAAACCCAGGCTATCGAATTTGTTTAGACACATCCTGACTTCCAAGGGTTCCTCTAAATATCGGCCCGGACACCATGGCCGAAGAACCTCAGTTGAATTCTATCCAGCAACGGATCGCCGCCCTCAACCAGTCGCAACTGGCCGGCCCACCGGGAGGCCCTGGACCATCATTCCGCCCGAACACCCAACGGAGCGCGTCAGCCAACAACCCTCCCTCATACGATGCAGTTGGCTCTGTGGTGGATCGAACATTTGTCGGAAATGAGCCCGCAGATAACAGAACTCAGAGGCCGGTCCTTGAACCGCCTTCAATGGAAACTCTCCGACCTGAATTGAAACCAAAGCCAAAAGCCCCTCCGCCATTGCCCACGCGAAGATCGGATCGTCTGCCTCCCCCTACACCGGCTCGTCCTGCGCTACCACCGCGTAGGCCGACGGATATAAAGCACAAGCCCTCCCTTGAGTCGGTCACCTCCGATGCGTCGCGTTCGACAACGTCCACAGCTACAACTGCGGGGCGAGGCACATCGACAACCTCGTTGAACTCCAATGGGAACAACCGTATCAAGGCGCCTGCATGGGGCGAGGCAGAACTTCCTACGCTACCTCCCCGCCGACCGAAGGAGCAAGTTAGTTTGGAACCGCCCCCGCGGCCTACAATAAGTAGTAAGAGGAGCTTTGGGAGCTTGTCTGCCAGATTGACCTCCAAGATATCGCTACCGGGGTCCAAACCGCCTGTTCCCCCTGTTCCAAGTCAGCCTGCACGGCCGACTCAACCTCCTCGTCCTACGCAGCCTCCACGACCTACATCATCCCCGCATCCCAGCGAACCACCCCCACGATATGAGGCCGAGGAGGAACCCCCAGCGCCTCGACTGCCACCACGCCGGCCATCCGCAGTGAATGCAGAGACAAATGGAACGAGTAATGGCTTGAGTGTCAATCTACCGATTCGCAAGACATTACCTCCTCCGCCAACGGCTGCGCAAATCAAGGATGCTAGACAGTTCGGTTTTGGTAACAAAAGTCCAACTATCCCACCCAAACCCGGCAAATCTGCTTCGAATGGAACACCCCCACCGATTCCGCGTGGCTCTCGTCCGGATATATCAAAAATTATGGCTACAAAGCCACGTTTTTATGGGTCAACCGTCTCTCCAAGCCCTCCACATCCCACGTCAGACACAGAATGCTTAGTATGCCGGGATTTCTCGGGCCCTGATAACCATGCAGCCAGGTATCCTCGTGCATCACTTCCCACACAGGATATGGCGTGGCTAGCCAATGAATTGACCGCACCGTTCCCATCTATGACGGACAAGGCACGCGCGATATTTACCTGGTTACATCATAACATTTTCTACGATACCTATTCCTTCTTTAACAACTGCGTGAAACCCTCAACACCAGCTAGTACTCTGGCATCTGGAATGGCAGTCTGCGAAGGCTACGCAGGACTATTTGCAGCATTAGCCACCCACGCCGGTCTAGAGGCAGTAGTAGTCGGCGGCCACGGCAAAGGCTTCGGACACCACGCTCTTGCCCCAGGTGCCCCTGTGCCCCCATACGAAGGCAACCATGCCTGGAACGCCGTCAAGATCGACGGAGGCCGATGGAAATTAATCGACTCCTGCTGGGGCGCTGGGGCAATAGAAGGCGAGGGACAGCCATACAAGCAGCGCTTCGAACCGGAAATGTTCTCGATGCCAAACGAAGAGTTCGGTCTAAAGCACTTCCCAGAAAACAAACGCCAGTTCTTCCGCGAGGACGGACGCCCCGATCTAACCTGGGAAGACTACATCCTCACAGACCCGGAACGACCAAACGGCGTCGAAGGCCTAAAAGTCTACAGCGATGCCGACAAGCGCTCTATCGGCCGCAAGACTTTCCACCCACAAGGCCTACATATCTCCATCAGCACCCCTGGCGCAATGCGCTTCCAGTTCGGTCTCCTCTGTCCGCACTGGACTCTGTCTCGCCACAGCCATATCCAGCATGCGGGCTTGTTCCTGCTTATGATCCATGGTGTGGACGGACGCGAGGATGACAGACTCCCTTTCACACATGTATCAGGCTCCGGGCCCGCTGGTGGTGGCGAGTTCTGGTATGTAGATGTCCCCAGTGCGCGTATGCTCGGTGCGCCTGGTCAGAAGCTGCAATTGGCTGTGTTGACTAAGTTTGGGGATCGGGAGGATGCTAGTGGTGTTACAGCGGAGGAGTTCCGGGAGAAGGTTGGCCGGGTTGGTATGGCTTGGGCTTATGTCGCTGAGTGGGAGCTGGTTAGGTAGGCTTTCACTGAGTTGGCTTCCTGCCCATCTGCGCCAAGCTTTAATATTAATATTGGGGTTGTTGTTTTGCTTGGACCTTGTTCGCAGGGTGTGCATATACTGCCAGGTATATCATGTTAATCAATTATACCACTTGCTTGTTGTCTCTTTAGGTAACCTTGAAGAATCATTATTGTTCAATCTAGCAAATAGCAGGGTACATAATCTATACCCTGCTTCTGACAAATAAGCTGCTCAAGCAAACAATAGGATATAAGATGATCCGACAAGACTGATTGTAAAACAGCAAATATCTGGTAGAGTGATAAATAGGCATTTGCCATTAGATATTTCCTTCCATCTTCCGACTTCCCCAACATTTACGAACCATTCCGGTCTCTGATCAACAATGCCTTCATTCATGGATCTCCCAATGGAGATCCGAGCCATGATCTTGGAGAAAGTAATCAATGGCCATCGCACCCCACCCATATCTCCATCCACTTCGAATATGACGGACGTTGAAGACATGAAATACCGCGCCACTATAATAAGTCTCCGCCCATATCACGAACAACGTGATACACATAGCCCATCAAACAGCCTCCCTCTCCTCTTGACAAGTCGTCAAGTGTCGATGGAAACGCAATCGATCCTCAATCGAATGAAAATCACCTACGTGCTTGATATCTCAGTTCTGGATGATCAGTTTCTGTTTTCGACTTGGATCTCCGTCCCACGACTGACGATTCGCCTATCTACGCTACACGTAAATGTACGACTTTTCGGACGCATCCTCACAGCCGAAGAGGGAGATAGGCAAATGGGCTGTGGTGGTCGCCAAGGGTTCCATTGGTGTTTTTACGCCTTGCTAGAACGATTCTTAGCATATGGACCAGTGAGCCCGCGGAAACCCCACATCGACAATTACCGCATCTCCTCCTACGAATGCCGTGACATATCTGTTGAGAACCTCGTCCTCAATTTTCAGTCGGCTGAGACGGAGCTACCATACCCTCCTGACGACATCATGGATTACAATGGATGGTGCGGTAAACACAGTGGCTCGTTTAGGAAGAATCCGGGGATTGACGAGGCGTTGTCATACAAAACACGTCCAGAGTGGCTTTTGTGGTATTTAAGAAGCTGGTTGAAGCAAATCACTACAGCCTACCGTGGTGCAAGTTATGGAAAACAGATCCATGAGAGAATTGGTACCATCACCATGTTAGTGGATGGAAGGCTGGATACTACCATTGATCTTGCGGATACATTGGCCAAATTGTACCTTACAGGCGCCCCATCGGAAAGTGAGTTGGAGTGGAAGAAAAAGACAATCCTAAGAAGGGAGGCTCGGGGGTTCCCTGTTGTACGGCCAAGCGACCCAGAGAGGGAGTGATTGGTTCTGGTTTAGATAGGTGAGATACTGTATCTCGATGCTGATAGAAGAGAATTGAACAATATTGCAAATGTGATCACCGTGCAATCGAAACGAAAAGATGGTCTCAATAAATCATTAGCACAATGTCAAAACTTGGTCGAGCAAGGTAGAAAGGAGATGATATATGCCTGCAAGTTCATAGTCTATTGAAGAGCTCAGCAGATACCGAAGACAAAGGGGCGATATTGGTAACTAGACACATATCTCTGCATCAGACACCATTTAAAGAGAATACCTTTTCAATATGATTACTCACTTCTCTTCCTTCGTATATATACAGCGGTAATATGCTTACGGTTTGATTCATATTAATGTTCGTAAATTTCGGAAAGCGCCAGAGCTCCTACATGGAACGCCTCACAACGTATTTTTCGTAGCTTCAAAGAGGAGACAGTTCTCTAAACTGAGCTTGTTCAGTGGACTAGGCCCCCTTTATCAAATAGGCTAGACACTTCCATTGGGGTCGCCTAATCTTGATTTGCTATGAATATATTTGCAACAATTCTCGAGAGACACCAAGACATGCAAATGATCTAGCCGATTGGACATGATTCCGTTCCACGTCTTTGTGAGCTGTCTTAAGTAGGCATATTATTTAGATACTCTCTGTGTATCCCCAGTGATTTCAATGTTTGAGAATGAGGCTTAAATAGTACCCCGTGTTTGTGAGTACTAATTATAATTTATGCCGATCAATATATTGCGGTTTGCCACAAGGCTGAAAGGGAAACCCCATCTAGGTTCATTTGGGAAAAAAAATATATAGAAAAACAACTTGCTTGAAACATATGCGGAGTACTCCCGTGCCATGGAGAGCTGTCTTTAAAAGTGACTGATCCAGCCCCTTAGAGCCTGAATGTAGCCCCTATAATATAACCGAGTAGAGTCGCTCTCGGACAACATACAGCATGAACGCCTTAGATGAACGCCTCACACATAACAAATCTTGGCTTTCCCTTTCGGTCCTAGTGCTCACCTCACCCCTGAATTCACTTGAGATAATATGCATGCTACTTGGTTCAGCACTTGCGCAAATAAAGCATACGTGTTCATTTTTACATGTATTTTTCTGGCCTTACCAAATGTAGGAAAGAATTGAGAATTTAATCTCCTATAACGGTGCCAAGACCCGATGTTAGTGGGCCTAGATAAAAATGTCCTAAAGCGGTTACGGGTAATGCATGCCAAGGAGGTAGAAGCACATAGAGTCTAGTTCGTAGGAAGAGATGGTGAAACCGGTAGTTGATCGGGAGTAGTATATCAGTGCATATGCCTGTACTCCGTACAGAGTAGTTAGGAGTAAAATCCTTAAAGGATGTATGTAGAGTAAATAACATTTTGTTTTGTTTGTCTTGTTTGGTCAATTTGACACATTTACATTTTTTTCCCGTAAGGGGAAATTCTGCACGTGTACAATTTCAAGGTTATCAGCCCCCGGAGCCTTGCCCGAGAGAAAAGCAGAACTCCACGAACCCGTAAGATTATGCCCCGCTTATTAGACCCCTGGATTTTCTATTTTCCACTTTAAGTTATAATCTTTCACTCATCTCAGCTTCCCACCCCCAATTTGTCTTTCTTTCAGGGGATGTTGTTGGCATCATGAAATCTTCATTGCAAGATGTCTCGTTTCGTACGAGACTGGAGGAATCAGCCCTCTTCATGCTGAATGTAGCCAGGACGCCTCAGCTCTATCTCGATCTCTACCTTGATCGTGTCCGCACATATTTCTTCTCTATAATTTTTATTTCCCTTATACTCTCCAAATGCTTCCATATCAGCGTTCATCTCACAGCCCTAGAGGTTCCATCTCTCTTCCCTTGGGGCCCCACATTCTTTTTGGTGGATATTCTACTCATTCTGGTCGCGTGCTGCCTGACCCGTTCATTTGAATCCCGGATCTGTCGCAATGTAGCCGCCATTGTCGCTCTTTTCTTCAGGTGAGCTATCGTCCGAATTCATAGAGGAACAGCAAATCGCTAACCACACCCCAGTCTATGTATCTCAACGATGGCCTCCGCCAACATCTCGTATTATGTCCATACAGGCGCGGAGATTCCCTGGGGAAACTCGGAAAGCTCTCAGGACACTCCCACCGCTGCCCAGACAATTCTGTCCGCATTCACTGTCGCTATCCTCGTTGACCTCTTTATTATGATCGGTTCATACTTCGCTACCCCGTATCTATTCCAAGCTACCGAATCTTTCTTGGAGATCTGGGTTTCGCTTTTGTTCTCCCCTCTCCGCCGGTATCTTCGACGCAGAAAGACCCCGTTGGATCCAGAGACCTATCAGCAGATTGAAATCGAAGACTATGACGAGAATCACAACGACAGCGACTCCGTATCGCAACTGGAAACACCCCAAGATCCACCTGAGCAGAAGAAGAAGCGATCATTGCTGAAGCGCGTTATCGTCATCGCCTGCGGTTTGATCATAGTTTTGCTCAGTTTCGTTCGTCCACACAATACGGATTACAGTTATCTCTCTGAGTCCCTTCCTCTGGCGCCGTTCAGCAACCTCGAATATTCGCCCGCTCACGAACGTCCTGGAAGTGCTGCTCCCGAGACTGCTCCTCAAACTCCTCCACCTCCCCCACCTCCTCCACCTCCCCCTCAATATCCCCCTCAGAGTCCTCCCCAAAGCGTCCCAACAAACGTTGCAGGAGGTGCCCCATCAATTCCCATCTCGGCACCTGCTAATTTCAGCTGGCTGGAAAACCGCACTGCTCTGGACTCTTTCCCCATGTTTGACTGGTTACCTGCGTACAATTCGTCCGATGGTCTTCCGGATTGGTCTCCTTTCCGTGTGAATAGACACAACCAGGATGACTATGTGTATGAACACTACAACCCACTGAAAGATCCTCTGCACTTCCCAAACCTCCAGAATGACATTTTGGAGCCTTTGCGTGAAGTTCTCCACAACGGAAGTGTCAAGATTAAGCATGTCATTCTCATCAAGTTGGAGAGCACTCGGCAGGACGTGTGGCCCTTCCGCAATACCTCCTATATCATGAAACACATCAATGACTCTTACCCCAAGGGCATCCCCGGGGATGTTATGGATAGACTCTCTAAGCTCACCCCTACCGCCGAACGTTTAACCGGACATGAGACCGGATTCAGTGGGGATAGGCCGAAGCCCTATGGTGGCTTCAGTGCAAGAAACGCTTACACGTCTGGAACCTACACCCTGAAGAGTCTCACGGCCACTATATGCGGTGTGAATCCTATGGCGGTCGAGGCCAACCTTGAGTACCTGCACGATATTTACCAGCCCTGCTTACCTCACATTTTCGAGGCACTAAACCATCAGCCGAAAATCACTAGTGAGGCAACTACCAATCAGACAGATGAGTGGTCTTCCTGGCCGTGGTTCACTATGTGGATGCAGACACACTCCGACGCCTGGGATAAGCACTTCTTGCTTTCTCCTGCTCTGGGATACCAACAGGTCATGGCAAAGAGAACAATCGATGCGGAAGGCCGTAAATATATCCCCAAGGAGACAGAAGAGGAGGACGAACATGGCCATGAGGATAAACTACTGAAAAATTACCTCCGGGATGTCATTGAAGATGCGAAGAAGAACAACACCCGCCTCTTCCTTAGCCACCTAACACATCAAACACATACTCCTTATTATCTTCCTGGTGATTATAAGGAGATGCTGGGCGATCGGTCGAATGAACAGAGGGACAGGTTGAACCGATACCTCAATGCCGTCCATTACGAGGATGAGTCGATCGACCAGATCCTACAGCTTCTCGAAGATACCGGCATTGCCGATGAAACCCTTCTTGTGATGACTGGTGACCAGTAAGTTTTACCTATATCCTGCAACCCTTCTAGCATCCTCTAATTCGTTTCTAGCGGTCTATCACTTCCAAACGACGGTGGCATCACAGCCTGGCACTCCCCTCACGTCGGAAATTTCCACGTGCCTCTATTCTTCTCCCACCCCAAAATGCCACAGATCGATCTCGGCGACGCTGCTATCCTCTCCACCCAAATTCTACCCACGATCCTCGATCTTCTCATCGAAACCAAATCCATCGATGCACAGGGAGCCAAGATCCTCGGTGATCTCCTCCCAATGTACGAGGGCCAGTCGATGATCCGCACACTCATCCCTGAGAAGGACGGCAAGCACGAATGGCAATTCTCAACAATGAACCCCGGAGGAACATGGTTCACCGTGCGGTCGGCCTCAAAGTCCTACCGTTTAATCGTTCCCCTCAAAGCCGACGGCAAGTGGCGATTCACCGATGTCGGCGCCGATCCATTCGAACTCAATCCTTTGGAAGATCACCAGCTCATGTTCCTGAGCGATGCCGTTCAGAAGAACCATGGACCTGAGGCTGTGAAATGGCTCGCAGAGGCGGCCCATGTCGCTCACTGGTGGGTTAAGGAAAACCATCGCCGCTGGAAGTTTGATCCTAAAAACCCCAACAATGACCCCCCGAAAGATGACGCTTGAGGTTGTGTCGGAAGTGGATTAATGTGCCTCTTGGATAGCCTGCTAGGCTGTCCACGGGCTACCCATTCCTTAACTGTATTTATGCATTACTCATTCCCTAATTGTATTTATGTATGTCAATGTAAATATGAAATTATTCTGACTTTCAAATTCATTTGGTTGCTGTGTGGTCGTTTCCTGTTATATATTTCAACTTGTATATGATTAGCCTGCTATACTGGGACGTTGTTAGGAGTCCCGTTGGCTAGGCAGTAGTCCACAACAAACCAGAAATCTAGATCACACTCAGAGACTCAGTGCTCAGCAAAAAGCGACAAGATCCGAGCACTGATACAGAAAGAGAAAAGAAGTGACAGAGGAAATGAGTACATGTATATGCAAGCTATATAATGAAAGAGGGTGTGAACACCCTTCATGTATTCCGTGGGATCTGTTAGTGACTACCGAGTCCGAAAGCTCAGTCACGACTTGTCAAGACTCGCACGAGAACTCCCCGTTTGATTTGGGTGCGGACCTGAGAAGACATCAACAATTCCAAGGTTGGTAATGCTGACATCTTTTCCGGTTTATAGGAAAGGCACGGTCCTCTACGCTGTCTCAGGTGGGCTACGGAGAGTACAGTCGAGAGGATTGGGGAGAGGAAGAAGAGAAGTGGGAGAAAGGTGGGAGGAATCCTTTTATAGTCTCACGTACCTTCCTAAAATGGATGGGTCCTTTGCTCTTGCCATTTTTATTCTCGGGGTTAATTTGGCAGGTGACCATATGGAACCCTATGAGTTCATGTGAATGTATTATCATAAGTATTTGTCTCTTTACATAAGAAAAATTAAGGGCTCTATGATTCAGAGGATCAATATGGAGTTGGAAGAGTCGTTGTCGTAGATATCGTCGGTTTTCTTGGAGGTTATGTTTCAATCCGGTTGGATATTGTGATAGAGACTGGGTTCAATTAACAGATTATAGAACTCTACTCCTTCACTTCAACATGGATGACAGCTGACTTGCCCCCTGCATCCCTTGCCTGCTCCTTCATATCCGCGACAGCCATTTCACCAAGATCAACTGCATCATCACCATCGAAGTACTTCGCAATTTCCTCCATAGGAGTGTAACGTGTTTCGATGAGGAAGCTGTAGATGACCCACACCTCCATTGCCAGGAAAACGCAGTATACAATGTAATATTTCCAAGCAATTGCATCGAGGGCAATGGCATTGATGTACTGGTTAAAGAACAGTGCCGCAGTGACACAGAAGTTCAACCAAGTGAAACCCTTGGCACGAAGACCGTAGGGGAGAATCTCAGTTGAGTAGGTAGCCATCAGACCAGATCTAAGTATCCAATTGTTAGCAAAAATGGAACCAAAACCCACAGTTTCTAGTACTTACTTGATATCGTAGAAGAAACCGTATAAGACAGTCAGGACCACAAAGATATATCCCAAGGCACTATTTGGCGCAATCTCATACCGAGCCGAAACGATGGTCCAGGCGTTGAAGACCACGAACGTGCCAACTGTTGAAACCATGTAGATAGGACGTCTTCCCAGTTTATCAATGAAGAATGCGAGGAGGAAGTTCATAATCAGGGCTTCACTCTTGATACCCGCATTGATTCCGAGCTGGGTGGAAGCTTTCGTGATACCAACGCTGTCCATGACCTGCTTGAGATAGTAGGAGATCAAACCATTGCCACTCCACTGACTGAAGAGACCCAGGGCTGTGATCAGACCAATTCTCTTCCGGTTTCCTTTAGTTTTGAAGAAATCAGCCCAACCAGTTTGGTTAATCTCCATGTCAAGATTGATGGCAGCCTTGATTTCGGCGAACTCCAGATGCACGAATTCGTCGTTCTCGTCTCCCTCGCCGTGGTATTTGACAAGAACCTTCATAGCCTCGTCATATCGACCCTTGCTCATTAGCCAACGAGGGCTCTCTGGCATCAGCCAAATACCAGATACAATAATGACTGTGCAAATTGCCTGCAGCAGGCTTGGGAGTCTCCAGGACCAATCGCTCTAATACAGAAAAAGTGTCAGTCAAGGGATGTATCCCATATTAACCATTGAATCTACAGCGGAGGTGTGTGATACATACCTGAATCTTCAAAGTTCCCAAGGTCACCCAGCTAGCGATGAACGCACCAGAGTGATAAGAAGCACCACTTAGCGTGACGAGGACAGCACGATCTTGGGGATGTGCTATCTCAGCGATCAAGAGGGGTGCACTCCCGAGAACGATACAGTCACCAAATCCAATGAGCAGACGGGCAGCGATGAACATGCCAAAACCAGTCGCGCCGGACTGCAGGCCCACGGCAAGCAGCATGATCAAGCATCCAACGAAACATCCCAGCCTACGGCCGAAGGCATCGATCATATAAGGCACGATGAACAAACCGATCAGTGAGCCAAGACTCATGGACGCATTGAAAAGACCGAGGAGGGCACCGTGTGGATGATCGAAGTATTCCTGCCAGTAGCTGAGAGTCTGAAGACCGTTCATCATGGAGCCGTCGAATCCGTTCGCAGTGTTGGTCATAATAAGGATGACGATGTAGATATATAGGGTTCGCATGTTCTTTCTTTTCCACCAGGGAACGCGCTTGAACTCCTGGTGAGCGAAGAAGAAGTGGCCATCGGCAGGTTTAACGGGCAACACCCGTTGAGTCGGCTTCGGGGGTCGGAATCGTAATCCCATGGCTGCGAAGCTTGACTTTTTTTGAAGGGGAGAAAGATATAGTCTAATTCAGACTGATAGAACAAGATGATAGCAGCCAATTGAGAATCTAGTATGGCGGGAAACTACTTTATAATGTACAACTGACTTGGCGACATGGATATGATCTCTCGGCTATTGTTACGACAAGCTACTGCCGTGTTAGCAGCAAGTAAGGGTTATATCTCTATTTTACCGGAATGTGGCGTTAGATTGTACTTTTGAAGCTCATACCTCTAATTTACCTCGAACCCCACACTTTTCCATTTGCCCCATGGGGATATGGATATGTTGGTGAGTGGGGTTCGGTTGTCCATCCGAGGAGGCTCATCAACTACTTTGGTAGCCAGACTATAGGCGCTATACTGTATTCCCGGACTACCATAACCTTAGATTCTACGGCTAAATTCCCACCGGGATGTTACTATTAGGGGTCTCAGGAATAAATGAAACTTCTTATTTACGCCAGCGCGGCCTCATAGGCCCAAGCGGGTTAAATATCCGAGGCCCAAGCGCTGCCAAGAACAGCCATCTACCTATATGTATCTTCCATTCCTCCAAGCCTTTTTGAGACTCTTACAGGATCCTAGTCTTATGACTAGATCCTTGGTTATATCCCCTGATTTAGCCTATATACCGTGTTTAACACGCGCTTAGTGGTCGTTGAACAGCCTATTCTATTTCTGGAACTTGCCTAATGTCGTATCCAACTACACCTCATGCGCCGAGGCTAATATTTAATGTTTGGGGATGGGTGAATGCTGTAGGCTATCGAAGCTCAGTCCCCTCCATCTTCATTAGTACTTGAGAAAACGAGCCATGTCGGGCACAATCAACCCTATCATACCAGGCTTCTCGCCAGATCCATCTGTGGTAAAGGTGGGAGATTGGTTTTATCTCGTCAATTCTAGCTTCCACTTTTTCCCTGGTCTACCTATTTACGCCTCTAAAGACCTCGCATCATGGGAGCAGATAGGTAAGTCCCGACGACCCGACCCTGAACGAGGGAGATCCGAACACAGATTCTAACCTGGAACCAATGTGCGCGTACAGGAAATGCGATCAACCGACAAGCTCAGCTCAGCCTAGCAAGATCAGACGCAAACCAAGTCCCAGTGGGCAATGGTAAGATTATGATCGCGAGTGGAGGATTATACGCGCCCACGATCCGTTATCACCAGGGTACATTCTACATTGTCTGCACCAATGTCATCCATCTACCCGACCAGACCGAAGATATAAGGGAGAACTTCATTGTCTCGACTGATGATATCTGGTCAGACAAATGGTCCGATCCAGTCCCCTTCGAATTCGATGGCATCGACCCCAGCATCTTTTTCGAGGACGGAAAGACCTACATCCAAGGGTCCGCTGCGCCAGGGCCATACACGACGATCAATCTCTTCGAAGTCGACATCAATACCGGCGCGAAGCTGTCTGAGGAGAAATTGATCTGGCGCGGCACCGGTGACATCTATCCGGAGGGACCACACCTGTATAAGTACAATGACTGGTACTACTTGCTCATTGCAGAGGGTGGCACTCATGAAGGACATATGGTGACGACGGCACGCGCTAGAGATGTCTGGGGCCCGTATGAGTCCTGTCCTAACAACCCAGTCCTGTCCGCGCGTGGTACTACAGAGTATGTTCAGTACACCGGTCACTGTGAAATCTTCCAGGACGAGGAGAAACAATGGTGGGGGACCTGTATTGGGGCACGGGTAGACGACCAGGGTCGAAACACTATGGGTCGGGAAACCTTTTTGACCAAGGTAGCCTGGGACAATGAATGGTTTACCTTCGAACAAGTCAAGTTGAACCCCGGCCTGTCAGCAGCCTCGTCGAGCTCACTTACGGCAAAACCTGGCGTCGACTATCTCTACATTCGAGATGCTGTCTTGAGCAACTATCAGCTCACTGAAACCTCCATAACACTAACAGCGTCATCTGTTGATCTGTCACACTCGGAACTCAGCCCGACGTTTATTGGCAAGCGGCAACGGCAGTTGCAGGGCACGAGCAGTGTGGTTGTTGAAGGGATAGAGGAGTCTTGGGGTTCTGCGAAGATCATGACTGGGTTAGCCTGTTACAAGGAAGAGCATCGTTACCTGAGAATATACTACGATGCCGCGAAGGTTGAGGTGGTCTTTGAAGTGATCAACACTGCGAAGAAGATTGCTAGGACCGAGAAACATATCCTAGACAAAGCTCCCTCTTCAGTGGCGTTCCGAATCGACTACACGGAGAAGGAATATCGGCTGTTGTACTCTGTCGAATCCAACACTGGGCAAGACTGGGCGTGTCTGGGGACTGTTGATACATTGGACGTTACCAACCCTGATTTCACTGGTCCGGTGATAGGTATCTATGCTCTGGGGCAAACGGAGGGCGTGCAAGTTCGGTTTGAAAGCTTGAGAGTTGATTGATCTGCATATCGTGTTGAGACTTGGGTATCTTGGCTCATATCAGCCAGTTACTCTGAAGCAAGAGTGAAAAACTCCATACAGTGTGGCCCGTAGGTCATCGCATATTCAAATTGAATCAATCAAATCAAATCTATAATTAGACATATCCGACGGCCTCAACAATTTCAGCGCGGAACTATTCGGAAAAGCTATGGGGAAGTTAAGAGACATGTCGAAAAGAACTTGGTATACATAGGTGTGGGAGAAGGAGGACTTCGGGGAATGTACGGCCCAGTATATAAGGTTCCAATAGAGAACTGATGTCCGATATCGCTGTTCTCCATAAAAAGATGGGGATTTGCGGAATTGAATCAGCGCACCAATCCGGTAAATTGAAAGCCGCAACTATAAAAGGCAAGTCTCGGGAGAGCTGTTATACAGACCCTCGACGTTGTCTCATACCGACTTGGTGCGATCTACTCCATACTAGGTAAAGAGCCCAGCTAGGAAATATGTTAAAAGTAGTTTATTCTCTCTTTGCTTGAGCAGATAATCGGGCTAGTCAAAAATGTGATTCTTTCCGAAGTTAACACAGAAGTCCAGTGCCCAAGATCAATCAGACCAAGGATCATATCCTTCAGGCCAGTCAAGGTCCTCCGCGAGATCTGAAAGTCGAATATCCGGCTCATCGTCGAGTGACGTATCATCTTCCCAATTTGGAGAATACTGGGCACGGAACTTGCCCTTGGACTTGCTTTTACCATTTCTTTGTCGCTTCTGCTCTTCCTGGAGTCGAGCCTTTTCGGCCCATACTTTAAGATCTTCCGGGTTCCTGATACACCAGATGACAACGTTCCGAGTTGCATATGCATCCTCCAAAGCATTATGCCCGCGATCACTCTTCTGTATGTCCAACCCCAAAAAGTCCTTTGCAAGTGTTTTCAACCCCCACTGACGGGTCAATGGCCTCGTTGACGGGATGGAAGGGAAAACACTCTCAGCAACCAATATTGCCGAATCGACAATTTTAGTATGAGACATGCCTAGTACTTCAAGGTCATAGTAGAGAGAATGGCCAACCAACACGGTTGAATCATCCATAAACTCCCACAATCTATCGCGTGCCTCTCGCCAGTTTTTAAATGCTGCACCAGACGCAACGGCGCTAGTCATGATAGTCTGTGTCACGCCACTGAACTCATATCTCCAATCAAGCACCTTTTCAGATGGATTAACATAGCGACTTATAAGCACTTCGCCCGTCAAAAAGTTGATAGCACTGAGAAAAACGAGAGTTTGGCGACCGTGTTTGACTCCAACCATCTCACAGTCAATGGCGATGGCGTGAATAGCGGGTTTTAGTCCCACGCGAGGTGTCTCGCGGAATTGATAGGTTGGAATTGATCCTTTGCGTGGGCGTTTCTTGTTTCTTACGGTTGTGGGACCTATGATATATCCCTCCCTCTCAAGGCGATTCTGTGAGTGGCATCTTGAACGTAGGTAGCGTAAAATGAGATTCTGCTCTAGAAGGTGTATATCTGGCTGAACCGTAGTGCCAGACGCGACACCTGGCAGTACTTCTATTGAACTGAGTGTAAGTCACGGGTTATTCGTAGATACGAGACGACTTACCTAGTATAGGGCCATTTGTGATGTTTAGTGCTGGCATAGAAGCCAGTAAATCATGTAACAACTGAGCACCTCGAATTTCCAGTTCCTGCTCAGAGGTTATCGGGGGCTCCTCGGGAACATATCTGTGAGCAGGTATCGACTGCACAACTGGTGTCACCACTGCACTTGGTAGTACACTTGGTGATGGTATCGGGGGCTCCTGGGGGGCATCTCTGTGGGCAGGTATCGACTGCACAACTGGTGTCACCACTGCACTTGGTAGTATACTCGATGATGGTATCTGGGGAACATCGTTTGATCTACCCAGCGAGGCGGACTTGGACTTGGTATAATAGTTTTGGTAATGTTGTATAACCGCCAACTCATCCTTGAAAGTCTTTTCGCAAACAGGACACTGTAAAGAGTGTCGCTTCTCTTGGAAATGATTTCTAACACCCTTCAAACTCCGAAAATTCTTCCTCTCACACCCAGGACACTGAAATCGAATAGAAGTTTTTTTATTCATCTTCAATAACATTGAGATCAAAATAACAACCGTAGACACAGCGCGAAAAGAAAAATATGTAGAGAAGTGTCGCCCTCTTTATCTGTCGACGTAACACTTTGACTGGTGTCCAAGGCATACACGTAGTCAAAGATCATGCATGTTGGCGCCGGAAACTATTGGAAAGTACAGGGGTTTTACACTGCGACACGTTGCTTCTCCGCAATACCTGCGCAATCATGCGATTTATCTCAGTCTGCCTTACGAATAGCAAAGCCACAAGTTAAGAATAAGGAACGGACGACTGGGGAGCTCTTTTATGTTTCTTGATCAAATTCTGGTTCTGCTCCGATACCCAGGACGAATCAACTATGCCTAAATTAGACTGATTCTAATGATAAAGCGTATTCTTCATAATTAAAGTGCTTCGGGTGCCATATAGGTACTTGTTTTATCACCTAATAAATTTAGCATTGTTATTTTGCTTTTGTAGACCTGAGACTGGCCAGTTGGTATGAAGTAGAAAGAGGTGTTTGCCTACTTGTGGGGGGAGGTGTATTGAAGAACACGCCTAATTAACCTAACTATTTCAACTATCTAGGGAAGTCCATACTTATATCTATTTAGCAGTTCTTCATAGTTAAGAGCATTATTAACAGCATGCCTTTTCTTGGAAGCGTCGTTTGGTGGTGTAGGCATGACGCAAGAGTCCTCCATACCTGAAGCATAACCACTGTGTCATCATTCATAAACTCATTATATATATACCTAGCATTCAAGGACACTCGATTTTGTTTAAGAAAAACACGCCATGGACACACACCCTCTTCAGGCAATTGGTGAGGCCCTCGATGCCGCTGAGGCCGACCCGCGGGTTCTTCAACGCTCTTCGCTCTTCCAAGGTGCCAATGATGGACCTGTAAAGACCGCCGCTAAGATTACTGGGGTATAGAGAGTCGGGAAAAGAGCTGACGATGGGCCTTATCTCACAAACAATGAAGGCATACCGTTCCCGGACCCTTCCCACATGGCACAGTAAGACTACAGGTAGGATACCTCTCGTCTCTGATACTTTCTTACTTCAAAAGCGACAACATTTGCTGAGCTCATCTAATATCAAGACCCCCGTCTTTGTACGGTTTTCTACTGTGACCCTAGGCCGGAGGTACCCAGACTTGGTTAGGAAGCCAGGAGGCTTCGCTGTGAAATTTTACACAGCTGAAGGAAATTATGATATACTGTCGTAGCTGGCCTGGTATTATCGTCGTCGACGAACTTGATCGCTGTGGTTTTAGCATAAGGCAAGGCCTTACGCTGTTTCCACTCCTCTGAGTTAGTGTCCCCGGGCCGCTTAGCGGGTTTGGAGAGCCGAACGCAGGATGAAATCCGACGATCTTTGTCGGGCGGGTAAGGACCAACAAATTATCAGAATAGGTGAGGAGGAGATTATTGGTCACGTATCGCACTGTCGGCGTCTCTTTAAAGTAAAGCCAATCGTAATTCTCTGCATCAATGTTCAGAGTTCTCTTCGGGTCGTTGACGGTATTGAGCTTGTCCGGCGGCGCGACAATCTCGCCGAAGTGGAATCCCTTGTGCGGCAACGCATCTCGACTGGCCTTCTTTGTAATAAGCCAAAGATATTTCCGAAGTCTCGAGCCGACCATGGCGTAATAGTCCCTATGGACGGCAATGAACGGTTTTGTTTATACGTTCAAGCCCTAGAGGGGCCCTTCGACCACTATCAGAAATCTGCTGACTCGTGAAGTCCCCAAACTTGTGAATCCGTTCCTGTTGCGTGTTAGCGACTCAAGTGAAAGTAAAAACAGCATGATTAAAAGCGAAATTCATCTTACTCGGTCTAAGCCTGGGAGATAAATTCTGATGGTAAGGGAAGGATGTACCGATGTCGGTTTCTGGGATGGGGAGGCGATTGTAATGTACTGGAGGGACGAGTCGAGGACCGCCTGGTATTTAAGTATACTGCCACAAGGATACAGGGCCGCATAAGGGGTCAAGTGATGTCTTTTCAGTGGTCTTTTCAGTGGTCTTTCCAGTGGTATATGGAGCAGTCTTCTCAGATATCATTCTGTTTAGATATAAAAAAAGGCAAAGAGGCTTAATTTATGCAAGTGACTTTTTTATAACTTTTCTACCAGCATCACAGCCTTATATCGCGTGTACAGAAGCTAACTATATTCGGAGTTTTAGACTAGTAGAACTGGCAGAATATAATAGCAGTATACAGGATGGTATATCTAGGTATTTTGGTTTGGCCCAATATTTCGAAGGTCGCACTGTACTAGCAAGTTCCGGCCCGATACGGCCGAGACTGTGTCGCGGAAATCACACTCCTATCATGAGGGTTCTGATTCGGAGTATGACCAAACGAGGATGTTATATCAAGATGTCATGGATGACAAAGCGCGAGAACAACTTCACTCGGACACCACGCGTCTGTTGAAACTAGTCGAGTACACGGAGATTTAAGTTAAGTACCTCGCAATTATTGCGTATTGCGCCACAGTATGGGAGGTCCGTGTATGATTTGCTTCCAGGGCAGAAATTCTATTTTACAGAGGTTGTGAAACGTGCTGAAGGTGCTGAGAGAGCTGGGAAGGAGGCGAAATTCTTGCCTAGTCAAGAGACAGATGTATTGCGAGGATCATGTCCTGCAAAGTCGGTTTATAATGCTTGATCTCTCGCGCCATATATGGTGATTATGATCCTGGCTTACGTGGCTTTCATTCGAGGTTCGGTTATTTCTATCGAATGGTCACGGATCTAAATTGACACATATTTCTATTTGTATGCAAATTAGTAAATATTAACGGCTTGTTTCTCTAGATTGTCCTTTTGAGTTCGATGGTACACTATGCAATAGTTACTGGCAGTTGTCCCTATCTAAATTACATACTCTCTATTACCCTATGCCCATCTGAGTACATCCTGGGACTGCCAATTGCTACATGAGGACCTAAGTTACGTCCATGAGACAAAATACTGTCCTTAGATTCCAAGGTTGAGTCGAGGCTTCTCTACTCAGCAGGTACTAGTGGACCTTTGGCCAGTCCATGGATGATAATTTCGTCTGGGTAGTTAGATCCGTGGAGGAACCATCTGTTCTAGTAATAACTAGGTCTAGAAAAGATACGAACTGAGTATAGTGCGAATTAGTTCATAGCCACCTCGCTGGATATGTATTTTTTACCTTTGATAAAATTAAAGAGGCGTGGCCGCTGGAAAAGCAGTGGAGCTCCATCCACATGTTTTGGTTGTACCAATGAGACTGAAGTCGACTTTGGAGAATTCATCTTTATAACAATGGGTAGCGAAGCGAACGTACCTCGCTACCAAAAATGTTATATTGCTGTTCGCTTCGAAAGTACAATCTAGAGCTTGTGTTTTTGGCGTGATCCAAAGACGACTGGTATTGTTATGCGTTATAGGTTCATATATTCGGAGAAACATTGGAATATACTTGAAGTATATTATGGTCCGTGCAATCTGGAGAACAAGCACCTGCACCATCGATGTCAGTGGCTTGAGAACATAAGCAAAGCCAAATGCTAGGGGGAGTATCGGTGAGCGCAAATGGTATTTCCCCAGTCCTCCGCATCTTTTCCCACGCGGGGAACGACACGGACATGAGAGCTCGAAAATCTAACCTCAACGGATGGAATTAATGAATCCACCCTAATATCCAGTGACAAGTAGTATTTCATAGGCCTGAAACATAATTTAACTTTGCGCACGCAAACTCCTACACACTCTTAGTACTATAAAAAAAATATAAATAAATAAATTTATAGAAAAAAAAGGATCGGTCCCGAAAAGGAAAAAAAACACCGCGGTTGCCGAGTTCAAGCCGAGTCCACTTCGGCGTTAGCCACTGAAGTCCACGAGAAGCCGTGTACCGTCCCGTTCTGGGAATACGACCGTAGTCGGGGCCCCGGACTATTATGTACTCGGGGGGCCGGGTGAAAGGAGAATCTTTTCATTCGTCTTTTGTTGACCATGTGGACCACCCCCGGCTAATTGCATTACAGAAAAATTACCTGTTTAGGATGAAGGGTTTGACCCAGTCTTGTAGGGAAATGATTATCCAGGTACTTTTTTTGTGGGTTGGTCTGGGGATATCCGAAAAGTTGTATGCACGTTGACCCTTTTTTTTTACATTTTCTCTAAATGTGTAATTTCAGCCTCTAATGTATACTATGGCTTTATATTTAAGAAATATCATTGTTATCTACGCGTGGGAGCCGATTGCATAGGTCAGCCGACTCTTTTCCCGAACACGGCATCCGTGTTCGGGCTATCCTCATTACGTTTTGGCCTTCGGCTTCGAATTTGTCGCCGATTCCCCCGGATCCCAGTCCATTGCCGGGGCGTCTCCACCAATCAGGAGAAAGCGGGTGGATAAGCATAACTCGATTTCCACCAATCAAACCACGTAAAGGGAGCTGGGGTTGCAAGCGGAGTCTTGGCATACTGTCGTAACTCTACAGGTATTATATCTCTTATTTATTATTATACAGTCACATATTTTACGCTAATTTCTCTCCCCAGACATCCCATACACGGGCTAAGTGGGGATGCAGGAAACCATAAACAATCTATGCGGGTGGATTTTATTAGTACAAGGCAGAATTTTCGCATCTATTTAAGTAGGGAGGTTTTTCCTTCCTTTTTTAGTTGTAGTTCTCTTCAATTTTTTTGCCCTTCCCCCCTGACTTGGGTCTAACAGTCATGTATGTTGTGGGGAACCTATACGCCATTACGGCGGTAGCCGTCATTGGCGGTGCCCTGTTCGGTTTCGACATCTCGTCTATGTCGGCCATCATCGCCACGCCGGCTTATAGATGTTATTTCAATCATGGCCCTAGAGGCCCTCCATTCAACGACGACGACGTATGTAGTGGTCTCAGCTCCCTGGCTCAGGGTGGTGTTACCGCTGCCATGCCTGGTGGTTCTTGGCTCGGTGCTCTTATCTCTGGTTTCATTTCGGATCGTCTTGGTCGCAAGTATGCCATTATGGTTGGCTGTGTCATTTGGTAAGTTGTATGGTAGCAGGTTGATGTTTGACCGTGGCTAATAGTCACTGTGTTAGGGTTATCGGCTCCGTTATCGTCTGCGCCTCCCAGAACATGGGCATGCTCATTGCCGGACGTGTTATCAACGGTCTCAGTGTCGGAATCGAGTCCGCTCAGGTCCCTGTTTATATCTCGGAGATTGCTCCTCCCTCCAAGCGTGGTCGTCTCGTCGGCTCCCAGCAGTGGGCCATCACCTGGGGTATTTTGATCATGTACTAGTATGTGACGCACACCTGACATTCGCAAAGTGAAGTAACTGACACTTTCCTTTCACAGCATCTCCTTCGGCTGCTCTTTCATCGGACATGGCAACGATTCCACCTCCCACAACTACAGCGAGTCTGTCTTCCGTATCCCCTGGGGTGTACAGGCAGTTCCCGCCGTTCTCCTTTTCTTCGGAATGATGATCCTCCCCGAGTCCCCTCGTTGGTTGGCCCGCAAAGACCGCTGGGAAGAGTGCCAGTCGGTGCTGGCTCTGGTCCACGGCAAGGGTGACATTAACAGCCCCTTCGTTCTAGCCGAGATGCAAGAGATCCGCGACATCTGCGAGTTCGAACGCGAGAACAAGGACGTCACCTACCTGGAACTGTTCAAGCCCAAGATGATTCACCGCACCATGACCGGAATCTGGACTCAAATCTGGTCCCAGCTGACCGGTATGAACGTCATGATGTACTACATCAACTATGTCTTCACCATGGCCGGATACAAGGGCGATACCGCCCTCCTCGCTTCCTCCATTCAGTACATCATCAACGTGGTCATGACCGTGCCCGCTCTGGTCTGGGTTGACCGCTGGGGCCGTCGTCCTACTCTCCTGATCGGTGCCGTCCTTATGATGACCTGGATGTTCGCCAACGCAGGTATCATGGCCAAGTACGGTGTTGTTGTTCCCGGCGGTGTCGACGGTGTGGCCGAGGCGTCCATGCTTCTTGGTGGCGCTCCTGCCAAGGGACTAATTGCCTGCACCTACCTGTTTGTGGCGTCATACGCCCCTACCTGGGGACCTGTCTCGTGGGTGTACCCTCCTGAGCTGTACCCTCTGCGCGTGCGTGGTAAGGCCGTTGCTTTGGCAACCTCGTTCAACTGGGCGTTCAACACGGCACTTGGTTTGTTCGTGCCCACTGCCTTTGCCACTATCCGCTGGCAGACTTACATTATCTTCGGTGTTTTCCTGGTCGTCATGACCCTTCACGTCTTCTTCTTCTTCCCTGAGACTGCTGGTAAGACCCTGGAGGAAACCGAGCAGATCTTCGAGGATCCCAATGGTATCCCTTACATCGGTACCCCGGCCTGGAAGACTACCCACGATACCAAGCGTACTGCCGCTGCTGAGTCTGGTGATATTGAGGTCATTGGTGAGAAGCTGGCTGGTGCTGAGAAGCGCGCTGCTGCTCATACCGAGGTTGTCGACGCATAAGTGTTGTATATGGTTCAATGGCTTATAATATTTCTTTTTATATCTTTTCTCTCTTGATTCCATGTCGATATGATGTCATGTAATACAATTCAACAAATCGCAAGTTCTCAACATTTTCTATGCACTCGTATTCGTGTAGCATCGTAAAAATGGCCAACTCACCAAATAGGTATCTCGTTCACGGCAGGTCTCGCAAGTATGGGATAATTTGATTGGTAGTTATAGACCAATTCAAAATTAGCCCGGGATGTATATAGGATATTACCAAGGGGTAAGTTATCCAACCCGAAAAGGCGCATCAAAGAAAAAGAATTGCCAAGAGTTTCCGATCGGAGCTGCGAAGCTGTCTGGTCCACGGGGGAGGTGGAGTTAACCCCCTGGAAAAAAAAGGGAAAAAAAAAAACTATTCACGATTTTCCGATCGTTCCGGTTATGATCGAATTTCCCCTTCCTTCATCAATCTCATTTTCACTGGAGCACGTGAGCTCGAAAGGATAACGACCTTCCTACAATCGTCATGGTTCGCCCGCGGGGAAGCTCAGCCTTGGGCGTGGACATTCGAGGTGACACCAGCGCACCGGCAATGTCCACAATGAACGAAGTGAGTCCGATCGAACCAACAGATCAAAAGGTACATATTCAACGCGTCAATCTGGAATCCCAATCCTGACTCCCAATTCCAGCAATTCGATGGCGCACAGAAACAGGCCAGCAAGCCCCAGCCCAAACGGCGTCGCAGTCGCTCCCTCCTCCACCGCTTCGCAGATACCTGTCTACGATACACATGGCTCCTACCGCTTCTCATAATGATGTTCCTGATCTCGCTATATGCCATCAACCCCACAACTTCGAACCCAATGCACAGTGCCATTTTCCTGTCCTACCCGCAACCCCCGAAGACACCCGGCGGACCCATCATGTACGGCAAGGGCAAGAAGGACATTGCATTTGTGGCATTCTACACCATTGTGCTGTCATTCACGCGTGAATTCATTATGCAGCAGATTATCCGGCCTTTTGCAGTCTGGTGCGGTATCCGCGGGAAGGGAAAGACGGCGCGGTTCATGGAGCAGATGTATACGGCGATTTACTTCGGTGTGTTCGGACCGTTTGGTCTGTACGTCATGAAGCGGTCGCCGATTTGGTACTTCAACACGACGGCGATGTTTGAGGGTTTCCCGCACCGCGAGCATGAGGCTCTGTTCAAGGCGTACTACCTGCTTGAGGCGAGTTACTGGGCCCAGCAGGCGATTGTGTTGCTGTTGCAGTTGGAGAAGCCTCGTAAGGACTTCAAGGAGCTTGTTGGCCACCATATTATCACGCTTGCGCTTATTGCGCTGAGCTACCGCTTCCATTTCACGTACATGGGCTTGGCGGTGTATATCACGCACGATATCTCCGACTTCTTTTTGGCTACCTCGAAGACGCTCAATTACCTGGATGCGTATATCACTGCGCCGTACTTTGCCATGTTTGTCGGATGGTGGATTTACCTGCGTCACGTGCTCAATCTGAAGATCCTCTGGGCTGTTTTGACCGAGTTCCGCACGGTTGGGCCATTCGAGTTGAACTGGGAGACACAGCAGTACAAGTGTTGGATCAGTCAATATATCACCTTTTCGTTGCTCGCCAGTCTGCAGGCTGTCAACCTGTTCTGGCTGTACCTGATCCTGCGCATCCTGTCCAACTACATCTTCACCAATGTCACAAAAGATGAGCGCAGCGAGGACGAAGAGGAAGAGGAAGAGCTGGAGTCTGTTAGTGCGACCAAGGCAATTGCCACTGGCGCAGACCTGACCAGCAAGGAGAACCACGCACCCCAGGTTCTGCTCAACGGCGAGCCTGTCGCCGAGCAGCGTGGTCCTCGGACTCGCAGCAGAAAGGCATAAGCCGAGCTCCCTCAGAGTTCGATCAATTACCTCGGCGTCAAACCCGGGGATTTTCACGGTGTTATAGTTATTTTGGATCGGGTTGGTTTCCAGTTGATCCTCTGGATGTGTGGATATGCTGTTAATGTATTTGAAGCTGGGTCTGAGTCCAGTGCAATTGTGCTTAGCCCTTTAGAAGAGCGGGCGCCGGCGCTTGTTTTTTGACGAGCATATGAATTAAGTATTTTTACTGGCCGGTCTCTTTATGTTTTTTTCTTGTTACTTTTGATGTTGAAATGTCATTTTACCAAATATGAAATACTTAATCCCTGAGAAACCTATGCTTATATCCTTGGTAACATCGCGTTTGATACATCATTTGAGGCACAGCATCTCCAATAGATATGCTACACAGTCACAACCTAGGATCCAATTGCCGGGGAAATGAAACTAAAATCCAAACAAATTCTCATCCTCCTTGTATCCAATCTCCTGAAGCGCCGGGAGCACAGCCTTCTGAATCATAGTCGGAGGACCACAAAGCAGCGCCAGATTGCCTTTCTCCGGTCCAAACACATACTTCTGCAGGATATCCTTCGACACATGGCCCTTCTCTCCTTTCCAATTCTCCTTTGGATGTGAAAGAATATGAGTAATCTTGAATTGACTCGGATGGTCCTCAGCCAATTTATCCAATTCATCCCTCAATAGTATATCAGCTTCGGTCTTATTCGCATCGATAACCTTGATATTAGTCTTATCCTCTTCCATGCCCTGATCCTTGGCACGTAGGATATGTGATATAAGCTGGTATCCGGGCGTGATACCGGATCCTGCTAAGACAAGACTGACATTTCGGAAATGATATTCTTTGTCATCGATCAAGAATCTGCCTTGGCCCATGTACCTGATTTCGCCAGAAGGACCTTTGACTTCAATTTCCTCACCGGGACGAAGACAGTCGAGGATATTGCTCATCGTCCCGCCTGGCTGGAATTGATCCGGCGCGTATGTTTTGACGACGAGGTCGAATGTGCCATCTTCTTCTCTTTCGAAAACTGGTCTCGTGGGTGTGTATGGCCGGACGACAAGCCGATCGCTAAAATGGAAGCCTAGTTGGAGATGTTGGCAAGTGCCGAGACCGAGCTTCTTCGTACCCTCCGGTAGCACGAAAGTGTACCGATGAGTGTCCTCGGAAAGCTGTTCTTTTCCTCCGAAGCGAACAATATTCCATCGGTGGCGGTTAAATACGGTTCCCAAGTCCTGCTTTGATGTCTTGGCTTTCTCTTTCGCTACATCTTCGGCTTGTTTCTTGATATGCCGAAGCGTCTTTTCGGTAACAACACCGAGAACGCATTCTGTGTCTAGTCAGTCAAGGTCTGAACAAGAGGGGAAACTGATATATAATACCGCTCAGCTTCTGCTCCGTGTATTCATCGTGAATACTCTCAAATTCAGTTGTAGTATCAGCATGGGCTCTGCCCGCATGAGCCATGATAGGTATCTTGCCGCCAGGATGCCAGTCAAGTACACTAGTCGCATCGTAGACCTTCCCATTGATGATAATCCAGCAGTCATCCTCCGTATTGTGCTTTTCAATTTCCTCACGTGTGAATTGCTTTTGTGGTGATGCCGCCTCATGCTTGATATTCTCGATGCGATTCTCCGTCGAGGGCTGCATCCAGCCTCCGGCCCGGGTGCCAGGCTCGCAGGGATGTCGGAAGTACAGCACTGAGTCGTTTTCATTGTCGTCAATCTCTAAGCGAACTGTGTACCAGCAATTGTTCATCATTCTATACCGAGTCAGCTAATATTCAGTCAACCCGTGGCGGCAGAGACTTGCCCCATAATATTCCATGTGGGCTCCTTCGGCTGTGTGTTTTTGAAAACATTGAAGCAGCGCACAACGATACTCTCGGCTCGAACAAGATGTGGTAATGCAACATCCACGTGCCAATGGAGCCATGTCCAAAATTTCGTGCCATGGCGGATGGGGTATTCGGGAAACTGATTGCAATCGTTTAACATCTAACGCAGTACTAGCACAGATTAATGAGCAAACTCACCTCGCGGACACAGTACAGCCAAGTCACCCCACTGTCAAGACTAACTTCCACCCTCTGGACTTCATGACCACCACCATCGTATGCAATGCCTGCTATACGATAAGTCCGATTTTTATTCACATCAGACAAAGGAATCGCCTCGCCATGTGCAGGCTTCACGATAATTGAGTTGAGATTTTGTTCGTTGCAGGCCGTGCTTGGATGATGAAACATGGTGTGCGAGAACTCCGAGTCTTTATCCCGAATAAAACTAGGCAGAACCCTGTTGTCCCAAATATGAAAATAGCTATCATTCTCCTTGTCAGAGACCCAGATCCTGCACAGCCATTTGATACAACGACCACCGATATAGCCGGGGACTATCAGACGAACTGGATAGCCGTGGTCTGGTGGCAGTCGCACATTGTTCATTTCGTATGCCAAAATCACATCGTTATTAGGGTCCATCACATATGCCAATGGTATGGATGTCGCGTATCTACCCTCTTTGAGTTCATCGGCGCCTTCAAAATGGGCCCAACGTGGTCGGTTTGCGTGGCGTGGGTCAGAGGCCTGGATTCCAGCGGCTAGAAGGACATCACGTAGGAGAGGGCCTTTCCAGAATGCGCAGCTAATGGCTCCAGCACCCCAATTGAAACCTTTCGAGCGTCTTATCATATTTAGCTCTTTTCTCCGGTTTCCGTCGCATGCCAATGCCACTGCGATGTTAATAGGTTCGTAGTTCATAGCGAGATCATCCATCGATAGGATCAGCTTCCCACCCTCTACATCAATCTGGTGGGTTTCCCATAGTAGATGGGGCACAGGACCATGATTGCGAACATAGTGTAGTGAATTCGGAGTGATGAGACCAGCCTCATACAGGTCTTGTAGCTCTGGCTCGCCGTTGAGCGGATGCTTACCCGTTAGGCGGATGAGATGGGAAGATCGCGGGATCCAATTGTCGGGAGTGAATTGATCATCCTCGCTAATAGATATGACCTCCTTTTTGGTTAAACTAACCGGGGACTCAACCTTGCCATCATTCTCTTTCAATGTCTTCATGTAATTGCTCTCCGATTGTAGCAGGCGCAGTAAAGATAGTTCCTGCGGCGAATACTTGTCCTGCGGACCTTTCTCCTGGGCTTTTCCCCTGTCTTCGTCGTCATCATCAAGGGATTGTTGGTCTGTGGCATGTGCTTCGTTGTGCGTCTCATTCTCGCCCCGACCCCGTCTCCACTCGGATTCTTTCTGTGGCTTCTGGTTGTCGTTTTCGTGTCCTTCGTTCTGCTCTTGATTCTTCTTGTTTTGTTCTTCCTCCAATTGACGTCGCCTCACGTTGACAGGCCAATCCTGCTGGTATTTTAGGAAGCCTTCCGTAGTGTGAAGTACATAGCGCCAGCCCTGTGGGTGGTTTTGAGGTAACCTCAAATGATAGTCCTCAAAATAGAAAAGTTAGGGATAAAGGCCAATTGCATCATATAAGTGCTCACCTCTTGCTTTTCCATGTATTGGCGGATATTGATGAGTTCGTGTGCCCCTAGCTTCTTGTTGAGCTCATCCGCTTCTCTCTTCGCCTGAGCCAGAAATTCACGCTCCTCCTCCGGATGCCAGTCATCCCCAATATGTGTGAAAGCCGGATGCCGGTCATCGCGATTACGAAACCCAATTCGGTGGTTATGAGTTAGAACCCAGTCTGGTTCATTTTCAATGTCGTCCTCAGAACAACCACCGCCACTTCGCATTGGATTTGTGTGGTGTGGTGTCGCAGCCATATTCAACGCACCAACCTTCTATTAGTTTAGAAATTCTTAATGAAGTACAACTAGTGATTCTGAAACTCAGCAACCTTCTTGCCGAGGGATGCCGGTCAACATACGTCATAATAACCATAACTCCCCTTCTGGGCTGCCACCGAGATTCTCGTGTTGGAGATTAGAATTAGATTGCGGAGAGATGAATTAGTACCACATTGGCCCTCTTGAAACATATCCTGCTCCAAGACCGCCACCGTTCGTCACTTCCCCACACCTTCCACGAACAAACACCTCTACCCCATATATATACCACTTTAATCTAACTATTCAATTTGAAAAATAACATAGATAGTTTATTTATTCATAAAGGGCTAGTCACTATATATATTTTGCTCCAAGCCAGTCCACGTCACGCATAGCTTTCTTGTTATTACTCGCGAAGATTTTTATCAAGCTTGCGTGATTATTCAATTCAACCTTGGAGACTATGCCTATACCAATAAAAAGTAAATCCAATTTGCTCAGGCTCGCCAGAAGAAAGCGCGTGAAGAAGTCCACGTTTTTCTAGATCCTGGCAAAATTCCTTCCTTGAAAGAAATTCCTCTTCCGTGCAGTCTTGATCCGCATAATCACGATTGTCGCTTCTTTCATTCAGTGTTTTCGTATGCGCAGTTAATTCTGAACCCCCTGAGATATTTGTTATGCCAACATTTGTCGATGATATTGTCAATCAGGGGGTTGCCATCCAATTTTGGAAACTGCATGTTTTGTAGCAAATCCACGACCTTAGGGCTATACTCGTAAGGATTCTCGGTAAGACAGTAATCCCCATAAACTTCAAAACCGTAGTTTTATCAAACAGTATAATGAACTGAGGGCAAACAGTTCTGTTTGAGGGCTAAGAAAGCCAGGAGCTCCACATTCGCCTTGGCCTGACTCGTTATTATTGAGTAGTCGCCCATAGGGAGCTATACAAGCTTCGTAATTTATGCCAGATTTCGCCGTACAATCAAAATCGGATAGCTTTAGTCGGTTACGATCAAGTAGAACATTCTTAGGTTATAAATCACTATAGGCAAGGTTAAGGGATTCTAAGAAAGCGATAGCTTAAGCAAGATCATTTATCCATTCTTTTCATAGGGGTAAAGGCTCCAGCTTTTCTACTATAGTAACCACCCTAGCTTAGTGGTCCCAAGTATATTTCCTTTGTATCCTAGAAGAAAGTAACATATCTAGGGAGTAAATTAGTAAACAAAATTTTAACTTCTAATAGGGGCTGTACCTCTCATATACTCGAGAAAGATACCAGTCCTAGTAACCATATAACACTGCACAATAGAGGGATAAGGTAGATTTTGCGAGAATACTTGATATATCTCAAGCTCTTTTTGGAATTGTTCCCTCTTAAACTTCCAGACTTCGGGACTTTCACCACGATACGAGGGTGGACCTCGTAAACAAACGAGATACCTCCACCCCAGATCCAGTAAACACCTGGAAACTGGCGTTTGTTATCCATGATCGAAAGGTTGATGTGAGATGGAATAGCAGCCCTGGTTTATTTTAAGAAGAGAAGGGATATGAGCCCTGTAAGTGCCTAGCGAGGCGCAGTGGCATAATCAATAACGATTGGTTCAATTGGCTATACTAGTCAGTTACTTGGTGACGAGTCACTTTAGTTATGTTTGCCCTGTGACTGCTAAAATATTATGATCCCTTTCCTAATCATACTACTATGTACTCCGTAAGCACTTCATTACAATTGTAAAGTAACACTAGTTGTATAAATCAAGAGCAGGTTAGATTGTTACGGGATGGCCCGTTCTACACCTAAATAGACCCTATAGGTCTACACAATTATCATGACTTCGACTATAGAGAGTAAAGTAATGAAGACATGTATTTCATGGGGACTTAAAATGCTTAGCTGTATCAACAATTTTCCAATAGACTATGCGTTTAGCCTATAAATCTCCCTATTCTTGATCAAATCATATCGACAACTTACTTCGGCGCCTAAGTCACAGGAGTCTACGGTATTCGCATAACATAATCTAGGAATTGACACCATAGTCGTCCTGCGAATATGTTTGTTGCTATACGAATGGCAGCTACAATGTTTGCTACTTATATAGCTCTTACTTCGAGTTTACTTTATTATCTAGCAAACATCCTTTCAATACCAATTATTCTCATTCTTTTTCACTTCATCCACACTTCATCTTCTTACCCATCTCTACAAGTCAAAATCAGACGTTTACCGCACTACTTCAAGTAGTCACCATGCCACGCAATACACCATTCGGCTCACTGGACGGCGCCCCAGCCCTTACTGTGTTCGCCATCACTCAAATCGAAAACCTGGCAAAAGCCATTGACGAATCCGAGATGAACAATGTTCCACTGCCAGAGTACATTGGTGAGGGCATCGCTCTATTGTCCTCCCAACTGCAGGAATTTCGTCCAGACGATAACATCCCACTCTTCCTTTCTCCCGAGATAGATAAACAAGAGATAATAAACAACAACCTCGAAGTCGCTTGGTACCTCTCTACTTGCATTTATTACCACAATCGCATCAATAACACCTTCATTGTCGATGTTACCTTTGCTGTTAATGGGGTATTGATGTGCCTACTCCGAGCTGAAGAGATCAAGGCGCAGTTGGAGCCTAATTTGGAATCCCGAGATGATCCAGTGACGTTCCCGGCTTTTGTGGCATGCTGCAATGCGGTTGATCGCCAACACTGGGCATCCTGGTGGCAAGCAATGCAAGAATATGACTCTCCAAAACTTAAGGCTCAGTGGAAGGCTATCAGGATTATTTGGTATGTTATGGATGTGACGCAGGAGGTAGGGGAGGTTGACTTGAGCTGGGTGGACATTATGCAAGGGCGTGACGCAAGCCTTTTGTCTACTATGTTTGAAGAACTTGGTTTTTGTTGAAGGAGCTTGGTTTTTCTTGGAGGATCTTTGTTTTGGTTGATGGGGTTTGGTTTTCGTTGAAGGAGCTCGGTTTTCATTGAATGTACACATACAGTCCAAACATTCTTTATCAATCTGACTGTTCTAATATCCTTTGCTATTCCTTCCCTGGTTATTGTTCTCCGTCTCTTGTATATACGCTTCGAGTTCCGGGCTCGATTCAGGTCGTTGACCAGACCAAGGGCTTTTTGTGGCACGTGATTGAGAATATATTTGTGCTGGGTTTGCTCCTGTTCCTCTCTTCTTCTTTCCCTTAGTCTCATCTATTAAATCAATACAGTGATATTGCTCCAGGCACATTAGTAGGAGAGTTCTATAGAGACATCAAATGGTGCAATGTGAGGATAGCAGATTGGAGATTAAGAAAGATGTAAGTTCTAGACAATGAAACCTGTCAAGAATTATTCCTTTTCTGTATGGATCAAATCCAATAAAATTCAAGGCTAGAGTCGCACAATCATCTATCATAAAGTCTGAAGAAATGGAAAACGAATCCGAAGATCTGGAGTCCGAACAAGGCTAAAGTAGTAGGGGTTCTCGACCGCAAAGTGTCTAAATCGACTAGTTGAGCAAAGCATTCGTCATTGAGAGACCTGACACTCTGTATGGAGCAAGCACGATACTCCACTAGCATCAGAACAACCGGCAGAATGGGACAATGGACTATTGTTGTAAATATCTCGATACGCTAATATGACTGGTACCCCCTCGAAGTCAAGACATCTTCACTTTTTTGACTCATCCTTCTTAGGTGCGTCCTCCTTGGAGTCGTCTTTCTTTTCGTCCTTGTGTTCCTTCTTTGAGTCATCACCTTTGTTCTTCTCCTTCTCATCTTGCTCCTCAGCCTCTTTCTTCTCCTCAGCCTCTTTCTTCTCCTTGGGTTCCTTCTTCTCCTCCTTAGGTTCCTCCTTCTCCTTAGGTTCCTCCTTCTCCTTAGGTTCCTCCTTCTCCTTAGGTTCCTCCTTCTCCTTGGGTTCCTTCTTCTCCTCCTTAGGTTCCTCCTTCTCCTTAGGTTCCTCCTTCTCCTTAGATTCTTGCTTCTCCTCCTTAGGCTCTTCCTTCTCTTTCTTGGGTTCTTCCGTCTCCTCAGGCTCTTCCTTCTTGTCCGCCTTACCCTCGGCCTCTTCCTTGGTGTCCGTCTTCTCTTCCTGCTCGGGTTCCGCCTTAGAAGAACCCTCTTCTACCTCACTATCCTCTGCGTGTTCCTTCTTATGTTCGTCCCCGTGGGCATCGTGGTGTCCCTCTGAACCGGAAGGCCAGAGATAAAATACCATTGGAATGGTCACGGCAGCAGAGACCGCCAACCTACAACCAGACGTAATTAGAAGACTGAGTCGAATTGCTCGGAACCAAGAGCATATCCTCACCAAGGCAAGTCACTGGATGCATGCCCAGGCTCATAACTGCCGCCAGTAGACTTAAATCGGCGACTGAGGAGCTGCGCAGACTGGCGAGCAACAGGGGCGGCACGGAAGGACTGAGCTGCAGTTGCAGCGCGGAAGATTGAACGGCGTGCAAAGACCATTGTGTAGTAGTAAACAAGTACGAATAGAGGAGAAGGGGAGAGAATATGAAAAGTGTGATAGATCGAAGTGAATTGTTTAGTAGAAGACAAGCACAAAAGTTCATTCAAATTAACAATACAAACAACGCTACCCGGTTTTAAAGTAAATATGGGGTCGTAAGACCGCATCTTGGTTGTTTCCGAGGTCTGTGCGTCATGATGTAATGGGCGTGGCTGGGGCTGTATTCGGTACTTGAAGAACACATTAAATTTGGTGGTTTTAAATTGTAGCAGATACTCGTGGAAGAACTATAAGGTATGACTTTCAATACCTTACTCTCTCGTATGGTATAGAACTGAGATTCTCAGACTTCTTATATCACGTGGATATCAATTGATCCCGAGGTCTAATTATCAGAATAATTGGAGAAAGATGCATGATATCAACTTTGGTGTAATGACCTATCAGAAAACATTAACTCTGAACAGACAAATATTTGATATGAATAACTCGATATTTTGAAAAGCAGTGAGTAGAATGGACTTCATGCCTCAGGCCATAATTCACACCTGAGGCGCAACACCCCACGTTGCGGCGTCTATCGAAAGCTCCCACCGCAAGCTATCCCCGGTTACCTTCATTTACACTACTTCACCTGTCACCTTTGGTATCAACCTCATTTACCGATAACAGTCATAATTCCATCAATATGGCTGAGCGCCAGGTTACCCAGCAGACAATTTTCAGCCTGCTTGTCAAGCTTGATGACCCCGATGCCGATCTGAGATACATGTCACTGAACGATCTTTATGGAATCCTCACCAACTCCAACTCTTCATTCCTCACTCATGACCGTAACACATCAACGAAACTCGCGGAAGGTCTACTCAAGGCTCTGGATGATCAGCACGGCGACGTGCAGAACCAGGCCCTCAAATGGTTCGCTGAGCTCTGTTCCCATCTCGTCCTGTCGATCGCTAACTCAAACTAGTCTGGGTCCTCTCGCTGTTCGCTTGCCATTCGAATCCCTTACACCTCTTCTCGAGCGATTGGCCAACCTGACTACCTCGCAGACGATAGACACATCCGTCCCCAACACTGCTCTTCGGGTCATCGTGGATACCCTCCCTCGTCCTCAGGCGGGCCAACCCGCTTCTCAAAATGCGACTACGGCATACTCAGCAGTTTCAAAAGTCTTGGTTCCCCGTTTGACCGGGCCGACGCCCTCAAGCACAGGGAGGCGAGGCTCCATGGTGAAGAGCATGATGGAGAAGGATCCATCACGGGGCTTCAGTAGTGATGCCATCGATGTGCTCATCAAAGTCGTGACCTGCTTTGGGCCCCTGCTCCAAGAGTCGGAGCTCGCTGCCCTCCAAGCGTCCGTCATGGCCATCATTCAAAACGACACGGCTGGAACTGTTGTCACCAAGCGCGCTCTGACAGCCATCTCAGCGCTTGTGCTCCACTTCTCCGACGCCCAGCTCAACAGCTTTGTGTCCGATCTGGCAAAGACATTGTCATCCAATATTTCCATGGTGCAGCGCCGGCACTTGATTGCTGCAATTGGCGCCATTGCAAGAACTGCACCTGCCAAGTTCGGCCCACACCTGGATACCCTTGCTCCTTTTGTTTTCTCAGCAGTCGGGGAGGATAACATTACCCCGGGAAACTGAGTTGTCATCATCGCTGGGTTACAACCCATAGATGTCTGACCGACACTCTCCCCTAGACCCTTGCATGTGTTGTTGAGGGCTCCTCAGCAGCACGAGCCTGATGTGCTGTGTCTGACCTAAATTGGCTATAGATCAGGCCATGATCGCACTAATCGCATCTACTATGCTGTGATTTGCTGAATCAGGAAAACTGTACTGGGCTCTTAGGCCAACCGAGGCCCAAGATGGCCTTGGACTTAACGATACCCACGTTCATATTGAATACAAGCGCGTCAACATCTACTTCTACACTTTTATATAAAGGTTAGGGGCTCTTGGGGGTTTTCCTTCCTTCTTTGCTCTAAGTAAACAAATGCCTCGAAGCTTCGCTCCTTCCTTCTCTGTCCTTGTAGAGATTAGCTCATTCCTTCCAAGGTTTTTCCCCTTCGTCTCATCTCTCTTCTCCCATCCCAAATCATCTATCATCCCAACCCATTACTTTTTAACCCAGTTGAATATACAATTACTCTGTATACCATTTTCATAATGCGTATTCCTCCCTTCCTGGTCGCCACTTTGGCGACATGTGTTTTTGCTAGAGTGCATGCCGCAGGTCCTGTTCATACGGTCTCCCTTGAACAATCACTACCAGAAACAGAATCTCATCTGAACGCCCGTGATGCCCCTAACAATTTGGACTATCGCTGTGGCCCCAAGATCGGCAAATGCCCAGTCGGTACATGCTGCTCTAGTGCAGGTATGTTTCGAAATGATGTTAAGTCGGGCAGCTTGCTAATTCGCGAAAGGCTTCTGTGGCACGTCTAAGGCACACTGTCGCTCTCCAGACTGCAAGATTGACTATGGTAAATGTGACGCTCACAAATCACCTTCGGGGCCCCCAACCAAGGAGATCCCTCGTCCTCATGTTGGGCAAGTTCCCTATGGCCCTCGCGAGATTCGTTCATGTGCTATCCCAGGAACTGTTGCGTTGACCTTCGACGATGGCCCGACACGTTACACTGGCGATCTGCTCGATCTGCTTGACAAATACGATGCAAAGGCCACATTCTTCATCACTGGCATCAATAACGGAAAGGGTGCCATCGATGACCTCACCTTACCTTGGGCTTCAGTGATCGAACGAATGCACTCGAGTGGCCACCAGATCGCTAGTCATACTTGGTCGCATGAGGACCTCAGCAAGATCACTCCTACACAGCGCACTGAGCAGATTGAAAAGAACGAAGCTGCGCTGCGCAATATCCTCGGACATTTCCCCACCTATATGCGACCGCCCTATTCCAGCTGCAGCCCTGACACAGAATGCGGAGAGGAGCTGGGCAAGCTTGGGTACCACATCGTTTTATATGACATTGACACAGATGACTACAAGAACGACAGTCCGGACCTGATTCAGCGGTCCAAGGACATTTTTGATCACCAGCTCTTGTATAGCGATCCACGCAGCAAGTCCTGGCTTGTCATTGCCCATGACGCCCATGAACAGACTGTCCACAACCTCACGGAGCACATGCTCAAGGGCATCAAACGGCAGGGGTATCGTGCCATTACTGTCGGTGACTGTCTCCGAGATCCCAGGCCCCTCTGGTACCGCAAGGATAGTCGGATTCCCACTCACAAGAGTAAGCCCAAGAAGTCTGCTTCGGCAGATCCCAACAAGCCGATCTCTTGGGACGGCTCCTGCGGTTCAAATTACACTTGCCTTGGGTCAATCTATGGCTATTGCTGCAGTAGCACCAACTCTTGTGGCAACTCCACCAGTCATTGTGGAAGCGGTTGCCGAAAAGATGCCGGATATTGTTCTGTCGAGGCTCCTTTCAATGGCGATGCCTGGGACCCCAAGGTCGAAACCAAGGGCCACAAGTCAGAAGCTGATTCTGATCTCCGAACCATTGGCACTGCGGCTGCAACATCGTTGTTCCTTGCTTTGATCGTTGCGATGTGGATGTGAAGTGGATGTGATGAATCATCTTGATCTTTGGTTTGGTTTGTCATGATTGGCCGAGTTTTGCAATGTCGACATTATAGTTATACTTACAGGCTGTGGCTTTGTGGCCAATCCATTCGTTTGAACATATCGGCAGACATGGCAGGGTTGGCTCATGGAATCGGAACCATCAAGTAGCAAAGAATACAGAAGTTCGTCTACTGTTTGATTGATGGTCATAGATCCTCATATAACCCTTTAACCATGAAATATCCTCTGACCGTCAAAATAAATGTGATTGTTTTGGATATTGAGAGTAGCTGAGAAAATCCCAAGAGAAATTGTCACTCACACCTAGTCAAGATGTTATGAAGCCAACCTTTCCTCGGAGGTTCCACTCCATACATATAAATGAGGATTTATAGACATGCAACCCTGAGAGATACGCAGATACCAATACCTGACTGAAACAAGCAAAAAAAATCAAAGCAGCATGCCGAGACTCGCTCGAGGGGTATAATGATAGAAGAAAGATAGCAGCAACAAACCAACCCATAGAAAGGAAAGACAACACAAAACACGAAATAAAAATGACAAGAAAAGCAGAAAACTCCCACTATTTCCGCACAATCTTAAGCAACGGCGTAATCCTCGCCCTCTTGCTCAATCCCACGCGGTAAGGCACCCCACTCCTCGCCGAGATGGGACTGTGCTTATCCGGGCCTTTCCCTGTATTCTGTGGTGTATTGACAGATGCAGCATCTGGTTTCGAAGGAGTCTGAGGCTGAGGGGTATTAATTGCTTCGGGAAGAGGGTTAGAGTCAGGAAGTGGATGGGACTCCTGGTTCTCGCTAATAACAGATGTATTGTTATCGGCGTTAGCTTCGATTGATCGAGGACTATTATCGACAACGACAGCCAACTTAGATGCAGGAGTTTGGGCTTCCGAGGGTGGGTTGTTTGGTTCGGGTGTATCTGTGGACTCTGGTGGTGTTTCCGCTTCGGTCTGTTTTCGCTTGCGTCCGCGTTTCTTGGGTGCTGGTTTTTCTGCATCTTGTGTCTTCTCTACAACCGGAACTGGTGCCTGGGGTTCAATGGGTGGGTTTGAGTCCAAAACTTCGGACTCTAAGTCCTCTCTTGGAGCTGCTGGGGCTTCTGGTAGTGGGGTGGCTTTCTCGGTTGGAGGTTCCGAGCTGAGAGGTTTCGTATCCACCCATATCACGTCGTCGTCATCATCAGCAGGGCCGGGTGTGGGTGTAGTCTTGCTTTTTCTAGTTTTCTTCTTTTTCGGCCCCTTAGCTCCTGGTTTTGCAGACTTGGGGGCTGCATCTAGATTTTCTTGGTCAGTCTCTTTGGAGACTCCGCTCGAGGCCGGGGTGTCATCTTCCGAGGTCTCTTCGCTATCGGAGGGGTCAATCGCACCATTTGCGCCATGGTGCTGGAACTCGTGGTCCCGGGAGTTGGCTAGCTCATCATCTTCGTCGCTATCTGGCACGATCTGTTTCTTGGGCCGTCCTCGCTTCTTCTTGGCAACGGGCATACCAACATCTGGCACTGTTGGTAGGACAGCTGGCAGGGCGAGCTCGTCGTGCGTGCTTGACTGGGATTGCTGCAGGGAAATGAGACTGGTCCCAGCGGTGGTGATTTTTGCTTCGCTTAATTGCATGGGTGGAACAGAAGAGAGAGGTTCGGTGTCATGGGGAGAAGAAGAACCCGTTTGCTGCGGTTGGGGTTGTGAGGCTTCCTGGGATGGGTTTGAGGGTGGGTTCTCCTGTTCCATGTAGGGGTCGGTAGCTTGATGGGGAATGATTTTCGGAGGCGAGGTCATTAAATTAGTGGTATCATGGACGGCCAAGTCATATGTACCCTGTGTGGTTGGCAACAAAGTGTGATTGCAGTCGACGTAGGGTTCAATGGGTGTTGGATTATATGTGAAGCTACCACTCTCCTGTTGATCCACCTGATATGTGTGAGAGCTTGGCATGGTAGGAAAAGGCGCGGATTGAAATGATTCTGTCGAGTACAGCGCAGCTATAGAAGGGAGCAGTAGGCTTGCACTTGAAGGGTCATCGTCCAGTAGTCTTCTCTGGGCGATTCCGATCTCCGTCATCATGGCGCCTAGACAAGCTTCGGTATTAGCATATATATCACATGTTTATTTTTGTGCTTCAAAATATGCTATCGCATCGTACCAACCGACCCACTTCCACCACTGGTTGAGGGGATCCATTTGTCCTCCAGCCGCTGCTGCGACGACGATAGCATTGAATGGCCCCTTTCTTGCGATTGGAGGAACTCGTCGAAATTGACATTTAGTTGTGAGCACGTGCTTTCATCAGGAGCAGGCCCGTGTTCATACACTGCATTGTGGGTCGTCTGTTTGGCGGGGGCATGTTGATATTCCTGCAATGCGGGCTCGGAGGGGTGGACAGGGTTGACCGGGGCGGGGAGGTCATCCCCCTCAAAGGGTTCGTCCTCGTCGGAATCCTGAATGATACGATCCAAACTCATTGAGGTTTAGTTATTAGTGTCAGAACTTGTTGAAAAGAAAGTTATCTAACGCGTCCCTGACACGACAACACGTGATGATAAGGTTGGTAGACTCCCGAGGTCTTATTTAACCTCATGTTATACGCTTGGTCAGTATATGGATTAGTCTTTATTTTTGACTGTCTGAATTATAATTCAACATCAAATACCTACATTGTGTTGATATTTGTATTGACTATATCAAATATAGTCATATTTCCAAGTGTGAGATCAGGACGGAGTATTCCTATTTCTGTCTAGTCAACTGGTGGATTTGACTAGACATTGGGTATGAGCGACGTAGATTATGCCGACAAACTTCAAAGTACTATAAAAACCAGAAAATTTCCCGTCGCACCTTTTGCTTCAATTTTGTCTCGGTTCTTATTTCCTTGGTTAAACTAGCCTGTCGTCCCTTCCAAGCAGTGTTCCGGCTTGTTTCTCATACGCCCCGGTCTCGATAATAAGACAGCTAGCGGCGAATTGCACGGGTGTATTTTACATACTCCTTTTTTGCGTCCTTAGAGCGAATATGACGCAAGATTCCACTGGTGTTGAATTTACCGATATTACCTTGCTCGAAGATCTTACAGACGAGTCCGCTGTGTTTGAGATGATTGTTCACGGGACAATATCAGTGATTAGGTTAAATTTTGTTATTGTGACTAGGCTGGAGGGACGTAATCATTGATTCTTATAAGCCTTCTTCCGATTGACTCTCACGATGGGGAAGTCGAAGCAATGATTGAGAGGTCACAATGTCTTCGAAGTAGTAACCGGAGAGAGAGAAGTGAGAAAGGTCGGGTGAGGTAGAGATCTTTATCCCCATTAACAAGCTAGCCCGTCATGTCCCTTGCTCTAGTACTACACATTGAGTTAATTAATAGTCCTCTCTACTGCAGCATGGTTCGACCTCATCCGAAGGTCTTGCCATTTCCCGACAGCAATGATGTTCCTCGGGGGAATAGATAATAGCGATGTTTCAAGATAGGTTAGTTCTGCCTGATTAAAAACTAAACCTGACTTTAGCCTTAGCGTCAGGATTCTTTTTGAGATATTACTGAGGAGTATAGTCAAAAAGAAAAAAAAGAAGAGGTCGTGCCCGGGATCGAACCGGGATCGGTGGAATCAGAATCCACAGTGATAACCATTACACTACACAACCGAATTTGTTGATTGGGCCAGCATTATGTGCTTGATAAACCAAAAGCCCCACACGGGACTAGGTCAAGCCCTAAGAGATTCAGTACATTAATATTACTATAATTCTACTATTCCAACTACGCAGATAATATTCTCTTAGGAAACTCCCGGTAGGCTGAACATTAACATTTTATTCCTCTAAGGTCGGCTAGTTGCATTTGGGATGTCTTTCTCGATATAAGTAATATTCGGCCGCTTTCAGCACTGAATATATATATCCGAACAAGTGATCATTTAGAAGCGCCACCATTGCCAAAGCCACATTCCATGATATTCAAATTGATATCGGATGATAACCGTAATTATCATGATTGCGATTAATGTCAAACACTTGGATTCATAGCGAGGTTAACAGCCGACGGGATACGTTTTAGTACAATGTCAGTCGTACATAGGGTTTAACAACCAAGAAAGCAGTATAGCATTTGCTTTTTAGAAAAGACCCTTTCACATTTGGAGACCAGTAGTTATCATCCTTGACCTCTGCTCAAGCATAGTATTTCCAACCAACATGGCCTTGAGACTGGCACTGTCTCGATGTCAGCAATGCAGAATGATAGCCTCTTCGATAGATATGCCTGAATTTTTCAACAGGATATAAATAGTAACGATTAATTCCACAATTGAGATGTATAGTTGCAGTAGACTGCCATATTCTTCGCCCTCCGGGCATTAGTCCGCCAAATGGGCCACTCAAGTAGGGCTTTGGCGTAGTCTAAATTATTTCATGGCCGGAATAGCCGTTTATGAATGCCTTTCGGTGAATTTTTCATGATACATGCACATGAATATCTATGAATACTGTAGGAACAGTCTATCTACACCACCCCCATGTAGTTATTATTCACTTTGAAATATACTTACCATTTGTAGTACATTTCGATCGTGCATAAACTCTAGAAATATATAATAGCAACTGTGAAATCGTGACGCAACACATCTGGTTGTGTAGTGTAATGGTTATCACTGTGGATTCTGATTCCACCGATCCCGGTTCGATCCCGGGCACGACCTCTTCTTTTTTTTCTTTTTGGCCATATTTTCGACCCACCGTTAAGATTATTTAAAATTTGGGTTATTAATTTCATTAGTTGTTATTGTGGGAGCATTGGCGATCCGTCTCATAGGTTCAACAAGGGCAATTGCAATATAAGAATGTCTGACAGTACGCCTATTCTCAAACATGGTAACAGGTAATTTGTTGCATTATTCACCTATAGAACACACTAGATCATAAAGGAAAAAGGCAAATTCGACATATAAGATAAACCAAACTCGAAACATCACGCCGAATATTCCACCTGCTCACTCTTCGCATCAACCATTTCCATGACCTCATCCGAATCCGCAAAAGCCTTATCACCGAACGCAATAGCAATCTCCTCGAGAGAATGATGTGCCGTTTCAACATAGTAAAAGTGAACCAGGACGGCGGAACTGAGACAAAATCCCGCAATCACCAGGTAGAAATAACCGTGAATGCCGGCGAAAGCATCAGGAGAAACCATTCCAATGATGAAATTGAAGACCCAATTGCTAGTCGTAGCCAGGGCCATACCTTTACTCCGGCCGCGGAGTGGGAAGATTTCAGCAGGTAGAAGCCACGGCATTGGACCCCAGGTGAATCCGTAGATGATATTGTAAAGCATGACGAAGGCATACTGCCCATTTGCTTTGACTTGGACGTCTACGTTGATTTCGGTGAAGACGCAGACAATGGCTAGAAGGACGGCCATGCCGAGACCTGTTTGGATTGTTAGCTTTGTTTTCTCCATAGCGAATATTCAACTGACCTCCAAGAATGAGTAAAGGCTTTCGGCCCCATCTGTCCGCTAACCACCAGGTAACGACTGTTGCAGCGGTGTAGGGAAGAGCATTTGCAGCAGTGAACAGCAGGGATTTGCGATTATCATAGCCAGCGGAGGAAAGGGTGCTCGGGAGGTAGAAAGAGATGATGTTGATTCCGTTAATCTGTGCAAACATCTGCACCGTGATTCCAACAATGGTTCGTTTGCGATACCGGGTGAACATTTCCTAAAATCGTGATTTTAGATTAATGATCTGAGATACCTAACACAAGTGATAGGGGGGCATTACCTTCCAACTAGACTTCCCAAGATTGTTCTCATAGATAACCGCTTCTTGAATTTCAAGGAACGTCCGCTGAACATGCTCTGCTTCGGTATTACCATCAGAATGTAGATCTGCAATTGTCTGCAAACTTTCATCCACAAAGCCATTCAACGCCAACCATCGAGGCGTCTCTGGTAGGAAGAAGGACATGCCAAATAAGATAAAAGAGAACACAATCTGGATAATGAACGGCCCCTGCCATGAGATATGATGTGGCAGCAAGAAGTTAAACCCATAGTCCACCCAACAAGAAAGCATATATCCAGCGATCAAACAGGTATACTCAATACCAACCATCAAACCTCGACGATGGGGTGCCGCAATCTCCGTTTGAATGATAGGCACAGTCATAGAGAGGAAACCAACGCCCAAACCTTGGATAGTCCGGCCTGCGATAAAGGTTGCAAAACCAGGCGCAAACATCTGGATAAACGAGCTGAAGAAGTAGATGAAAGCACCGAGGCGGACGCATTTCTTTCGGCCAATCATGTCCCCAAGACGACCCACTATCAGGGCTCCTACCGCCGCTGCTGCTTGTAAACATGCAACCGATATGCCTGTAATTGAGGGATCGACCCCGCTTGTCGTCCCATCGGCTCCACCGTAGTTCTTGAAGAAGCGGGATATAAAGATTTCGTTGACCAGCAGGCCGGACATGATACCTATCAAATCAGGAGCTGTTTTGACAACATATTTGAGGATGTCATACCGGAATTATAACCGAAAAGAGCATCTCCCAAACTGCCGAAGGCACATGTTGCATAGAGTAAGGGTGTGCCTTTGAAGGGATACCTGGCTGAGACTTTCTTGGGTTTGAGTTTCCTCTCTAGCCAGCTTTGCTGTTCCTCAACTTGTGCGGCGACAATGAGGGAACGCTCTCTGATAGTCGCGCCAGGCGCTGGCTCGGAAGATTTCGTGATGGTCATAGTGCCGGGGAGCAATTGACCAACAATGAGTATGGAAACCAGTGGATTTCAATGATCAAGAGATATTTTTGACTAACGGTAGCTAAGCGGGGAATGTCCTTGCATATTTATACCCCAGACATGTGGAGAAGGTAAATTCTCTCCAGGATAATGGGGAAATGGATCCTAAGTTACACCATGTCACGACTTGGTTTGCCGACATATGTTTTTATGGCCCGATATTGCTATTGGATAATAGAGGTACCTGGGGCCTCTTAGCTTCTGGGCATCCTCCCCGATCCCGGCTCGGGAAAAGTGACCTTATTGATCATTTATGCTATAACTACGGAGTACGGAGTAGGTAGACCCATAGTAAAACTTTTTGACTCAATTTCCTTTTGGGGGGGAACCGGTTCCGAGATAAAGTGGAGCCCTAATCTCGGTTCCGGTGGCGAATATCAACGGGATGGCTTAATGTTAAATGACCCGGTTCCTGAAGTTCCCGGGATGTAAAATCGGGATTGAATAAGAACACATGAGTCGAATTTAACATGTTAATATATTATTCTAAGCAAAGAATTCTTAAGTCCTAGTGGTATGCTCAGATATCATTCTGTTTAGATAGATGGTTAAAAGCATGGCGGAAAAGGCTTTGTGAAGTGGCCTTCGATATACGAATTTCTTATACTAGTCCGGCATAGTAAATGGTCCGGCGGATAAGTCTCAAAAGGATCCGCTATAAACTCACTTGAATAATGTAATTGAGTGGGTAAACCTCCAGGACGTTCATATTTAAAGCTCAGTAGAATCCCAGAAGCTTTTCTCTCGCAAAGAAAAGAAGAACCACAAACATGACCGTCACAGAAGCTTCCCAGGTAGTCTCGATCCTGGTCCATGACCCAAAAGTATGGGTTTATGTTGCACCTGCTAACTCCCAAAATCCCATCTAGACTCCCAACCAGGCCTTTGTACTACATCCCGGAGGGACATTTACATTCGAAGAACGCAGCACACCCACCCTCCAATCAGATCGAGATGTCATAGTCCGAGTAATGGCAACAGGTCTCTGTGGTTCAGACGTAAGTGGAATAACTTCCCCCATTCCTCTCTCCCCTTTCCCCATCCATTCCCAATACATTTACTAAAAATCCCAGGTCCACTACTGGCAACACGGCCGAATAGGCCCCTACATCGTCAAGGACCCAATAACCCTAGGCCACGAGTCCACAGGCATAGTAGTATCCGTCGGAACGGCCGCGGACCTCAAAATCGGCGACCGAGTCGTCCTGGAACCCGGCATCGCCTGCAACACCTGCACCAACTGCCGCAGCGGCCGCTACAACCTGTGCAAAACGATGAAATTCGCCGCAACACCACCTTACAACGGAACACTCGCAACATACTACCGCGTACCTGCAGAATGTTGTTTCAAGCTCCCAGCGCATATCTCCCTGCGCGACGGGACGCTAATCGAGCCGCTTAGCGTGGCTGTGCACAGCTGTCGATTGGCGGGGTTTATGCAGGATAAATCGCTGATTGTGTTCGGGGCTGGGCCGGTGGGGTTGCTTTGTTGTGCTGTTGCGCGGGCGTTCGGTGCGAAGACGGTTGTTGCTGTGGATGTTGTTCCTGGGCGGCTTGCTTCTGCCGTGAAATTTGGTGCTACGGATACATACAAAATGAGTGATGGGACGGTGGAGGAAAATGCGGTGGATTTGTTGGAGGGGGTTGGGTTGGAGGGTGCTGATATTGTGCTTGATGCGACGGGGGCGGAGGCTTGTTTGAATTGTGGTATTCTTGCGCTTGTGCAGGGTGGGACGTTTGTTCAGGTTGGATTGGGGAAGCCGAATCTGTTGGTTCCGGTTGGGCAGATCTGTGATAAGGAGATTGTTTTCAAAGGGAGCTTTAGGTATGGGCCTGGGGATTTTAAATTGGCTATTGGGTTGCTGGATTCGCGTCGGATCAGGTTGGATGGGCTTGTTACTCATGAGTTTCCTTTTGGCCAGGCTGAGGATGCTTTTAAAAATGTTGCTGGGCGAGGTGGGATTAAGAGTGTGATTTATGGCCCGAATGTTGATGAGGAAGAGGCAAGAGCAAGTTTAGTATAGTACCTTGGTGTATATAGATTATCCATAGAAAGAATATTGAATATGCTACTACTTGGTCATAATACTAGGCGACACGTAATGATGTAGTGTGACTGTGTATCTATACTCTTTTCATCTTTTATGCTTTATTATATAGACCATTTACTCTCAAACTCCATTCCACGTCATGTCCCATAACCAATACAACCCGCCTTCAACATTATCCTGATGATTGTTTTCTACAGGCTCCCGAGACAGACCAGACATACTCCAATCGTATTCTACTGGCTGCCATACTTCATGTGTCTGCATTCCTGGCTCAACAAACTCACGAACTTGAAGGCTATCTCCGCCAGTAGGAACACCGGAGCGATCTCCTGGGCCCAATACTAGAAAAAACACATGCGTTAGCCAAGTCCCACGATTTCAGCTACCTTACTGATAATAAGCTTACCATATTGTACAGATGTCAAGCTATTGTTCAAACGATCAGCCCTGCTAAGATCTGGCAGACGCTGGTCTCTAGCAAGAGGATTGCGAGAATCCCAAGCGACATCGAGCGGCATGCGAAGCGTATCTTCGACAGAAATCAACGGATCGGCCAGGGTCTGCAAAGGCTGGTGACCTATTACTTGACTTGTTCCGGTGATGGGAGCAAGCATGGCAGCCGATTCACGACGGAGGTGCATAATGACAACATTCTTTAGCACGGCGGTGCTTTGTTTCGATAATGCGAATCGTCTTCCGAGTAGATCTTGCAGACGAAGAATGCGGGTAATTGTGCGTTTCACTTCCTGGGCGGTATCGGAAAGAGGCTCTGAGAGAGCCATTACTGCTAACACGATTGCGGCGTTGAATAGGTTGATCGCAAGGAATGCGCCGAGATGGCTGTCAGTGGCGAGCTGGGCTAGAGCCGGCATTTCTGTCACCCTCGCTGTTCTTGTTGCGGCGTTCATCCATAGATCCGGACTCGTGGTCTGGGTATGGGGGAATGCGGAGTCGGGTGATAAGTTTGACTGAGCCAAGGAGGGAGCAGTGTTCGAATGGTACATCATGTTATCTGTTCTGCTTCCATCCGGTGACTGCTTATTCACGGTATAGAGATGATCAACCTGCCGTGCTAACAATGGTCGATGCAGTACAATGAGAACATTGTCGTAAGTCAATTGCAGCGACAGAGATTGCAGGGCATGTGCCCTCAAGCTCGGCCTATCGTCAGGATCGAAGTCCCGATTGAGATCCAAAGCCAAATGGCTCGGTAAGCAGGATCGCCATTTTTGCAGGTTCTCGGTAGCCTGTCTGACTAGTGCAAGATATGTGTCCCCGTTCAGCTGTTCAGACGTCCTTAGCGTACGTGAGCCGAAAACAGTCTTGAGGGCAGGCGATGCAATCAAGTAGAGTTGATTCAGCTCCCGCTGGTAGGTTGAATAGCATATGGGACTAGCCTGACCCGAAGCTGGAGCAACAAACTTCGGGTTCTCAAAGACATCCGCTGGCATGTCAAGGTTGCAATCCTTGTCGTTGATGCCCAATGGCCGGCCATAGGTAATTGACGCGAACCTATCCCATGTGTAGATTGTCCACCACACTCTTTTCCTTTCTTCGATAGTTTCGAAATCTCCCCGTACAAGTCCCCGGTGCATTCCTAAAGATTGAGACATCTTTATAGTCGCTCCTAATAAAGAAAAGGAGAGGTTTGGACGGCCGTGATAGACGTGATGCGATCCTAAGAGAATGCAGGTCTGGGCGGAGGTGACTGAAGGTTGATCCATTAATTCCAATAGAATTGATTCAACCAGCCCCAACAAGTCTGCACTCAATTTCTCCATATAATCGCTGTTGTCGGCCGGATCAGCGCAACTCTTCTGAGACCGGTACCACGATGACATTGCAAGCATCATGGCCAACAGCACGAGAAACGGCCTTTGCGAGGGATATGCATAACCATCCGCGATGGAAAGGAGACTCTTCCTAAATTTTGGCTCGTACACGGCGAGAGAAAACCAGTGTACGGCATCAAAATAGTCTTCCAACAGACTGTATACAAGTTCCATAGGAGGGAACGGCCGACTCAAGATAGAAGATATCGGAATGCGCTGGCCAGTTGCTGAATTTGCCATTGAATTACCAGTGCTGGCTTGATACCCTGGTATGGCGGATGTGGTTTGTTCATCAATGTTATGGCTGCCAAGTTGACAGATTCTTCGAGCAATTCCAATGGCGGATTCGGCTTCACCGCAGTCGAGAGATGGAGATATATCACGCCTTCCAGCTGGGAAGTCGGCGTCATCGCCGCTAGCGTGCACATCTATGAATCTACCCTGGTCAGGACTTCTTTCACGGCGATCAGTGCCATTTCCATCCGGCGACTTTTCGGTAGTAGTCACTGGAGACGGATTAGATCGATGTTGGTCAGTCCGTGGGTTTCTTTTAGAACCCAGGCGCCTAATATCGCATGTAAGTAAAAGGTCAAGTTATAGCACGCTGCACGGCTTACTTCGGCAGAGTGGCCCTCCGTGCGTGGGTCGTTGGAAGTGGTCGGCAATCAACTTTAGCTCGGATACAGACCGAGCAAGGTCGAACAGGATCACACTATGTGCAAGTTAGATCCAGTATATGCCACTAGGTCCTGTTCAGAGGTTTACCCGAGCTTTATGGCGACGACATCTTTCGCAGGCACTCCGGACTCTGGTGGGCAATGGCGACCGGACGTAACTGCTCTCGACAGGGTCAACATTGAAGTCACCAGTCATGATTATGAGGTGATATTTGAAGGTCGAGAAATGGGAGAAATAAGATTTCGGGAACTAAATTTGTCGGTAGCGGTCACGCGATTGAATTTCTCCCTGAAGTTGTTTACTATACTGGTAAACGCTATACAATCAACCACTAACCCTGTCTTTTTACAAGACCAACCCGTTGGAATTCTATAGAGCGTACATTTGTCTCCCGAGGTGGTACCTATTCGGAGTACGGGGTAGCCCGGGACCCCGGGTCCGGGGATAAATATTTACTAAGCACGATAAACCTTCCTTCCAACCTTGGAAGGTTAGGCTGAAGGTTCCCCGTAGTGCAGGTTGGGGTTAACCTATTACTATCTGAGTACTTAGGTTTGAGGTTACTAGGACTTTTCTGTTTAGTGTGTTTACTCCTATTGTCTTCTCCCCTCTAGTTTCTCTAACTATTCTCTTCTTTCCATCTCCTTTGTGTTCTCGTTTCTAAACTTTCACGTACCATGTTACTCTCCTGTTAAATAAAAAGGTCATCATGGGCAGAACCAGACTCTGACTGTTACTGACAAAGAAATCCATACATATAATGACACCCAACGAGGGCACTAATTGAGGTTCTGGTTCATAAAGCACATAATGCTGGCCCAATCAACAAATTCGGTTGTGTAGTGTAATGGTTATCACTGTGGATTCTGATTCCACCGATCCCGGTTCGATCCCGGGCACGACCTCTTCTTTTTTGTTTTTTTTTTTGTTTTTCCCCTTATTTTACAACCCTATATGCGGAACAATTTTACCGAGGCCCAATCAGCTCTAGCGTTGAAAAAAAAAACCCAGATAAATACAGCCGTGTCCCCCACGCCTTTGACTCTTTTCTTTTTTCTTTTCTATATCAACTTCACGGGGCTCCACTTTGTGGCTTGCTGAGGCTTATCCGATGGCTTCGGCCTTCATGGGTTTTCTTCCGTTCCCGGCCCTGGAGAGTATAGAAACGTTCCTCTTTATACAACACCTTATAGCTATGCTAGGGTATCTCTCGGGGTACCCATTGGGCGCTAGCTGTGGGGAGGACGTCACATAACTTTTTTTACTTTATCTAATCTATAGCTTGGAATACAATTTTATAATTTTTGCAATGTCTAATATCTTCGTAAAAGTATGAATGTTCTCGGGATGAATTCCGAATTCTAGATAGTACACAAATCCGCGGCATGGCGAACAATTCATAGAGTGCTGTGGATTTAGCGCAGAAACAACTTTGAAGTCCCTCTATACAAGGTGGTACGTAGTCTATACCATTCGAAAACATAATTGATTGTAGACAATATGAATAATGGGAATCTCATGTACAAGTTCAGTATGTACTATGCTAATAAAAGAACACCGGACCAAAGTCCTATGCTAGTCAAGGATATCTTGAAAGAAGTAGATAAAAAGGCTGATGCACAATGCTGGGACATCGACAGATTTGGAAAACGTAAAAAGAGAACGCCAATGTCACCCATAAATTCATTTGCCGAATACGGTATACCGAACACCGAAATCAATAACATGACATAATCCAATGCCTACAAAAATGCAACAGAAGAAGTAATCCCAACAGTCGAAAGTCACGGGGTATCTCAAGCCACAGACACGCGTGCATCGAAAAGAGGAAAGTTGAGAGAAAAATCAGAGCACGCCGCCGGGAAGATTGATTTGTCCTTGGCGGGCGCCATCGAAGCCGGCACTGTTAGGTGCTGCTGCACCAGGTCCTGGAGTAGTTGAAGGGTTGTCCATATGGATCTTCCGCAGCATGAACATTGGCTTCCGGCCTTCCTTTTCTAGCTGCTTGAACAGGAGAAGGGGCTTTTCCTGCAATTCCAGACAACGCTCTTGATCTCCATAAACGATGTAAAGTGCGTAATTCTTCCAGTCAGAGTTGATGTTGTATTTCTTAAGAGCAGCTGGTAAGACCTTGTAGCAGGGGTCTTCCCAAGAGACTCGGAATGACTTGAAGATTTCCACGCTATTTGGATTCTCGCCGCCTCCGCCTCCGCCACCACCGCCCCGTGAATCAGATCTATCGAGTCGCGGGTCAAGACGTGATGCAGTGGATGGTGTTTCGGCGCGGGACGCTGGCAGCTGACTTGGGGTGAGTCGGTCTCCTCTAGAATGTATTGTCGGGGTCTGTTCCGCATAGTCATAGGCTGTGTTGCGGTTTGCGCTGGATAGTGGTTGGGTATATGATCGTGGATTGAGTGTCTGCTGATGCGCGTGGTGGTGATGAGGAGACGTTGGTGAAGGAATTCCAGGTGACAGTTGTGACCCTCCATTCATTGAGCTTGCCAAATGAGACGAAGGGGCCATGGCAGCGGCTGACGGATTAAGGTTGTCGTGATGAGAGCGTCCATCATAGCTCGTAGGTGGAGGGTGGGTTGGCGAATTGTTTTTGGGTGTGTTGCCATTAGGATGAATGCGCTTGGAGAAAGCCCGCGCAATTTTCGACCCAGAGGAAAGTTCGTGGGTGACTGTGGGTTGGGGAGTTGTTGTGAGAGTGGCCGTGCTGTCGTGCCAGTTTTCGGAAGATTGTCCACCAGAAGAGGGTGGAGGTAATGGATGTGACCGATCTTTGACTATTTTGATCACTGGTAGGATTTCTTCGCGCAACCGACGGTAATCGTCTGTGATCCGGCGCAGCTCTGTTTCGACCAACATGAGCTTTTCGTCTCGCACTTGAATCGATTTGATTAAACGCGCGAGATCCTCTTGTGTCGCGGTTTCATTCATACTCTGGTCCGCCGCTGCAAAATTGGGTTAGAAAGTGATGTTAAACCGGGAGGTTTGTGAACATACAAAGTGGAATATAATGGTCTGCATCGAGAGGAACATCTTGCTTGACTTTGATTTCATACACCGTTTTCAAAATCGTCAGACGATGTCCCACACTGTTGATGCCCATTTCTTTCAACTCCTCATGCTTCAGGGCAATAAGGGCTTCACCGACAATTCCATTTTCTGGGTAATATATTACGGTTAGCAAAGAGCGCGAACTAAATATGACCGAATAACATTACTTACCTCGGAATGTACCGTGATATTGAAGCAATCCAAGCGATGTTAAAAATTCCTTGCATTCATCCACTCCCCATTCCGTGATGAGTGTTCGCGGTGAGCGAGGACCATCCATCGGATATCCGAATTTGGTAGGGGTGTGTTCTGAGGAGTGAATATCGGAATCCGTGGGGGAAGATTCCGAGTCGATGTGAAGGTGGGGTGAAGTTATCACACTGCGCTCGTACTCATCGTCCGCATCAGAGTCGGCGTGGTAGGAGGTGTGGAGAGACATGACGGGGGGACCTTTGGCCCTTTGGCGACAAGAAGATATTCACCGAAAGAGATGAATGGGACGAGTTCACAGGCGCCACCGCCAGGTTGGAGGTACTCGGTCCAGCAAAGACAGATGAAGTGATTATCGGCGATAATGCGCCGAATGCTCTATTTTGTAAAGCGCGGGCAGAACGAGGGGACGTCAAGACTCGAAGGTTTCAAGGCGAACATGGGCGGGTTCGCAATGTATTCCAGCAGATACGGGTTGTACTGCGTCTCTCGTGTTTTTGCCGAAATATTTTCTCGATGGTCCTTTCCGAGGGGTGACGAGTGCGAAGACGCGGCAATCAACAAGCTGAGCAAAGCGGGGAAGGTTGGCGCTTCAGGGCCACGGCGGGATAGGGGTGGAAGAAAGTAAGGCCACCTCTCAAAGCGAGCGATATGTCTCTGTTCTCTGAAGCCAAACGTAGACTTCTGTCTGGGAGCAAGCTTAGAGCAAATGTCGAGATTAGGCGAAGAAGACGCTGGTCTAATGAGGATGGGATTCACGTGACTGGGTCTGGACTCATAACGGTGGAACCTTGAAGTATACAAACATCAACATCTCTTTTCTTTTTTAGGAATTCCATTTGTTTGACGCTGAGTCTAGCATTTTACCTAAGCGGGATATATTCTATAAAGACTCTATATCTCCAGGATGACCGAATTGAACTTGTGACCTGAATACCCCACTATCGAAATGATGCCAAGCCATAAACAAACCGTTATAGCTTAACAGTTCCCGCTATAACCTACAATCCTCCCTTTACTCCAACCCAGGCACCCATTAATCTTCAATAATGCTAAGCTGGGATTTTTGGGTGCGCTTGAACACTCTTCCTCAATGTGGTCCTCCATGCCAACATCCTTGTACCCGTTGGAAAACCGACTTGGGCATGATCATTAATAGATGGCCTATGATGGGGGCATACCAGTTAGTGTTTATTTATAATCTAGATGATTGGGAATATTTACTACTGTTTTATGTATTACAAGATCTATCACGCATATTGCAGCATCTTCTGGGGGCGCAACCCCGACGCCTTTAGCCATGAGCTGGGCTTCATAAGCGGATCGAATGGCACGTTTGATATAGCTATCCATTGGTGGTGATTGATTTTGAATTAACAACAGATAATGACGTACAGTGCGGCAGCGTACTTCATTCGAATACCCTGCTCCTGGGAGCTACGACGGATTATTCGCATGAGACCTCTCAGCCCATAGTTGCTTGTGTATCGCTAGTTTGGCCTGTGATTACATTTGTACTTGGTCATCCTAGGAAACCATATTGCATTTCACAAACTTGAGATTGTTGTATAGGAGAAAACATCGATATCCGGACAAAGAAATTGGTCCCGAGGGATTCGATGAACGTACGGACTCAGTTCCTTAGCTATCTCCTGGCCTCAAATTTCGTCTAGATCTGCAATGGTAGCAAAATACCCTGGAATGAGCAGACTACCAGCAGGGATCAAAGGTAATAAAATAGACCTTGGGAGCCTTGGAGTACCTCCTGCGTCATCAGAAGCTAGGAGCCAAAGCTCCAGGGACGAGAAATGCAGTATTTCGAAAAAGGGGATATGCAGAACCCCAGTGTGAATTGGTCTATTCAAATGCAAGAGCGCCCGTAGACTTCGTATGCAAACCCATCAAATTTGATGCCGAGCAAAAACAATCTGTACTCCTTAGAAAGAACCCGCCATGCATGATCGCATTTTGCAATGCTGCTTCCCAGCCCGGTGTCATTATTTCTTGTCGCCGTTGGGCGCACTCTCGCCTTCCAGGTCGGCCACTTCTCGTATGATATCCTTCAATCCGCGAACACCTTCCTCGACCACTGTCACCGGAATGCGGACATTGACTTCTTCGATGTACTCCAGAGGATCATAAGGATGATCTTTGGCCTTGCCTTTCTTGATACCGTTGGACTCTTTTCCATTTGTAGTTTCACCGTTCGCGTTCTTGGCCCCCAGTGCGGGGTGGGTTCGGCCCTCTGCCGAAGCGAGCACTGCCGCCATCACATCGTCGAAGGTCTCACAGCGGCCGGCGCGGAGGAGCTCTGTGGCGAGGGCAGTGACTTTTTCTGTCCAGCCCATGCGGTGGAGGGAGCCGAGGAGGTTTTCCTGCAGATCTTCGAGTGCGCTGCTGGCGGACAACTTGACGAGGAGGTCAGATTCGAGGGCGTCGGGGGTGGAGGAGGCTCCGTTTGTGGAGGTGGAGGATGGCATTGTGGATGGTGGAGTTCGGATTTCGCACAACGCTTGGACAAGGTAGAACACGATAGGAGCTTTTGACAAAAGCTCTAGTTCTCGCGCAAAAGAAAAGATGTAACGCTTTGCGCAAAAGCGATGGTCGGAGAGGGCCCGCCCTTTATTTCAATGCGGGTTCGAAAGCGGATTAGAATTACATTGCATGTAGCGCACAATAAACATGCATAAGGACCAGACAATTGAAGCTGAATAGAAAATCAAATAGGGAGAGTCGATGAATTATGTCGGAAGACTCGCATCCACAGATCGGACAATCGGCATTGTGGGTCCGAGCGGTGAATCGCCTGAATCGGCTGAATCGCCTCTCTTATTCTTCTATTGATGCATTGTGTTGAATTAATATGATCTTCTCATGCATATATATGTACTATTTTCCTATCTAGCACAGAAAATAACTCCGATTTAGCCTTGATAACAGGGCGTCTACGACTATGATCTCATTGATATCCAGGAAGACGATCCTGATATCCACTGACAGATCCAAAAATGAGACATGCATCTTCGGGCCTACAGCTTACTGTCCTATTTGGATTTAATCTCAAATGGGCCAGGGGAAGGATTTGTCAGTGCCCAGGCAATACCGTCACTCATCACCTCATCCCACCTCTTGCTGTCAGGGAGCGTCTTGTACCTCCTGAATCCATGAGGAACGCCAGGGAAGACATGAACATTGGTAGGGATACTGAATGAAAAATTTAGCTTTTTAACACCCCCGAAGACCAAAAAATCCGGAAAACTCACCCATTCGCAGCGAGATGCTGTGCATAAAACAGACCCTCATCTCTCAACGGGTCATTTCCCGCGATTCCAAACGTAGTAGGCGGCAAATCCTTAACCTCTTCCGCAGTGGCATTTCCAGGGCTCATACGACGATCTCCAGCAGCGTCCTTGGTGTCAACAAGTCCAAGAAGCTCGGTGAACAATTTCATTCGAGTCACCGGCAAGACAGGCGCATCGGCACATTGCACATAGCTCGACAAATCAGGGCTCTTCAACATCTCCAGTCTCGGCGCATAGTGGTCCCATTGTACAACACAAGGAATCATGAGGACCTGTCCCGCAATCTTTGGACAGGCCGCTAAGCGCTTATCCTCGCCGCGCAGCTGAGCCAGCGCCAACGACGCAGTCAACCATGCACCAGCTGAAATACCACCCACGACAACCTGCTCGCTAATCCCGCCAATATCGGCAATGTTCTCGTGTAGCCAGACAAATGCGTCTTCGACGTCGTTCCAAGCAGTGGGATAGGGATATTCGGGGGTGTGTCGGTAGTTGATATTGAAGACCACGACGGGGGTACCCTTCTGGACTCGCGAGGTGACTATCCGCGAGCAAGTGGCGTCTTCAGAAGAAAGTGTTCCGAAAAGAAAACCTCCGCCATGAAGATGGACGTAAACGGGCAGACGCTCGGATATTGGGATGCCGGCCGGGCGGTAGGTGCGTGCTTCGAGGGGCGTGCCGTCACGAGCTGTTATTGTGTGGTCCTGTAGCTGAACTGCGGCGCTGAGGCCGATCATATCTTCGGCGGCGGATACCTCGCGGCCTTTGTTTACCAATGCCTTTAGTTGTTCCACCGAGAGGTTCTTGGGGAGCTCAGGCAATGTCGGCTCGAGGGCGACCCATTCAGCGCTGGGCGTACCATATTCGGTGAAGTCGGCCATTGTTATAGTGACTAAAGATGATCTTATTACTAGGAGAAGAAGAAAAAGAAGAAGAAGAAAGAAGTGCGAACGTCATATTCGGGATTTAATAAACCCCGCTAAAAAGGCAGAGCCATTCACGGAGGGGTATGTACAACGTTGTACATAGATCAGGGAGATATCGCCATCAGCTTTACCCCACACATCACCTCGGCTCGGCTTCCGGTAACAAAATATCCCATTCGGTAACCCCGCGTGAATTTGGACTATTTAGGTATGCCGTGAATGAGAGAAGAGGTATATGTACAGGTAGATAGTATGCGCATCTATCAATTTTTGGATAGTAACTTCAATTGAGCCCAAATCATATCAAGACCATGGAGCCCGGCATTCCATCCGATCCCCCTTCACGTTCTTTAACCGGCCAAGTCGCCATTGTAACAGGCGCAGGCTGCCTGGGCGATGGAATTGGAAATGGCCGCGCTATTTCAATCCTTCTTGCCAGTGACGGCTGCGACGTGGTCTGCGTTGACCTCAATCTGGAGTGGGCCAACAAGACCGTTGAAATCGTGAACTCGAAACCCAATCGTGGACGAGCGCTTGCGATCCGTGCCGACGTCACATCTGAAGCAGATTGTGAAGCAGCGGTGCGCTTTGCAGTTGAACAGTTTGGACGACTGGATATTTTAATCAACAATGTCGGGATTGGAGGCGCAGCGGGCACTGCGGTGGAAGTTGATATGACGCAGTGGGCGAAGAGTATGGAGATCAATGTTGCCAGTATGGTCCAAATGGCTAAGTATGCTATCCCTGAGATGAGCCGAAATGACGGCGAGATCAAAGGAAGCATTGTGAACATGGGAAGTGTTGCTGGGTTGAAGGGCGGTACACCTCATCTGCTATACCCGACTGCCAAGGGCGCCATAGTAAACATGACTCGTGCTATGGCGGCTCATCACTCCCCTGATGGGATTCGTGTGAACTGTGTCTGTCCAGGGGTATGTTCACTGATTTCGTTGTATGGAACCGAAGCTGATGTTACTAGATGTTGTATACGCCTATGATGTATGGGAAGGGTATGAGTGAAGAGGCGCGCGAGGCTCGTCGCAAGCGAAGCTTATTGGGGACTGAAGGAAATGGATGGGATTGTGCTGGCGCCGTTGTATTCCTTGCTGGACCTCATGCTCGGTGGATGACTGGTGTTATTCTTCCTGTTGATGCAGGCACAACAGCTGCTGTGGGAATTGGTATGACGAAGAGCGCAAGTGTCAATGCTTAAAATTGGCCTGGATACGGCTTACTCAGATGTTGAATCTTTCTTTTCTCTCCTATAGATCCGCATATCACTGCTTTTTTTCTTCCGCATCTCTCCATTCATTATCATAAGTACAACATATAGTCGGCCTTGCTATGTGCTTATGGCGTATTTTAGAGATCTTATATTAACTCCCTTCTCCTTCGTTGCTTAATAGCTAGACGGTAGGAAAAAGCGTATGACTAATTCTAAAATATATATATACTTGACTCGAGAACATATGAGGGATGTAACTTTAAGATGGTCAATAACTATGATATATTTCCCCTACAACCCATTTCCTTAACAAGTCTAACTTTTATATTAAAAGACCAATAAGGATGTTGAAGTCGTAAAATACCGGCTGAGATATAAATTACTACCGGTAAAAACAAAAGAGCCGAGGGTATCAAGCTTGGCGAATTTTGCGGGGGATAGCTCTCTCCCCGCCTTTTGAGAGTATGGTATAATTGCAACTCTTCAAGTATAATTTCAAAATGTCTGCACCACTGTGGTTACAATTCACTGGTAATCAAACAAAACGGAAACGTGCAGAACTCGCCTGTGTGGCATGCCATAGCAAAAAGGTAAAGCAACCTAGTTCCCGGTCTCGGCAATGAAACTAACGGCTGCAGATTAGATGCGACCTGCAAGTGCGAGGGGCTCAAGGATATACTAACTGCACCAAGTGCGAATCTGGCGGTAAAGAATGCCGGTGAGTAACCCTTCCAAGGCTTATCGGATGTATGGCCTGACCCGGCCACAGAACAAGACCATCCAAACGAGGTCGGCCCGCTGCAAGTGTGGCCCCATTGACTCCGGTAACCGAGACCAATTCCTGCACCCAAGTAAATAGACATGGCTCTATTCCGGATCATCTTGCTCTCAACCAATCTGGACCGCCTGATGCCGGGCTAAGAAATGATAGCCGGTCATTAGATTTCCCCAGAGATTTGCTGCAGAGATCTTCCATCTCCCCAGCACATGTTGAAAACGCAAGAACTCAAACTTTTGACAATATCGGATGGTCGATGAGAGATGATCCATCCCCAGGCCAAGTGCCGCCCGACCTTCAGGGCAGGCCTACACAAGCCATGACCAATGATTCTCCCGCTACTCAGCGGACAAGTCACTCGGAGCATAATGATAGCTACCCAATTGGTCATGTCTTTTTACCAGGGCTACAAACAGATGCTCGGGCGCAGGAGCGGCTCATTGCCGAAAGAATGCCTGAGGTACCGAATCTACCTGATCCAGACCTACAACAAACATTCGCAGAAACATATTGGGAGTACTGTTACACGTGGTGCCCAGTCCTAGACCGAGAGACCCTCTCAGAAGAGCTTGCACGATCTCCACTACTCGTTAATGCCCTGGCAGTGGTTGGTAGTCATATTAAACCGCCCATGATTCCACATGATGGTCCTGCTGGCTATTACGAGCGAGCTCGCACCAGATTCTACAACGACGAAGAGGCAGATGTTATGACGTCGTTGAAAGCTATTTCATTATTCTACTGGTGGAGTCCACGGCCACCAACTATCCTCCATCGCCATTCTTCTTGGTGGTGGACTTCGGTAGTCATCCGACATTGCCAACAATTAGGTGTACACCGGGAACCAGCACAAAACCATCCACTACGTCAGCAGATTAACCTCAGTCTCCGACGTCGAATATGGTGGACGGCATTTGCACGTGAGCGACTAACTGCTTTGTGTCAGAGCAAACCATGTGTGATTGATCCACAAGACTGCACCCTTTCAGAACCCACGTTAGAAGATTTCCCCCAAGACACGGATAAAACCAAAGCTGAAGTCTTCATCTACTGGGTCCGTCTATGTGGTATCATAGGCAAAATTGCAAAATTCCTCGCTCGTTCCAGTGACGCTGGATCTTCCGCATTCCCAGCATCTCTAGCCCGCGAGCTCATCGGCTGGGTCCAGTCCCTCCCTCCCCATCTCCAGCTCCCAATTGGATCAGACCGCACAACCCAATTCAATAGAGATGTGCATCAACTACATATCCCGTATCTGGCCGTCATTATCATCATTCATCTCCAGCGATCCTCCCCCTCCCAACCTCTCCCACAAGCATACCCACCAGCAATACTCGCCGCGACCTGCATGGCCCGCATTATGAAAGATATTTTATCTCGCGGGGGAACCAGGTTTCTCATGGCCATAACAGGGTGGTATTGCGGCACCGCATTTATTGCACTACTACAAGCTCTTCGAATTGAAGGACTGGCCAAGAGCGCCAATGAAGATCTAGATATTTTAACTCTAGCTGTGGACCAGCTGCGCATTATGTGGCCCACCGCTGCAGTATTCCACTCGGGATTTGGTCGTCTCCGGTCCAACGCTACCGCGCCGGACTTTGACTCGCAACGGGCGCCCGGTCCGGAACTCGGGATGGGTGATGGAACGGTGTATATGGAAATGGCAGACGGGATTGATTGGACTGCGTACTTTCCGTTCGCAACTACTGAAACTAGTGGCATTGCGGGTAGACTGTTAGTTCCACATACCGAGGAGCTTTTCTTTGATGATGATGCCTTTGCAGATGCTATGCTGCAGTTTCAGGATTTATTTGAGCCTTGCGATACCCTTGAGATGAATCTTTTTATGTAACATGAATTGTCTCACCGAGACAATAGCCAGTTCTAAATCTGGTAAAAATATGAAGTATCACTTTCCCATATCATGTCTATTTGTTTATACCAAAGTTGGACTTTGGACTTATTAGATACCCTAGACAGCTGTTTAAAACTGAAGAGACTTGAAATATACAACTCTTCACACACCGAAAGAGTGTTATTAGGCTGAGGGTATTGTGCCCATTTGCGGGGCCCCACACCGGTACAGCCGGCATAAGCTTGTAAGTTGTTTGCCGATAACTTATGGACTCAGCCTTTTGCTTCTATTTAAGGGCCGGAAACCGTCGGGATCAAAGGTTAGCCCCCTAGAAATCCAATAAGGCTGATATTAAAGACGTCATAGGTTTCATTGACACGGGAAATATGGTAGACTGATATGGTAGAATATGACACGGGCTTGCATCCTTGCTCTGAAGTGATTTTTCGAGGGTGCCTTGGTGGTATTAGGTGATGTGCATGATTATAAGAGGGTGATACTAATAATATGCAATGATGATCTTACTTCGTTCGTGTTTAGCAGGAGGCTATTCCCAATGGATCAAATCCATTAATCTCCTAATTCCTCAAGACAACCAATTGTTTAACCATATCATCTCCCGTGGACCTTCTCGGGAGGTTATCGGAAAGCTTGACATACCTTATACTTCACCTGAGGAAACTTGGCCGAGACAATGACCAAGTTGGTGAAAATGCCCAGGCGCGGCGGTTTATCGGACAAGCCCTTACTCGGTTCGGGATCTGTCATGTTGATCTATGCCGATCGCCATCAACCTCAACTCACGGATGTAACTCTCCGTTTCAAACAACTTATGAAAAATAGCTGATTCGTTACTGCATAATAGCACAATTAACGCAAAACGAGGCTCCGGAGTCCGTATGCTTGTTTCTTCAGAGACCTAATTTCCAATTCACAGCCCCACTAAGTGTAATGAATGAGCTGGGGAAGAGTATATAAAGAGACTCATTCCCAGAAGTTCCTGAAGGATCACACAAGCACACACAATCATCAATACAATATGTTGACATTCAATCTTTTGACCGCATTGCTGGCACCAGGTGTGCTCTCAGCTGCCTTGCACCCTCGCCAGGAAGCTGATCTTGATGGATTCATCAAGAAGGAGTCTGCTTTTGCTCTGAAATCCATCCTGGCCAACATCGGCGCCGATGGATCTGCCGTTTCTGGAGCAGGTTCCGGCCTTGTGATTGCATCGCCATCCAAGTCGGACCCCGATTGTAAACTACCCTCTTCACAAATTGTTCTAACAGAAACTAATACCTACTAGACTTTTACACCTGGACTCGTGATGCAGGCTTGACATTGAAGGTGTTGATCGACGATTTCCTCGCCGGAGAAGCCTCGCTGGAATCAACCATCCAGGCCTACATCACTTCCCAAGCCAAGCTGCAGGGCGTTTCCAACCCATCCGGCGACCTCTCCGATGGAAAAGGACTCGCAGAGCCCAAGTTCCAAGCCGACGGCACCGCCTTCACCGGCGCATGGGGTCGTCCTCAGCGCGATGGCCCCGCTCTCCGAGCCACCGCAATGATGACCTACGGTAACCACCTGATCGCCGACAAGAAGGACGTCGTCAAGACGAACATCTGGCCCAGCGTGCAGAACGATCTGAACTACGTCGCGCAGTACTGGAACCAAACCGGCTTCGATCTGTGGGAGGAGGTTGAGGGCTCCTCTTTCTTCACTATTGCCGCCCAACACCGCGCATTAGTAGAAGGCAGCGCATTCGCCAAGGCACTGGGCGAGACCTGCGAGGGATGTGATTCCCAAGCACCCCAGATCCTGTGTTTCCTTCAATCCTTCTGGAACGGAAAGGCCGTTGTTTCCAACGTAGCCAATAACGGCCGCTCCGGTCTCGATTCAAACTCCGTCCTTGCTTCGATCCAATTGTTCGATCCTAAGGCTGCTTGCGACGATGTCACCTTCCAGCCTTGCTCTGCTCGTGCTCTCTCCAACCACAAGGAATACGTTGACTCGTTCCGTTCGATCTACGGCATCAACAAGGATAGCAAGGCTGGAACTGCCGCTGCTGTTGGTCGTTATAAGGAGGATACTTACATGGGTGGAAACCCATGGTATGTAACCCTTTTCTAAATTATCTTGAAACTATGCTAATATTTCCAGGTATTTGGCAACCCTTGCCGCAGCTGAGCAATTGTACGACGCTCTTTACCAGTGGAAGCAGCAGAAGTCGCTCTCCATCACTGAGACAAGTCTTGCCTTCTTCAAGGATCTGGATTCGTCTGCCGCTGTCGGTGACTACGCTAGCGACTCGGAGAAATACAAGTCTCTCACCGCTGCAGTGGCGAAATACGCCGATGGATTCGTGGCTGTTGTTCAGAAGTACGCGCCTGAAAGTGGAGCTCTGTCAGAACAATTCAAGCGGGATGACGGTACCCCCACCTCTGCTAAGGACTTGACCTGGTCTTATGCCGCGTTCTTGACTGCTGCTGAGCGACGTGCTGGAACTGTTCCTCCTACCTGGGGTGCGTCGGGTTCTAAGGTGCCTGAGAAGTGTGAGGGAAGCTCGGCTAAGGGTACTTACACCGCGCCTAAGGTTCCCTCTTGGTAGATTCTAGAGTGGATGGGTGTGTATACACTCAATTCTGATAGATAAGATTGTTATATGTGAGTGATATAGAGTGGAATGAGAATCGGCTCAATTTATCCTAAGCCTTGCGTAATTCGTGTAGTTGGTAACCTGTACAATATTATGCATGAAACACTGTGCTCAAATCATATCTTGAGAAGTTTAAAAGAATATTTGATCTGTTTTCTACCTAGTTTGGGTCTATATTTGATCATTTTCAAGGGAAACCACATAGCGTAGTGATATGCATTTAGTGTGGTCTTCTAGGTGCAGAGGGTATATACAATATGCCTCCAGGTATAATCTTCAGCTAGATAATTAGAGTACGTTACAGAGACACTCATGGCCAACTATTTCGACAAAGATTAACATGCATTTGCATATGCATCGGGATTATGACCTAAGTAGTTTGTTGCTTGTCCTGCTTGATGCTACCGGTATGCTCGGGTCTATCTTCTACCTGCTATTAGGGGTAGATATGCCGTTCTTCTGGGGTTACAAATTGCCAATATTTCTGTATAAACGGTTGCTTCGTCGGGACTTCTGGTCTGTTTGGCTGCTGCCGACGGATATGAAAATGCGTAGGATGATTTGCCTGAAACTGTGAGTATGAGACCTATATTAGCTCCTTGCTGTTAATTCTGATTATTCTCAAGTTAATTTGTAGACCGGACTCCGCGTGGTATCACTGTGTTCAAAATCAGCGTTATACCCAAAGACCTTGCTGCACTTACTATGTAATTTTACTTAGATCTATCCGTAGATGTCGGTTGAATCAGGATCGTCTTCCTAATCATTCGTCAGACGCCTTTAAGTATGCCAGCCCAACTATATAGGAAATAGGGAAACCCGATAGACCATGATGCCGAGGCTAGCTAGGGGATGTGCAGTCCTCCTACGCCCAGAAGATAAATGTTATTTAGACACAATATAGAGCAAAGAGAACGCGAATAAACTAGGTCGAAAATCCCCAATAGTCACTCCCGTCAAACCGGGGTGTTACAAAGATATCTCTTATAGGGGTAGAAGAAGAGGAAGAAGAGGAAGGGAAAAAAGACACCCCGCAAGGATCAAACGCCAGTTATACATTCCAATCCATTCCGCCAGAGTATGATTCGCTGAGATGAGAAGAAACGCCATTAAATGCCGGGGAGAGTTCGTGGTATAGTCATTATAGATCACCGTCTGTGTCAGTTGCCACCATGCGCTGTTTCTGCTTATCTTTGCTCTTCATCTTCAGTGCGTCAATAGTATTCTGCACTTCGTGCCTAGCCTCTGTTTCGAGGTTGGTACGTTCATCGGACTCAAGCGTTTCCTTGTCGCCGACCCGCTCGTATAACATGCGAGAGATGGACCGGTTGATGTTCGTATATTGCTCTTTCGAGATCATCTTCTTCTTATAGTGAGGTTTTAATGCAGTGCCCACCATTTTCTGAATATCAGCTTTCAGAGCGAGGGATGGACCGGATCGAGTGGGGGATGAGTCGGGTGAACGGGAGGCCCCGAGATACAGTGCGCGTTGGGGGATACGGGAGCGAGGACGACCCGGCTGGCGTTGTGGTTTGTCTTTGCTGGCACCATTTGCCGATGGACTACCCGATAAGGACACTTCGGGCGAGAAAGGCGGAGATGAGGGTTCGGCGGGGGAGGATAGTTGGAGAGGGGAGATGGGGCGGCTTCGCGGGAAAGGTGGCGGTGTGGCCGCTGCAAGGAGCGGGGAAGAGTATCGAGATGAGGCGGGAGAAATGGAGGGAGAAGAGGGACCAGGAGATGGGTGGTCGGTAGGAGCGACAGATGTCGAAGTTGAAGGCCCATATGAATGATTCGGTGCGTCTTCGACTTCCTTCAATAGTGATGACAGGAAGCTTGGGCCGGCGGGTTGGTCACCACCTGGTCGTACGTTGGAGCTCGCAGCCCTGGATGATTCACCCGCTTGAGTTTGCTGTGCAAGAGCTGCGAGCTCCTGCGGCCTCCTCGTTCGGGGACGCTTCAACTTGCGCTCTGGTTCTGTAGGCTCGGGGGACGGCGACATGGTCGGCTCTTTGCGCTTCCTGGCTGCGCTCGGGTTGTTTTCAATTTCTCTTGCCCTCTCGAAGGCGTTCCAAGCCCGCATCTCCTCCACGGACTCGGGTTCAGGTGTCGGGACTCGAGGAACCCGAGGTCGCGATGGTCGGGCATGGTCAAGATCGAACAGAGACGCCGTGTCGCGAAAACGACTACCACCACCTTGTCGCTCAGCGACCTCAAAGCGGCGTTGCCAAGCTTGAAATTCGCGCTGGTTGGCCTCCTCGCGACGGCGTTGTTGCATCGCACGTTCGGCAGATCGATCGTCATCGAAAGGAAAATCAAGGTCGAGGTTCAGATGATCCCATACAGATTGCCAGACTCGTGCCCAGTGGAGAGAATTTGTCTGAGTTCGATTCTGGAGTCGTCTCTGCTGAGCCCTAGTTCGTCGACTCCGTTGCTCGATCGCACGAGACGGGCGTGCTGATACCTCGGGAGCCGGTCCTGTCGCACGTTGCTCCATACATCGTTGGCAGTACCATGACCCCGAGGGGATCTCATCCAAGCCTAGGCAGTATAGATGAGACGGTCCATCACACCCATCGCATAAAAGGAGAACATCCTCGTTGTCGGCATGTCCGCAAATTGTGCATGGTTGAAAATCGGTCAAGTCATCCTCCGCATATTCGATTATCATAGAAGGGTCAACTTCGGCCACCTGGGTTCGGTCTTGGACAGCGTAGGATGAAGTAACAGTTCCTATAACAAATCAATATAGTCAGTACTTAAAATCAAGAGAAAGCCATGTCATAAGTCAACGGAAGGGGGAGCGTCATACCTCCAACACTATCACTCAACTCCACCATATTGAAGCTGCGCCGACATATTGGACAACTGTTTGCTCGTTCAACCCATGGTTTTAAACAATTATTATGTAGGACATGACCACAGGGAAGTAGCTGAGCGATCTGAGAGTCTCCATTGAAGTCGCCATCCTTCAAATCAAGGCTCACAGGTTCTAGAGGATCACCCGCCCCTTCACCAAGGTCTCCTAAACAAACAATACAGGTATCTGACATGGAGATATTTAGAGAAGGTGAAGTCCATCAAGAAGTGTAGAAGCGAGAAAGGTGTGGGGAGCGCCTTTTGAAGGTGGGCCGGATTACCGGACTAACGCAAAGCAGGAACGTGACGGAGGCGAATGATGTCCTGCATGGAAATATTTCAGTTTTATACAAAGAGATCAAGAGAATTATAGATTTAATAGTTCTTTTTATATAAAGTATTGTAAAGTGATGAGTATCTGATCTCATAGACATCCAACATTTGAACTATCTAACAAGGTCCTTGTACAACGCAAACTACAAAAGTCCCCCAAAAAAAGGCAAGGCCAAGTCTACATTTGAAAATAACTACGTTAGGCGCCATAATTTAGATGAAACTCGAATCATAGCCCTGGAGGTTGTGGACAGGTTGCACCTTAGTCATCTTGTAAGATCTGCAGGATCACCAACAGACGACCATCGAACCAGGGTGTATGTATCATGTGAATCGGAGTATGCCAGGCACCCGGTGCAAATGTCCAGGTGCACGTAGAAAGTACGAAAATATAGTCCGGAGCGCAGTCGGTTCAAGACAGTGCCATACGCTAAGGAGACCAGATGACCTCCAGGGCTCCATACCAAAGATCCACCAAGTCTACGTGACTGTCCAGCACCTGAGCAACCACAAAAGACCGCACATATGCAGTCCATCCATATGATTCACACGGGCGCAGAACATCGAAGTAATCAGGTGGAGGATCTTGGATTGACCGTGAAATTGTCTAGTAGGCAGCGACCGAGGCGAACTTTGAGAGACCAGTCACATCGATATACGGTATACTCGGAGCGAAGCGGATATTGCACAAGAATTCGTATTCCCGAATTTTTTCATTCATTTTTGGTATTCAGACGTAACCGTAAAAGAGAAATGAAACCACACAATCCTCCCATTTAGACCTCAGCGATCTCACGCAGACGACGGATGGTGGAACGGGTGGCAGCGGCAGCGGGGGTGCTATAGAAAATAGAATTGTTAATAACCTAATCTCGTTTTGTGTTGTGGATTGCGACTATGTGCGCCAACCCAGGTCGATCCCCGAATCGGATCACACATTGTCGTCCCTTGCGATAGGTGTGCGACTTACGAGACGACGTAAGCACCGCCGGCAACGGTCTTGTCGCAGCCCTTGCACTCCCAGATACCGACAGCCTTGCGCTTGACGGTGTTCTTTCCGCAGAAAGTGCAGACGTAGCGGGCGTGCTGGGTGACTTCCATCTTCTTCACCTGCTTACGCAGGGAGGCACCGTATCTGTTCAATTGTTAGAATCCGTTGTCGTGTAGGTCCGCTATAGGTCGTGTGTCTCGATCGAAATCACAGTCGTGTGGGCGCGAATTGGGCGAATGTCATACCTGGTACCATATTTACCGGTGATGCCGACCTCTGTGGAAAATAGTTAGCAAGCAATTCGGGTATGTTGAATTTAAGAAAGAGGTACATACTCTTGGTGCGCTTCGTCATCTTGGCTGGTGTAGAGGATGAAGATGGGTATTCAACAGGAGACCAAAAAAGACGCTTTGAATGAGGGCGGGTTGTGCTGTGGATTCTCGCTTAGGGCTCTTGGCTTGGTGTGATCACCTGACCATTTTGAGTTAGTGGGCTTACGTCAGGTGGATGGCCTCAGGTTTCTGATGCTTACTTTTTGTTTCGAAGGTCCACAAGATCCACCAGATTGAGACGATGACGGTGTGAGTGGATGTGATTTTGATTGAATTTGGGGTTTTCATTCGATTTGGGATTTTTGGATTTTTGAAATTTTTCTAAAGATTGTATTTGATGCCTTTTATTTCAGGTGTCTGATTCCATTTCCAATTTCTCTTCTACATCGTACAAGATGAATGACACTATAACAATATTGTATACATAACTGGATATCCAGTTCTATCTTAATTGCCGCGGTCTAATTGTGTTCGAGACCATCCCCTCTCCTTTCGGGCTAATCAATCTATCCGGTCACGTGATATCAATCCCGTTCGATATAAACACCAGTTCCCAGATCAAGTTAGTAGAATCTTGTGTAACAAGTGTCTGTTGCGTAAAAAGTTTCAAAAACTATTTTGTGGCTATTCCATCTATCCCCATCCCGAACCCCATACTGCATCTTTGATCGTGCCGAGGAGCTTGTGATCTTGCCGAAAGCTCCCTTGTTTTAGCTACATCATAGACTCCGAACTCATCGAACTCAACCATGACTTCCAACCGACAGTATGACCTGATCTTGCTGGGCCCAACTGGCTATACTGGCCGACTTTGCGCAGAGCACATTGTGCAGAACCTTCCTACCGATTTGAAATGGGCTATCGCAGGTCGTTCCGCGCAGAAAATTGAATCTATTGCCCAGGAACTGAAGACTCTGAACCCAGATCGCCTACACCCAGGTACATAACCTTACGGCCTCATTTTTCCACGGCTTTTGTACCTCAAGACTCACTCTAATGTGTTCATAGATGTCCTGGTCGTGCAATTGAACTCCAACGAGCTCAACGAGCTTGCCCGGAAAACGCGCTTGGTTATCAATTGTGTGGGTCCTTACCACTTGTACTCGACTCCAGTCGTGGAGGCATGCGCTGTCAACGGCACTCACTATGTGGATGTGTAAGCTTTTGCTTTGTACTTGTTCAGGTCGATCGAACACTTGCTGATCGTTATAGTACTGGAGAAACGCCCTGGGTTAAGTCGATCATCGAGAAGTACCACGAAACCGCCAAGGCCAATGGCGCTATTGTTCGTTCTGCAACAAATTTCTGTTTCTATCAATACCCGTGCTAATTCCAGACAGATGATCCCATGTTCTGGCGTTGAGAGTGCCCCTGCCGATATACTGGCATGGTCCCTGGTCAAACGAGTCCGAGAAGACCTTTCGTCTTCAACCCGCCATATCAACAGCACCATCAAGGAAATGAAGTATGTAACCTCATGTCAACAAAGAAGCACATCTCTAATCCATTCACAATAGATCCTCCGGTCCCAGCGGCGGGACCCTGAGTACTATTCTAACCATCATTGAAGCATTTCCCATGTCGGAGCTATCCAAGTCGATGACCCCGTTCTCATTGGTAGCATCCCCGCCACCAAAGAACGTCCCTAGCGAATCAATCCTGGAAAAGCTATTCGGCGTACGCTCAATTCGGGACCTGGGTACCGTAACAACCTCCCCATCCGGCATCTGCGACATGACCATTGTGCACCGTAGCAGCAGCCTGATGCCAGAACTATACGGGCCGCACTTCTACTTCCATCAGTTCCTGTCAGTCCGTAACGCCCTCATTGGTGTTGTTTTCCACCTTGGCTTCTTGGTTGCAGTTTCGCTGCTTGCCTTGCCACCTGTGCGCTGGCTGGTGCGCAAGTTTGTCTTTGCCCCTGGCACTGGTCCAAGCAAAGAGGACTCTGTGAATGATCGTCTCGAGTACCATGCCATCGCTACTGCAGATAGTCCTTCATCACAGCGCGTCTTCGGTAAGCTCAGTTACGGCGGCGGTATGTACCCCTTTACTGGACTGTTGCTGGCTGAGGCTGCCATGGTTATTCTCAACGAGGAAGAGAAGATCAAGAAGGTCTCGCGTGGTGGAATTGTTACACCCGCTACGCTGGGCCAGGACTACGTGGACCGCTTGGAGAAGGTCGGCTGCAGAATCGAGACTAAGGTGTTCCAATACTAAATAGGTTCATTGTTTACGGGTCCCAGCTCTACGCAGTTATGCTGGCTCAGGCTACTGCTCGCGAGTTGTGATGAAGCGCATATTCTTAATACTTTGATGATACGAGATACGTACTTTCGCAATAACCAATCAATGCTTTTCATTGTGGCATTATGCCTATCATTTCTCAGATCAGAGCTTGCCGGTCCTTCCATCAGCAGACTGATCCTTCAACCAAGTTCCAATAATCTCATTGACTTCCTCAGGCTTCTCCCACAAAGCCCAGTGCCCGGTATCAACCTGCTTCAGGGTCAGTTGCGGGACCTGCTTGGCCATATGTTTGCCCAAATGCGGCGGCAAAGCTTGATCCCTCAACCCCTGGATAAACAGCGTAGGCACCTGGATCACCCTGTCGAGAATAGCAAGCTCATCTTCAAAGTTCACGTCGCGAGTGCGGTACCAGTTAACTATAAAATAATCAGCAAAATTCTAACCAGTCAATCCAGAAGAAACCGTACGTGGTCCATGAACTCCACTTCGAGCAAACTCATTCGTATAAAACTCCAACTCCTAGAGACAGTCAGCGTACTATCCCCGAATGAAAAGCACTAAACTTACCTCCTCACTCAACAACCTCGAAATCTTCAACTTGCCAAGCGTATCAACCAAAACACCCTTATTGGCATCAAATCCAAACTCGCCCGCCTCCGTACGCCCCCCATAAAGCGCAAGCAAAAACTGGCGAATCTCATCCTTAGACCGAATGACCTTCTCCAGATCCCCGCTCTTGAATTGCAGCTGGTACCCGAAGTGCGGTGTCACGCTGCGGACAAGGTCTTCAATGGAAATATTCTGCGCCATGGGTCGTGCATAAGGCACGCAGACAGTGAATAGATGGCTTACTAGCTCTGGATGCCAGAGAGCGATGCGGTAGACCAGTGCTGCGCCCCTGTCTTGTGTGTTAGCTACATATGCGGTTCTGTGGAAGTTTGATGGGGGTACTTGCCAGTCATGTCCGCCTAGAATGATTTGGGTTTCGCCTAGATGGGTTGCTAGGGCTTTGATGTCCGCTGCGCAACTTTTGTGGGAATACGGGGCGCTCTCGTCAGGGGCGTCCTTGTTGAATGGTTAGATGATAATTCCTCGCAATGGGGCGGGGAGACTCACTGTTCGTCCATATCCGAGGCAGTCGGGAGCTACCACCCGCAAGCCCATGTCTACGAGCATGGGAATCTGATACCGCCATCCCATGGAGAGATCCGGGAAGCCATGGATCTATGGAGAATATATATTAATGTGTGTAATTTTTTATTGAGCTGGCGGCTTACCAGGAAGACAGTGGATTTATATTGGCCTGATTTAGGCTGGCTCAGAAGGTAAGCTGCAAGCTGTCAGTTCGATTTGTTTTATAAGACGATATCGGAGTATAAGCTCCTTGCTGTGTAGTTACTCACAATAGTTACGGCCGTTGAGTGTAGCGGTCTTGTACTCAATGCGGGAATCACTCGATACTTTGATCTTGTCAACTGGCATGGTGAATTGATCCCAACAGTGATAGTTGTGTTTTCAATTTCAGGTTTGAGGGGGAGGGGGATTTATGTGGAGAACTGGAGACACCTGTGAATAAGTGAACACTTTCTTCAGTCCAAGCTATGGAGTAATATATATAGTTATGTAACTCCAGAAGGTCTCAGGTTAAGTTGATAAATATACTTCTGAGTGATTCACAGATCATTTATGCCCTCAGAATAATGAAAGATGAATAATCATGAACCCGGTCTGCCTCGGCACGTTGGAACCTAGTGGGACGCCAAGATACTAGCGTAAACTATAGTGAACAGGATTACTTGGCATCAAGAACTTTGTTGCTTTATTTCACCGAGAGTACTAAGCTAGATTTATCCTATTCTCTGTTCTCCATCTAACTAACTTCCTCATCTTACTTAATATCTGTAATTATTGGGATCGATACAAGTCTGCATTGACAAGTATATTGGGCTGTGTTGACCAGAAGTTCTCTTTCTTGATCAACCTCTTCGTGCTCCAAACAACCAGCTACTTGGTTTGACACCGAGGAAACGCGATAAATCGTCCAAAGTCATGTCAACAATTATTGAAGGGTAGGGCCACTAGTTACCAGGTGTTGTGATGTTCTTGTTGATAACCTGTGTTTCGTTCACGGCATCAGAAACAAAAAGTGGCCATGATCTGCGAGGACGAAATCATTGCATGTACATGTGCAGGTCTGAGATCATGATGGGTCCACCTGGTAACGGCCCGCCTGCCCCGTAACTGAGGTCGTCTACCACGGCCATTCGTTTGAAGGCGGCTGGATTTGAGACAGGAGGCTGGGTAATTGGTAGACATCTCGTTGGTTGAAAGACTGATTATTGGCTAATGGTTGGTAGAGGTGCCGATGGTTTATGCTATCTCAGATTATCTGGATGGTCTTCAATTGCGGTTGAACAGATGACAGGTCATATTCCCGATGCGAGAAATGGAGAATCCACTAGGGACATCTCCGAGAATGGTCTCAGGTTCTAGTTAAACAGTTCAGTAGACTTACATCAGCAAATGTTTCTGTTTAGTTACGTGTGAAGTAGTTAATCACTTATTCGTGTATGTCGGGTAAGATGATGAGTGCATAGTGTCATCCGGTCCGCAGGACTGAAGCTGTAGTCGAAGGGCATCTGTGTGAGGAAAAGATCAAGTTTGGCGACTAGATATGAGTCGAATATATTACCAGAGAAATTAATATACATTGTGTAGAACATTATTTTCTAAATGGAAGCCATCGCAGCCGTTGACCACTAGTATGGATGAAAACAGGTATGATTTTATTCAAAAAGGGAATTGAAACTGAAGCCAGAGGCTCCTTGAGGTATATAATCGAAGGATGAACACGTTTTCGAAATGATGGATCCATCCACGAGGCCTTGAGGCCGCAGGCTTGAGGCTCGTGGCATGCCATATGCCATACCCATCCGGGCAATCGAAAAAACATGACCGAGACGTGCGGCATTTCAGTCACGGATATAGCGGGGTTTCCTCCAGTTTAGCTGCTCCATCCAGAACCCCCACTGCTCCTGTGGTCATCAAAGCACTGCACAGTGTTCGCGAATGCTCGAGGTCTGGTGTTCCATGGAGCGCTGCCACCATGCCTGCGAGGTTGTTGTGTAGGGTCGCACGATGATACGAAATCGGGCTGAGTGGTAGGGAAATTTCGTTGGATAGTATCCAGGTCCATGTGCTCATTGATATCCTCCACTCGCTGACTCATCGCAAGCAGGCGACGCCAAATAAACCCAGTAAAAGCGGGTTCAGATAGCTCACCAACATAATTCATTGCTCACGTTGGCAAATATTGCCGAGTAATTTTTTTTCGAATTTTGTTGTCGCTATGCACATTGTAACCCGCCAGACTCATGCCTGGCTCCCCTCCACTTGAACACTGAGCCACAGGCTAAGGTCCTTGATTCCGGAAACTTTTCTTTTGATAGAACAAATCGGTTCTCGAACTGCCCAGATTTATGATCTTGGGGCATCCATCACGGTCCTTCTCGAGGCGCGTACACTCAAAGCAGTAGAAGGCATCACTGATGCCCTCGCCGCCGCAGACGACACACTTATTCTGGTAATTTCCGAAAGAGCACTCGTCGCAAATGCGGACCAGAGTTGTTGGGCGGACGTAGGAGTCGCAGACGGGGCATTTGCCATCACATTTGTCACACAGGCGGCCGATAGAAATTCCTGGCTGCTTGCGGCACATGACGAGGTCGGGGTGGTGACGAGACATTGTGATTTGAGTGACGAGTGATGTAAAAAGAAATGAGAACGGTGAAGCTGTAGAAAGTGGAAGAGGTTTGCGATTATAATTTGAGTGGCGTAGAAAGAAAAGAGAACTGTAAAGCTGTAAAGCTGTAGAAAGTGGAAAGAAATTGGGTGGCACTTGCTGGGAAGTGAAATGAGAAGAGCAGTATGGGAAGTCAGAGAAGGTAAGAGAAAAGAAGCCGACGGCCGAACCTTGGGAAGGTGTGGTCTGTGCACGTGATTTCACGCAGTGTGATTCTAAGTAGCGTGTTGCCTTGCTATTTTGCGCTTCTAAACCTCAACTCGAATATCTGACCCAAATCAGATTTTATTACTTCTTTCTTTTTTCCTCAGTTTGCTTATTTCTTGTAACCAGTGTTGTTTGCTGATCAAGATGTCTGAAGGGTATGGTTCACTTCATCCCGTGCAACCCACGCGCAAGCGTCGTAATTGGAGTGATCTAGCTAAATGTGAATATTACTTTGACAGCCCTGAGACACTCGCATCAGCAGTGGCTGTGCCTAGCCAGGACATCCCCGAGTCTCCGGAGTTGACGTCCAAGCGACGCAAGTCTTCAATTTCAGAATACGACAATAAGCGCCGACGATTCAGCTCTACAGACAATACTTCCCCGCATTCTCAGCGGCGTCGGCCATCCCCTCCACCTACGAAAGATGAGTCTGTAGAGACGAAACCTACGCGACTGCGCGGAGGTCGAGATGAGGATCGCAAGCGGGGCCAGCGGTTATTCGGGGGGCTGCTTGGTACTCTATCGCAGAGCTCAAGTTCCGCAGCACAGAGACGACGCGCTGATATTGAAAAGAAGCAGCAAGAGAAGTTGAAGTCGCTGGATGCCGAGTACGGTGAACTAAAGAAACGGCGCAAGGAACAGCGTGACGAGATTCGAAGGAGAGAAATGCCGTTGTATGAGCGAGAAGTGGTATGTTCATGCTCTATTCACTTACATTGTGGTATATCATGATGGAAAGTTTTACTGACTTTTTTCAATCTCAGATGCAAACCCGGCATTCGAATATGCTTGCCATGGCGCATTTCCACAAGACACGGGCAGAGCCAGCTCTGGTGAGTGATGTTTTCCTATACATACTAGCCATCAGCTAATCAATTTTAGTATTACAAACCATGGCAACCCAGACCTGGCGACGAGTCAGTGATAAAGCAGCAGATCGAAGAAGCGGAGGCGACTATTGCCCGAGAAGTCGCCGAGTTCGAAGCCCGATATCCACCAGAGGCATTTGCGCCTAAACAGCCAACCCAAGTTGAAACACAGCCAACAAAACCCACTCAGGCCGAAACCCAACAGACAGGCGAAGAGCAGCAGCAAACAAATGGTCGTCAAGGTCAGCCCGCTCCAGAGCACGAGGCAAATCCGACAGATGCAAAGTCTAAGGAAACACAGGGTGCTCCGGACACGGTGGGTGTAGACATTAATGACCAAAACCCCGATCTAGCTAAAACGGATGAAGCCGCTGCTAACGTGGAGGAAAGCGTCGTTCGAGATCACCATGATGCCCACCGAGACGATGACGGAGACGAGGTTGTTGAGGATAACGAGGACACTGTGATCTATTAGTTTGTCTTGATTCTGATCGACCTTTTTTATGTCAAAATTGGCGAAATGGCTTTAGTTCTTTAGGCTGATACTGACGAATACCCGGGAGCCTTTTTTGTTGGATATGTGAGATTCAGCTTGGAACTCATCATTATCTGCAATATGCACACTATTCATATCAAACATGACCTTCTGAAATATCCAACACTTTTTCCCAAGTTACGCTATGAAATGACGGGATATCTATAATCTCTCTCCACAAGAATCACCTATGTAAGGATTGAATGAAATCTTGTACCTCCAGGCAAGCCAAGGACATCATTAAGTTGAGCCCATCAGATTTAAATATAAAATCATTAGTTATATGTCCAGCACTGGTAACCCCGGCGAACAATGCTTTCTATCGCTCATAAAACCTGCATCAAGCAATAATTAAGAGCGCTATATTCCATGCATTGGATGGTCTCGGCCACGATTATCCAGGGCATCAGATCTGGCAGGGGTTCTCTATGAAAGATGTGCCTTCCAAAGGAGTTTGAGGATCCGGCCAATGCTCTGACTATCTAGAAATTGCCCCATATCCAATTCAACCTTTGTTCCTCTCACCGGAACAAGCATTTACCAAGTTTTAAACAATAACCTGGCGAGAGCCTAGTACAGTGCTGCTATATTTACTACAGCTATCAGAACGATGCCCACTAAAGTCCAGATTTTTCCGGGCTCAACAACGTAGCCTATCTATATAATACCGATATATAATACCGATTTACCGGCCGGGGCGACGAGGTCTGGCGAATCCTCGCGTAGGACCCTGGTCTCGTGACGGGGCGACTTCCTCTTGCAACCGATCGCCGGTGATTTCGTCGGGGCTAGAGGCCTCAATCTGTTATTCGTGAGCATCCAAAACCTAACAACCACGACAATCCATAACACGGGTGTGCATACCTTTTTCTCGATCTTGAGTCCTTCCTCCTCGGCAACTTGGATGGCGTTTCTCCGCGAGCTAGCGTGCAGCATACGCTCCTTGATCGATGATCCAGTAGGGCAAGTGTACACGAAGATCACGACATCGGACCCAGGGTAATGATAGAAAGAATAACGCGGCGAAGAGGAGGAAATGTGTGAGGCAACAGCGTTCGCCTCGACTCCAGACTGGGTGTCGGCCACGATGATCTTCTCGGTGCGGATATCAACAGTCTCCTTGAAGTTAGCCTCGGATCTCACACATCCTATATATGCTTTCCATCTCTTCAAGTGACATCTAGAACTAGACCAGCCCTCCCAAAGAATGACCAGCCAGGATAATGACTTACAAGTTGTACCAAACCACCATCCTGTAGGTCCCTCAGCGCAGACTTAGCACCCTCATCAACCGGCATAGAAACCCGCATTCCAGAGCCATTGCTAGGTCCAAAAGTGCCGCCAATTCCAATATCTCTCCCGGGGGTGCCACTCCGTGCCTCGGCCTCGGCCCTACGAACAGCCTCCAGTTCCCTCTCCTTCTCGCCCATCATATCTTCGCGAGAGATGACATTAGGGCCTTCTCCATCACGCTCGCGCCACGCATCCTGGCCCAAGACCTCGTCTTCGTCGGTAGCAAAGACGGTAGAAGCGAACTTTTCCGTGCCCAGCTCGCGGGTCAGCGTCGAGCGGGTCGAGGCGAAGAGTGTCTTTGCTCGCACGGGCGCATTGGACGGGATATACGTCAAAGCGATGAGTGCGGTTGAGGCATTCGACGGGCGTCGGAGGAGGAGGTAGATGGGGGTTTTAGGCTGGAGAACGGAGGACAGCTGGGGGAGAGCTGAAAAGAAGGCATTTGCCGAGGGGCTTCCCTGGAAAGGGATTGGGGCCAGTGGCGTTAGGGTCTCTGCTGTGATGGTTACCGGTAGGCAGAAGGTTGAGGAGTCGGAGTTGAAGCGGGTGAATGCATCTTGCAGCTCCGCGGAGACTATGTGGTTTGTTAGTTGGGATTGAGTTCAATGGGGTCAAGTTCCAAGGCCAAGGTGTACAAGTATCTTACCTGTGATTCCTGACTGCATGATGCACTTTAGGATGCAGCTGGGTTGCCCTGGTGGTTGGATGGGGTTTGTTTATGAGGGGAGGGGGAGCGGTGAATGAGGGGCCGATGACATGTCAGCGGTCAGGGCTGGCTTTGACCTTTCTACATCTAACAAGTCTATAAAAAGAATCAATTCATGATTATCCTAACTCGATAGAAATATGCCCTTGTGTGGTCGTCAAGCATCGCCAACTAATGTTATCTACAACCACCTGGCCATTCATGGACAGGCACCCCTAAACACCTAGCTAGCACTGGTGATGGCGAACAAGTCTTCCAAAGTTCTGAATATTCTCTATTTCAGCTCACGCACCAGACAAAGTGGTATACGAAAAAGAACTAACGCAAAGCACAAAGTATTTACAAAAAAAAAGTGCCATATCAACAGGCTTGCAGTTGAACAGCTCTGAGACAGTCCAATGCGCGAAACAGACCACCATGTCGGTCAGGTATCACAATGCTTTCCAAAAAGACAAGAAATTTTTGGCACGTTTACTCCTCGAACTTGCCACCAACGAAAGCCCAGTTAGAGCCCTCTAGCTTACCCTTGAGGAACTCATACACGGTGAAAGTGACAGCTTGACCGGGAGCAACACGCATCACACGGGGAGTGATACCCTTGTAGAAAGCGCGAGCACCCTCTGTCTTGAACATATCCTTGGCAATGATCATGATACGGGTGACAGCGGACTGGCCGGGCTCAGCACGGGTCTTCTGAAGGCGGGTCTTGATGGTATCGATGGGAGCGTTGGAGAAGGGGCCGACGGCACCAGAGATCAAACCAATCATGGTGGTCTGGTAAGCAGGCAGCTGACTGTTGCCGTACTCGGGTTGCCAGCGCTGCAGGGCAGCCTTCAGTTCAGTGTATGCGGTGAAGTTGGCGGCCTGATTGGTTCCTTGTCGGAGAGCTGTCAGGGAGACACCGCGGTACAGGACACTGAAACCCTCTTCCTTAACCACGGTGAAGAGTGCGTGGGGGGCGCTGCGGTACTTGGGGGCGTCCAGGGGATCAGCCAGACTGTGGTGCTGGGCCTGCAGACGAATTTTGATGACTTCCATAGGGTTGACGACGGCTACGGCTTCGGTAACACCGGCAGCAAGACCAGCTGTGGGGATTGTTAGCTTTACGGTGTGCATTTTCCCGCTTGTTCGGCAATTTACATACCCAGGAAGGTGGCTTTGCTGGACACAGCGCCTGTCTCCTTATCGGCCAACATGCCCTTATATGACTCGTATGAGGTGAATCGGATGGCCATCTTCGGGATGATACCACCCAGCACGGCACCAAGACCCTTGTACAGACCCAGAGCAGTCTCCTTTTGCACGATTTGAGCACCGGTGGCCACGAACCCGCGTGGCTTGGCCTGATCCAGCGAACATAATTAGCAATGGCTTCAATTGCCGAATGATATTTTTTTCCAACTCACCCCAGGTGCTGTGGCTCTCCTTGACAGCTGCATGCGGACCTTGATTGTGTCTAGCGGATGGCACACGAGGGCCTCCATCATACCGGCACCACCACCAGCTAATCAGATGTTAATAGCTGTACATCCCAAATGAAGGAGTCTACTCTACCGATCAAGTTGACCGCGGGCGATGTGCGCTTCTGATTGGCGGTTTTGGCAGACATTGCTTCAATATGTGTTATATATGCAGAGAAATTGCACTGTTCAAGATTTCACAGAAATCTTCAATCGGCCGTCTCGGAAATCGCGTTTCGCAAATCTTCCGATTGTCGCAAGGGAAAGCCGAAATTGCGGAGAAGCGGAAGTATACAATGCCGGAGAATGAACAAAAAAACAACCAATTGAAAGAAATGGTATATATGGAGGAAGATCAAATCAATTGCAAAGATCTTTAATCTTCAAAAAAAAAGAAAGCCGAAGTTCCACGGGTATATGATTCACGAGGCGAAGTGGCGTGCCAGACTTTGTGGGGAGCTATGACGGGGAAGCGGAGGAAGCTGGACGAACGGAAGTGTATATAACCTCACACAAACACCGAAGGAAAAAGAAAAAGGGAAGAAAGAGGTAGCAAACTAAATCATCTGCCGAGGGAGATATCTATATAATAATTATGTCCTGTGTGTCCCGAGTTAGGTCTCCAAGACAATCCCGAGGCAGGCCTTCGGTAACAAGGGCGGCTCTCTATCCAGGGCGGAATCACCCCAGATCTCCAATCTGATTTCACATGTCTTTTAGCCTGTCGTCATAGTTTTGGCAGCTTGTGATTGTGTAGTTTATTTCCATATTAGATACAATGTATTAAAAAAAAGACGTTTAAAAATACCCATGTCTTATCCAACTACATGTACATTATCTTACACGCAACCACATCCGTAGACTATCAGTCTAGAAATACACTAATTATTCCAGGCTAATTATTCCGATGATTCTAAACAATTCGGGAGATGAACTTCGGCGGAAAGTAGCGAAATTCGCTGGCTATTTGCGGGTGATCTCGGGCCAACGCTAGAGCTCCTCCCAGCCGAGGTCCATATCCTGAGGTCATGGGACGTTCTGAGTCAGATGGACAATTAAACTATTCGAAGGTTGAACGTGGGGCTTGCTGTCGGCTTGGCTAAACATATCTTTATGTCTTTATGATCTGGGGTTTAGAGATTCTTATAGAAAATGCACATATGCAGTTGTTACTGGTGACGTTGATAAAGCCATCATTCTGTCGGATGAACTTTTTACCGAATTTCTGATCTATAGAGCCTATTATAGTATAGTTGTACATTGAAAGAGATCTAGAAGTGCATACTCTATACACAAGATATGAAATATGAAATAATGTAACCATGTTCTTGACTGAAGGTACCTTCACATGCATTATCTATCATGTCCGGGGTTATTGGGCCCGATTTGATAGATCGGCTACCCGATTTCGGCGGCCCCGTTCTGGGCTTCGATTGATATGAAAAGATACTAGGGATATACATATCCCTAATGATGAACATTATAATGTACATTATAGTAATACAGCATATAGTAAAAAAACAGATAATACATGTACTGTTCACGCTACTCCGATGGATCGGACCAATTCCGATAACGCAATGAACACCCCCATGGTAGTTGATTCCCTCTGCCACTTCTTGGTCTTCCATTTCCATTTTAGTGCTCAGTCCTTGCCGGTTTTTGCTCATTGTGTACAACTGGGTTAGACACCCCTGAGTATTATATAATCACTGGGCTCGCTCACTGAGCATCTCCTACTCTCCGAAATCACGAAATATAGTACAGCTCATACGAAACGTGCATATAGGGACTAGACTAGATCCAACCTTCAGGGCTAGATAGATATGCTTCTGAGGCAATTGATTCAAGCTATGTAACAATTCGCGTATACCCACGGCAAGAATACGGCCGACTCAGCTATGATTATAGATGCGGTAGACCCTCTATACTCTAACCGTTATGACGGACTCTGTCTTATCTTAAGCGACAACCGCACGTATCCGCGAGCCAGGGCTAATTATATACGGGTTCGGGGAACAGAAGACGGCCAAGCCTTTTGTCGCCTGCGACAAATTTATATACACCGAAAACATCATGCATCTCGATAGGCTTGTGCCACATACTAACAGTGTTATGATTCCTGGAAATTATTTACCAACCCTCCAGGCTTGGGACAATAGCCGCTTAGGAAACTAGTTGGGAACGAATATAGAAGCAGCCTCCGATGATGACGGTTGGGCTAGTCTCTCTAGCATCGGTCAACTCTTTACGAAAAAAAATACTCTGACTTTGACTCTCGTTCCTATGGATATATAAGCTCAGCGACCTGATTGCCGTCTCATCTTGGTTTGAAGTCTGACATTTGATGAATGTGATATCAAGAGAGAATAGGTGGTATGGCAGAACCAGTTCGCTTGAGCATTCAAAGAGGGGAATAGCCGTGCGATAAGCTATATATTCGTGCTGTTTCTCCAAGTACTCGATCACCTAATCGCTCATTAGCCCTCCATTGGTGCCAACACACTGGCAGGGGTGGGAGAAACGCAACGTGTCTGAACTACAATAGAGAATCAGATACGAATGTAACAGTTTGGAACATGACAATGACAGAAGAAAATATATGCAGAAATCCCGTTAAAGTGACGTGTACAATGATAGACAAACTACTCCGTAATCGCCATTGACCTTCTATTAGCTTGGCGTATATGGCTGTTTTCCCTGAAGAATTGTTAGTGGAGCCCAGGAGCGGGGAATAAAAAGACAAGATCTGATAGATCGCACGCATGCACGCTATGACCTCCAACTTCCATGAACTACGATTGGATATGGTGATGGGAGACATACTGGGACTAAATGGTGCCACGTCGAATATGGAGTACTTGGTCTATCGTAGAGATCTTATAAAGCGATATCCTCGAAGATCTCTAGGCCCATGATCTTCATGGCTGGCTGAAACAATCCACTCTTTTAAATCTTAACTTGCTAATCGAGGGGGTGCGCCCTCACCGCCAGGTGGTGGTATATCCCTTAGCCACTCCGGTCATCAGGGCTGATAGATCGATCATCCATGATGATGATAGTGATGATGCTACTTAAAGTCAGAGGATTTACAGTTCTGCAATTACAGTTGATGTAGACGATGTAGATATTGCAATAGTCATCTTGTTCTTATAACAAGTTTCAAAAGCGGCTACATAGTATGTTCATTCATCTTCTTTGGGCAACTCGTCAACCCGGATTCCGGTGATGGCTTTCAATTTCGCAATAGCGTCTTGCGTGAGCTCCCTGAGAAACCGAATTAATACCCAAAGTCAAATGACGAAAGTGGATAGGATACGTACTGGGGTACAATAAATGGGGGCAGACTCTTTGTTTGAATGACGGGATGTCCTGTGTCAGTTTCGATGATCCTATTTGGATTAGTCATAGAATCTTATAGAGGGATGTGCTAACTTACTCTTCTATTTTCCGTCCATTTTCAAAGAAAACCTCAGGATCCTCATATATCACTCGAACTCGAACTTTCTGTTTTAAGTCACTGGTTAACTAGCCGATTCAAAAAATTGTAGGAGTAATAGGGTATTAACCTCGGACATCTTCGGTGTTAGGATCGTCTTGATGGAGAATAGTGGGTTTGCAAATAGATGCAATTGATATGAAGAACTCTTTCCAATTCATGGAGGGACATAGGAGGTATTTATCCTTCTGAAAAGGCTCTTGCTGGCTCAACGACGCTTTGGGCGCGGAGTATGATGTAACAAAATCGGTATACATATTCAGTGGCTGGCTGGATATAGATCTGGATACGGAGTATATGTACCTAAATGGGTCCTTTGGTCCAAGACGCTAATGTATTCGTCATGCCAGGTATGCATTTTTATTGGCTAGTACTACATTTGGGAAGACAGCCAACAAAGTGCTTCACTGAATGATGAGCTCTCTTGATCCACTACTTTCCACCCGGGCAGATAGATCGTGCGATCAGACGCAATGATGCGCATGCCTCTTTCTGAATTTGGTCCAAAAAACTTTCATTTGAATCGAGATTTGACATGTCCAGATGAATACGACGTTGATGCATATATTGAACTAGACAATGGTATCTTGACTCTTCTTTACCCCTCTTCTTGACGTGTAGAACCACGCACTACCTACCAAATCTAGTAATGCTTTGTGACTTGGTACATATTCAAAAGTCACTCTACTAGATGTGTACAGAAAGCATATATGGTTTGCTGGGGAACGGGGATTCGGACGCAAGTTCAAGTACGATTGGGAAACCTTTCCTACCAAGACTTCCTAAGTGATTCTATTCCAATACATGAGGCCCCAAGGCGAGTGGAGGGTCACAACTACGTATCTTTGAGTGGGAACGCGAATATGCTATTATAAAAGGGAAATGGCGTCAACAGTAACATTTCTCTACTGGGAAAGCAATAAACAGAAAATGCTGGTAAATAAATACGTTAATCAGGTTGCATGGAGAGAGGAGAATAGTTCTGGTAAACTAATTTCTATAATTATTTTTGCATTCAACTGGCCTCACAATTCCTCTGTTGTAAAGAGAATTGTGGTGTGCAATTGTTTACTCCAAACCTCGGCTAAACAGATTGTTTATCGGATTTACTCCTGCCACTTAATTACCCATTTATCAGTATTGTTCTCCAGTTGCTCCATGCAACTTGTTCATTTCAATCGGCTCCCTTATGGCCTAAATATCTCCAGTATATCCATGTCCTCCGTCCAAAGGAAAAATGGAAAGCCCAAACCCCGCACAGCCACGTCAAGCGCTGAAACGCATCACAAGTCTAATCCTCCACCAATGGCTCTTAATCGGGATCGGGATCGTCTGCGCCCTGGCATACTACTTCCCGAACGTAGCCAAGCACGGCGGCATCATCCGCTCCGAGTATAGCATCATGTACGGGGTGATCGCGATAATCTTCCTAATCTCCGGCCTGAGCATCCCGCGCCAGAAACTTATCTCTCAAGTCCTGAATTGGCGCCTTCATGTCATCGTGCAAGTCATTTCATTTCTGTTTATTCCCGCGCTGGTGCTGGCCATTGTGCATATTATCCTCGCTGCGGATAGTGGGGGGAAGATTGATCGCGCCGTGTTGGCGGGGTATATCTTTACTGCTTGTATTCCGACGACGATTGCGTCTAATGTTGTTATGACGAGGTCTGCGGGTGGGGATGATGCGGCTGCTTTAGTGGAGGTTTTGTTGGCGAATATTCTCGGGCCGTTTGTTACGGCTGCGTGGACTGTTGCGTTGATGCCGAAGTCAGTGGAGTTTGAGCCCTGGCGGTATGGGGGTGGGGATTTGGGGAGTATGTATAAAGAGGTTTTTCAGCAATTGGGGCTCAGTGTTTTACTTCCGCTGTTTATTGGGCAGCTGGTGAGGTGGACTTGGCCTGATCGTACTGCATCGGTCTTGCAGAAGACTAAGCTGCCTAAGCTGGCTACTGTCTGTTTGTTATTGTTGATTTGGTGAGTACAACGAGCTTTCTATACAAGGTCTTGGCCTGTTTTTCTTTCTTCCTAACCGAACATTCCTAAATATCAGGGCCACTTTTTCCTCCTGCTTCGCAACAGGAGCCCTTCAGACCCTGTCTGCGCAGAGTATAGTCTTTGTGGTCTTATTCAACATCATACTCTACATCACCTTAACGGCAGTATGTTTCCTATGTGCTAGACCACCGCAAATCTTTAGCTCCCGACGCTGGTCCAAGCCCATATTCAAACGCATGTCTCCAGAGGAAACGATTGCAGTGTGCTTTTGCGGGCCAGCAAAGAGCACCGCACTTGGTATCCCGCTGCTCTATGCAATGTGGCAGCCGGTTGATCTATTCCTAAAAGCAAAGACATCGGTGCCGGTGTTGCTCTATACTACAGAGCAGATCTGCGTGGCGCATTTCTTCGTTCAGTTATTTCGGTGGTGGCATACTAGAATCGTTGAGAAAGAGGATTTAGATGACACGGGCGACGATGTTGAGATTGGTATGGCTGTGAACTCACGTGGGGATCACGCTGGACGTGGTCATGAGCATACGACTGTTTGATACCCGTTTAGAATAGACTATTTGGCTTTCCTCTGGGTCAATGACTGCCCTTTAGACCGAGTCTTGAATTGTTTATTTCCTTTGGTGACGAAGCATATGTCTGTTAGAATTATTCAATGAATACCTGGATAGATTGGACATCTCATATAGCAAACAAGCTATGTAATGTCGATCATCCACTCCACAGCTTGGCGATCTCTTACTGTCTTTGATAGGCAATGGAATGGTCGTACTAGTACATGAGCCAAAGCAATTTAGGAAGGTCTTCTTCAAAACTTGCTGGCTGAAACGAATAAAAGATAAGTCTTGGATAAGAGTAAATTCAACCACACCTGGTGGCAATCTTGTATGTGTGCATAGAATACAACATAGAGAATCACAAAGGGAATCACAAAAGAAAATGTATGCAGAAACAACCCCAAGAACCCTGGGGCGCCAATTTGATCAAGAAAAAATGTACATGATAGTCATGCAATATACGTAGAAACCAAAGTGGCTTATATCTCAAATATAGCTCACTTTGACTCCCATTCCGGCCGTGGCTTTGACCTTCTGCCAAGCGCCATCTGTAACCCGTCGGATGCGATCTCGCACACCCTGCCGGCTCATCGCCATCAAAATACCGATCACGAAAAGCAGGGTGCGCACTATTGACATCGGATTCCCAGATACAGTCCGGATAATATGACGGAAGAGGTTGCGCAGACCAGTGGCCACAGTCTGAGTTGAGCGGCCTCGGGGTCCAGCCTTGTCCTGCTTCTTGACACTTTTGGAGCCAGATGAGAGGGAAGTTCGTGGCTTGCCATTTGACAACTTATCTGTCGATTGCCTAGCTCCTTTGCCTTTGGGAGAACCATGTGAGCGGTTTTTCTCAATCCCGTAGTCGACTTCGCTGGGACTGCGTTTATGTCCATTGGATTGTAGTCTCGCGGCTGCTGCCGCTGCTTCTTCGGCTTCGCGACGTTCATCCTCTCGTTGCCGTTCAAGCTCTTCATCTTTGGCTCGCTGTAATTCAACTGCACGCATTTCACCCCGCTCTTTCTCTTCCCTCAGGCCCTCGAGGGTCTGTAAGAAGAGATCTTTGCGTTCTTCATCGAGGACTTCGCTCAAATTGATGAATTCGGTCGAGTATTCCCACTCATCGTTGCGGGGGAGGACGTGCAAAGTAAAGAGCTCGATGATCTTTACTCTGGCAGTTAGATCTTTCGGGGTATCAGCTCCGGTTGTTGTACGCATAGGGCGCTGCTCATAATCATCGGATGCATCCTGGAGACGATCCGTAAGATCGAGGTTGGGTTGGCCATAGGAGGAGAGATAGGTCTCAAGACGTTGTTGGTTCAGGGATTGCGAAGACGAGTGGGTTAGAAGTAGGGTAGCTCTATCATAGAATTGTTAGTAATTCAATTTGGGTCAGTGGGGTTGGAGTCGAATACTGACAGGTTATAGACCACTTCGGCATCCACCGAACCCTCGTGGCCGTTGTACCCGACCTCGACCACAGTCTCCCAAATTGCACCTTCTCTAACTTGTGAAGCAATTGCTTTCCACTCCTTTTGTCCAAATTGCTTCTTTCCCTCCTCTGCACCGAGATCGACTATTGCGCTGAGGAGAGTGATGTAGAGGTTCCACACCTTGATCCTCCACGTTCCGGCCGCTGTGGCGATCGGCGCAACCGGTGTTGAGCTGTCGCCATTTGTGAGCTGGTCTTCTTGTGGTGCTGAAGGCTTTATAATGGGTTGGAGGTTTGCAAGAGCTTCTGGTAAGCGTCTTGTGAGGTAAAGTTGGGATGCTTTCTTGTATGTCTTGGAGCACAGCTTTGTGGGGGAGGCCGAGGATGAAGAGCGGTCTTGAGAGTGAGACGACATGGATCCGTTGGCCATTGCGAAGGCCGTATAAGAAAAAGAGCAATGATTTTCTTTTAGAAAGGAGTAAAAGGAGTAATTATAAAAGGGAAACCATTCAAGTGAAGCGTGTCGGGGTCGGCTTTCGTTTTCCCTCGGCTCATCCAAGTCCGGGGTCGGTCACGGGACTGGCCTGTGAGATCCATGAGCTTTCTTACTATCAACTTCTATCACTTCTTTTATTTATTTTATATTAGCCCCTGAGCAGGAGAAGATGTACTTCGATTTTGGAATTAATCACTCTAGGTTACTCTCCCAAATGTTTCTGTTGATGCATCCCAGCCTGGATTAATGAGAGTAACAGCCTCTAGTATGACTCCAATTGGACAATTAGGGCAATAAACAACATCCCCAGTCGTCTCGTCCGGACATTTATATACTCGCGACTAAGGTAGCTCCCAGGGCTAATACATATATGGATCTTGCTTGTGAAGCTATATACTCCATCTTTGAAGCAATAGTGAATGTACTTTGAGCATCTGCTAAGAAATTATTGATGAAATATAGCTATATAGTCGTAAGTGCACATAATCGCGACAACATTTATACTGGCGGCGTCAAAGGCTGATAGGATTTAAATGCTTGATGTTCCTCCAACTCTCTTCTTCATCACAACTCTGATCGATGCGACTTGCGGCGCATCTAAGGAGACCGGCAAACTCACAAGCCCTCGGTTTTGCATCAGATCGTCTCACCCTCCCTACAGCTTGAGACAAGACTCTTTCTGATCAAACTCGGCTACCTGCCTTTCAAAGGCGTACTCTCCTTTCACGTCTGCATCAATCGATTTCCAGCAATCAAAGGCTTCAACAAAGCCAATCAGCTTTCTCCTTTTCACCTCTTATCGTTGCCAAGTTCATACTTTGATGCTAGTTCCAGCTTCGAAAGATGGATGTCACAGCTGTCACTTTCCCCGATTGCCTCCCCTCTATCCTCAACGACATCGCGACAAGCTGCTTTGTGTCCGTAGACTTCGAGCTGTCTGGAGTGGTTTTTAAACCAAGCGGACCACAGCCTCGGACCCAAACCGTGCAGGAGCGATATGTGGAAGCTAAGGCAGCTGCAGAGCGGTACCAGATTCTCCAAGTTGGCCTGACAACTTGTCATGAAGACAAGGAAAATGGTACGCAATTAACCCCAGTTCAGGACTTATGTCGCTAACTAAGTACAGCCACCTACACCCTGAAACCATACAACATAAATCTGAGTCCAATCACCCAGCATGAGATGGATGTGAATCGGGACTGGACATTCGGAAGCCGGTGTATGTATATCTACGACGAGTGTTGAGCATATCACTAATATCTGAACAGCAATGGAATTCTTACTCGCGAACCACTTCAGCATTGACCATATGTGCTCCTTCGGTGTCCGATACCTGTCTCGAAGCGAAGAAATACTGGCAATCAAAAGAGCTACGGAGAAATGCCAATCGCGGAATCCCGTCCAAGTTGCAAATATTAAACAAGACGACCTTGAATCTCTGGAGTTCCTTGAGGCTGTTCGGGTCAGTATCAATGAGTGGCTGGCGCAGGGCGAGGTAAGACATCATGTCAAACTTCGATCTAAGGAAATCAACTGACATGTACAGAAACGCCGTGACTGGCTCAACATCCCGCCACCCAGCAATCTGCAGACTGTTCCAGGCCCCATCCCTACCGGGTTGAGCAGCATGCAGAAATGGCTAGTACACCACCTTGTCAGCGACGAATACCCCAACCTGACAACGCGGGGTGCGTCAACCTTCGTCCAAATCGAATTGCGGGACCCAAGCAATGAGCAACATACCTTCGAAACAAAATTGAAGGTCAAAAAGGAACGAATTCGGAAGCATATCGGGTTCCGCTGGATCGCAGAAGCACTTGTGGGTGGAAGTCTGGAAGAACTTGAGCCAGACGCTTTCCATCCCCTGATGAAGATAATCGAGCAGCCAACTTTCGGAATTCAGCAGTTGGCAGACAAAGTGAAGAGCCGGCTCAAGGAGAACAGACCAGTTCTAATCGGCCACAACATGTTCTGTGATCTGCTCTTCTTCTACAGATGCTTCCTCGGTCCGTTGCCGAATACCCTCGCTGAGTTTCAAACCGTCATCCACAAGCTATTTCCCGTGTTGGCTGACACCAAGTACATGGCCACTCATGACTGCGGCTCTCTAAACCCCATGTCTTCACTCGAAGAACTCAACACGACTTTAGCTGGCATCGAAAGCCCCAAGATAGGTATGGCATGAAATATATCCCCGACAGCAAGTGAGTATAACTAACCATTTCGCAGAGATCGACGCTCACTTTTCAAAGTACAAGTTCCGTAAGCGTACTCACGAGGCAGGATACGATAGCATGCTTGCCGCCATGGCCTTCATCAAACTTGCAGGTGAGATACAGCGCAACCCTTCCCAACCGACTGTCAAACCCCGGTCACATACGCCGACGACACCCAGTTTAGTTGCTGGTATCATGGCCCAGCCTAGCAACCAGACTGTTCCTGGAAGTGAATTCAGCAACTTCTTTGACGTTGACACTGAGACCATTCCAATGATTCAGCCAGCTCAGATTGCTCGAGCTGGTATGTCCCTAGCCGACACTGGCTCCGAGCGTGTAGCTCGCCTGGTCAACGAAGGTAAATTACTGCCGCGTCTCGGAGATCCCTTCTGGGATACCTACGGGAACATACTGCGGGTGTTCGGTACACAGGAGAGGAAAGTGCAGCTAGGAAAGCAGGTGCTACAGCAGGAAGATCTGCTGTTGGAGATCTGAGGGTAGGTAATTTATGCATCGGTTCTGGGGGAGAGAATAGGGGATGGAAGATAGCGAAGAGACAAACAAAGTTGCAGGTAAATCTGTTTTTTTTTCTTTTCTTTTTTTTTCAAAGACCATAGAAACCATATATAAGACTAAAATAGGGATGTCCGCGACAGCTATCTAACAGTACGCCTTGATTGTTTTAAAGAAGGTACCGCTAGCGAAAATTGGCCGCGACCTCAGGGGAGCTCAATCTGAGCACCTTTAAATGATCAACCGGCCGTAGAAAACTGGACGCAGTGATGATAAGAGATGCTTGGAGAAGAGAAGAAAAGAGAAGTTGGATTTTCGAGTTTTAAACCGCCCGGGCGGTGACTAAGCCCAATTAGGCCTGGCGACAACGTGACCTGGTTGGATCTTTTTCTCGGGGACGAAGACAACCAGCCTCAAAACACATTGCCATTCCACCCTTGAACATGTCAGGATCTAATGGTGCACGGCGCGTAGCCTCGCTACTACGTATGTTCAAAGATTTTCCCGAATTCCTTATGTCCAAATACTGACTCCGCGCGCAGGGCCATCAATAATCGACTCCGGCGTGTGCAGAAGCTGTAAAGAGACCCTTGGCCGCCGCAGCTATTCCTCCGCACCAGCGATTGAATCGACCTCCGCATCTACAGCAGCCGACCCCGCCGTGAAGCCAGACTACATCATCAATGCGGGTGTAGTCCTCTCCCGTCCTCCGCAAATCACCCGTGAACTCGAACCGTTCGAGAAAGCGTTCTTTTTCTACCAGAAGCGTCTGAATGAGCGTCTGGCCCTCCCCTTTACGAAATATTTCTACTTCAAGCGCGGTACACCAGCCGACGAAGACTGGAAGAGAAAGATCCAGGAGCGCCGGACTCCCGCGCGTGACATTGGAAAATACAACGCGTACGACAGCGATGCATGGAACGACGAGCTCCTGCTAGGTGCACAGGAATCTGAGCCTGAACACCAGGTTGAGGCGCTTGTCAAGGACGCAGAATCCACTGCCAATGCGACTTCCCAAGATACTAGCAAAAAGGAGGAAATCCCTCGGCCGTACCCTCGGATCACGGAGGCAGACAAGAAGAACGACCAAAAGAGTCTCGATCGTTTGCTCTCCCGCACTCTCTATCTCCTTGTTCAGTCTAAGGAGGGACACTGGAAGTTCCCCAGTTCGCCGGTAGAGGAGGGCGAGACCCTTCGCTCGGTAAGTGCTTGTGTTCGGATTACATTGAGTTGAGGAATTATACTAACATATGATTTTCCTAGGCTGCTGAGCGCACCCTCTCCCAGTCCGCCGGTGTCAACATGAACACCTGGATGGTTGGTTTCCACCCGGTCGGATGGCACTCCTTCAACCCGCGCCGCTCGAAGAAGGCAGGCAACGAGATTGAGGCTCCCGGTAGCAAGATCTTCTTCTTGAAGTCTCGTATGATGGCCGGTCAGGCTGATCTATCCGTCAACACCCAAGGCCTCAAAGACTTCAAGTGGCTCGCCAAGGAGGAGCTCCCGCAATACCTGAACACGCAATACTACAGCAACATCAAGAACATGCTGGCCGACCGGTAAGAGGTGGATACCTAGAAGCAGCTGAGGGGGTAGAGCCGGGTGAGAACGCAAGGTTCAAGGTTGTTCGATGGAGATGAAAAGGCATACTTGTTCCGATACTATAGCGTACCATTTGTGACGCATTGCATATACTCTTATTGCGCATGCCATGTATAACTATTTTCTGTACTGTCAAATCAAATCATTTCAATTCATTCCATGATGTTAACAATCGATTCCGCGGTATCATCAACGCCCGAAAACGCCATGCCATGTAGAGTAAATCAAGAAAAGAAAAGAATCCCAGATCCAGCCCGCAGCTCCTCATGCCATATTGAACTTCTGTCCCTGGACAATAGGCTGATCCTTCGCCGACTTCCCCGCCAGATTCTTGCCACACATAGCACAAGCTGTATCAACATCAGCATCACATCACCAAAGAAAAGAGAAAAGAGTAGACATACCATTCCGCTGATAAGCGCACCGCTGACAGAACTTCTTTCCTAACTCCGTCTTCACCTTACAGTTATCGCAAGACGAAGCATAAGCCGCATAAGGATTCTTCGCTTTCGCGCTGAGGAGTTTGCTCTGAGATAAAAATTAGTACCAATCCAAACAATAGTTCAAAATATATAACATACCTTTCCGATTCCCGTGGCGCCTAGTGTGGCCTTCGTTTTTCCCTTGTCGGCGCTCGTTTTACTAGACGGCGAGCCGTAGTACATGTCGTTTTTGTTTTTGACGCCCGGTGTGGCGAGCTCGGTGGCTTTGAGCTTCTTTTGGCATTTTGAGCAGACCATTTTGATTTGCTGTGTGAGAGGTGAAAGGGAGTTGGTGATGAGAGCTGCGAAAATGATGTTATCGCGGCCGAGGTTTGCCACCGCCTGGTGACTTGCCAAGAGGTTTTGTTTACTTTCTTCGCCGCGATTTATGGATTTTTTTTTGGTTTGTTTTAGTTTCTAGGTTTTGTTGGATATAAAGAAATGATATGTTTTATACAAAGCGCATTGCTATCATTCGCATCGTTGGGTATCAACATTAAGGTACATTAGAGTATGTGCATGGAAGCTCTCATATCAAAAAACCGGGGTAATCGCGTCAAATAGCAGGAAATTAAAACTGGTAAATCTCAACAGAATCCAACTTCAACATCAACCTTACTGAGGCGAAACTTGGTGAGGCTGAGGCTGTGCGGAGTAACCCTGGTAAGGACCACCATATGGCTGCTGAACCGGAGGGTAATGTCCTTCGGGCATATGCTGGGGTTGGTATTGAGCGGGAGGATATTGCGGCTGGGGCGGAGCATAGTCACGCTCATCTCCGAGGTCGTGCCATTTGGCACAGCACATGAGAATGCCAGTGAAAGTGCCGACCCAGAAGATAAACTGGATAATGACACTGACGAGGTCCAGATATAGAGGCCAACGGTTGGTGAACGTTAGGCTATAGGCTATGATGATGACAGCCGGGGTGAAACACACAACGAACCAGCTAACGGCGGCGTTGATGAGTGCTGTAGCAGGCGCCTGGGGACAGTTAGTTTGTTGTTGTGTGTTGAAAGGATTCGGGACTTACCTTAGACACAAAACGATGGCTGCGGGCTTTTGAAAGCATGTAGAATGAACAACCGACTACCTCCAAGGATAGCAGCCAGTAAATGATGTACAGTGCAGCATTCAGCCGTACCAAGTGCATCCGTACGGTTGCGTATTGCTCAGTTACCATTCCCACGGAGGAAACAATGTACAAGGCGGTCTGGGAGAGAGACATCACCACGATAAGAGCGAAGAGGAGAGAATGAATGGAGGTCACTGAGGCATTGGGTGTGCCGGAGGATGCAAGAAGGCCCAGGAAGCGATTGATGAGGGTCCAAAAGACGTAGAAGGTGAGACAGATTCCCATCACCGTGAAAAAGTTTTGAAGCATCAGGCTGATTACATAGTACATTGTCACCTCGGCTTCGGCAACATACAGGGCTTCCCAGGCGATGGTGTTTATTTGGGCGCTAGCAAGCTGGTCAGTGAGTTGTTTATTTTAGTTCAGATCTTGACTCATACCATATAAAGCATGTCAGGGCGCCCATGAGTCCCTTCAGTGGGAGATTGCGGTTCTTGATCTTACATGTCCAGATAAAGAAGCCAATGAGGGCGAGAAGAGAGAGAATACTAAAAGCAAATTGGCCGTAGAATAAATTCTGGCCACGATGGTAGTCCAGTGAAAACCAGACTGTTTCGCTCCAGGGGTCGGTGTCGCTATAGTAGTCCGAGTAATAGCCTCCACCACGTCGAGGTGCCATTTCGTTTAATTTAGCTTTGAAGGGACTCAAAATTCAACAGGTCTACAGAGTACTTGGGGGAAATGAAGGGTTTTTAAATAAATGGATCTGGGGCTGAAGCAATCTACACTAGGTAAAATTGAGGCTTAAAGACCCGAGATACGAGGCCAATATGTTCAAAAGGGGCGGAGTGGAGGGAGGCTAAGACTCTTAATAGTCCAAGGCGAAATATGAGGTAAAAGACCCGTTGGCTTAGCAGCTGATTTCGCTTCTCGTGTTTTGACCCCTTTTTGGGCCCTGTACTTCGCCCCATGCTTGGCTAAGAGGAAGTACTCCACGCACACTAGTGCCGGGCGTATTCTTTAAATTTGGGTAAGGCAAAGAAAGAAAGAAAATACATTCGTTAGGCAGAGAAGAAGTTAAGTTGCGCCCGATGCCAACACATCACCGTGAAATGAAGCAGAAAAAAAAGAGTCACAAGCTAAAAGACTTGGCGATCTATAAAAAGGAACATGTCAGCTGATTTTTACAAGTCCGTGAACAGAAAAATGTATGAAAAGTACAAGAAGACAAAGTACAAGAAGACAAACAAAGTGAGATAGAAAGAATGTGTGGGGGAAAGGGTGATATACCTTATATTACTCTATTATATCTTAATATTTAATAATGTTTTATATCTTATATCTTATATCTTACATCTCCAGGATCTATGAAACACTTACCCCAGTCTTGTGCAGAAGAAAACTCGCGTGGCCAAGTCTGCAGATAAAAACTTCCATTTCTTTTCCCCAGTTACCAGGAACATCCCAGAGAATTCTCATCTCTCATCTTCTATGCATTATTCCGATGAATTGAAGTATAATCAACATGTGATATAAAATATTGCATTCACAGTCAAATGCATAATTTCCCATTTCTTACCCCTTGGATCCTTTGCGCTCTCTCTCCATCACATCGTGATGGATCCGCAGATGCATACATCCCCACTTATGAACTGGCCCAAATGACGCTTCTCGAGTGCCCTGAAAGGAATTGACCATAAAGAGCAACTCTAGCGTCAACCCAACCGTTCCAACAGTTCGGTTCAAGTCTACTTTCACGATAGGGTCATTCCCAGCGGGAAGATCATCCCCTGAAATCCAGTAGGGGGGGCAATTATATAAATACTATAATATTTTTTATATCTTTCCTCTTTTCCTTTTGCTTTTTTGGTGTTCCCATTCCCAGCTCTCCCGCATTCGGCATCTCCGCGTATCCCGATTCTCACATATCCCAACAATTGGTTTTTTTTTACCAGATCTTGCATTGCTTTTCTCGAATTAGTGCACTTAAAAAAAAAACCATTAGAAAAGCAAATGCTACGAGTATCAACAGCTACACAGTTCCTTTCCAAAGTGTGACTCTACTTCCATCTTCAACCGTGAAACCCCCAATTCAAGAATCTATCCAAAAAAAAATGCCTCCAGATGGATCAACCTTCACGGCCTTAAACCTCCCACCAACATTCGAATTACCCCAATGCATGGAATACTTCACACTCCGAGCGGGTCCAAACACAGACCTATGGCGCAAACCCCCGAACGGCGAAACCTCCACCGCCCCAATCGTCTTCACATCCCTCCGCCACCCCTTCGTCGTAGCAGAAGTCACCGTCAGCGCAGACTGGGAATTGGAATGGGACCAAGGCGGTCTAGTCATCTTCGCCGGCGCAGCACCACAATCCCTCTCCTCCGTCGATAGTCCATTCCGCACCCGTTCACCCTGCAAATGGGTGAAAGCCGGAATGGAGTTTTCATCGGGGACTGTGAACGCGTCGTCGGTGAGCGCAACGGCAGATGGTGCGGATTGGTGTTTATCGCCGCTTGCGCAGTCGACTCAAGCAGGTGCGATTCACTCGCTACGCATCAAGCTTGAGCGGGTTGGTTATGCGCTATGGATTTGGTATCAGGTTCCGTCAGTATTGCCGTTCGTTGTGTCGCCTGGTGCGGTGGGGAATTCGTGGAAGAAGCTGCGTGAGGTGACGTGGTTCTTTTATGGGGTTGAGGATAAGTTTGTTCATGTTGGGGTTTATGCGAGTCGGCCGACGAGTTTGGCGCGTGGGGGAACTATGTGGGATGCCATGCATGGGTTGACGCTGGATACTTCTTTACCGACGGGTTCGGCGGATGGGTTGGTGGTTGAGTTTGAGGATTTGGAGATCTTTTAGTTGCTTTGGTTTTTGCGTTTACACTTCGGGTTTTTTTCGAGTCCTGGTGATACATATTCCCCTTCAGCGTTTCATCAGTCGAGCGGTTATGGCATGTCTGGAGTCGTTAGTGTGATCTTTTTTTTGTGTTTCTGTTTGCATGTTTATATCGTTCAATGAGAATATTCCTTGAGATTTTGTTCTAACCTGAGAGTATGCCGTGTACTGACGCGAGTCTCGTATCTGGTACGTGCATTGCTCTTCCTTTGGCCAGTGCTTCGTAATAAGTCCCTTTGGTTACTACATATGTATGAATTCTATTACTGAATTTGCTGTATCAGATTAGACTAATGTATGATTTAAAAAATAAAATGATTTCTTTGTTGATAGGTTCGGTAGTTGTCGATGTATATATATTGGACGAACCATTGAAAACTAAGCCCAAAGACATTGTATATATTTCTCAATTTAGACAATTAACAGAACATCAGACTAGAAAACCATCCCCAATATATAGACATCCCTACAAACTCACTAGAAAACAATATGCAATAGATATCATTCAATGCACAGGGATATACTACTTGATATTGTCACTAACCGAAAGAAGACTAGACCGAGTTCGATATAAACGGGGAAATTCCGAACATCGCATCCAATTCCTCAACCCCCAAAGTAAATTCACACACCCAGCTTACAATGCAATATGACTTGCTTCATCAATTCCTGCATGCAGCATGCAGGACTCTACTATGATAACCCTGGAATGGGCCGATGTCACAAGCTGAGTCAGCTGACTACGGGAAAGCCGTTCCCGAGGCCCGGGAGCTAAAAATTTTGCGTTGAGGAAGCCTCTCAATTGAGGCCCGCCAGCACAAGAGATTTGCAAGAAAATAGCTCCATTCTCTTGGAAACCATCTCTAGTTTACTCTCACCGTCTATCGTAGGCCAATGGATGATAGTTGTGGCGTAGTTCGTTGAAGAGCGGGTCAAATACTGCAGGACCCGTAGTGAAAAATCCGCTATCACGGGGGAATCAAACAAGCTGTAAATTCAAAGCTGTTTATTTTGGAGTTCCAAAGTGGCCCACAGGGTTGTAGCTCTATAGCTTGTCTACGTGGAGTTCTGAGCTTTCGAGCAGATATTGCTGAAGCCCCCATACGTGTATTTTCCCAGTCCCCGTGGGGAAAGGCGAAAATCTAAGGAAGAGAGAAAAAAAGAGGATATTATACGGCCGTCAGACGCAACACACAGAGTTTTTGGTTTGGCTCTTTGATAGGTTGGATGGTCGATGGGCCATATAGGACTCTATATGTACAGAAAGAAAAAGTGTTGTAGATGACGCTGAAAGTAGTACATGGTAATACATCACGACCAAATACCCTCCCCGGCGGAAAAAGAGATTCTCTCAAAAAACCCAAAATCCTTGTTTTGATGACATTTTTCCAAGAATCCGAAAACCCGAGTTGTAGATAATTTAGACGTACTTGCACATCATGGCAACCATGAGATCGAAGAGACCCATGGCCTCGACGAAGGCAAAGCCAAGAATGGCGTAGGAGAAGAGCTGGCCACGGAGGGCAGGGTTGCGGGAGACACTCATGAGGAGAGCGGCGAAGACGAGACCGATACCGATACCGGCACCACCGAGACCGATGGCAGCGGAACCCATACCGATGTTCTTGGAGACCTCAACCATGGCGGAGGCGACCTCGGAGGAGTACTGGCGGCGAGCGGCAGTCTGGAAAGCCTTGGCCTGGAGGAGAGTGGGAGACTGGATGCGCTTGGGGGCACCGAAGGCGGGGGCCTTCTGGGTGAAGGTGCGCTTGGTGGCAGCGTTGAGCTGGAAGCGAGCAGCAGGGCGAGCGACCTTGGAGGTCTGGGCCATGACGGAGGCCATGCGGGAGGCGAAGACACGAGAGGTGGCCATTGTGATGATGGGTTATAGAATTATAGGGTGGGTGGAAGAGGAGAGAAAGAAGGAAAGAGGAGAGAGATGGACTTTTCAGGGAGAAAAAGCTGGGAAACTACGGGAGACGGCACTCACTAGGACATAAATACTCTACGGCCAAATTTTCGCCCGTCCGCCTCCTAGTCGGTCTTAGTGTATGTGTAAGGTAAGTAAAAAAGCCCTAGGTTGTGCGTGGACTCCGGAGTATTTCATACGCAAATCACACTATTAAGGAATGCTGGGGATCGTTTTACACTGTTTTTGTCTTGTTTTTAATCGGTTTTCATCGGTTTTGGTCTTGTTTTTCCTATTCTTACCGCGTATTAAGACCTGTCGGAATCAGTCGGGTATTGTTCCAACTGGGTCCACTGGGGATTTTAAGAGGGTTTATGGGTCTCTCTATCTATCAGAATATCCCCTGCATGGGTATGACCCTTCACTTTTTTATAAGATTACCTCCCTTTTAATACATTTTAGACAAATATCAGTAGAAGTTGAACAAAGGGATAAATGAAAAATTACTTGTAAATTCTTTTTAAGAAAACAAAATAATTAAAATAACTCCCTTGCAGTGGATCTTAAGCATGTTCCAATCCAGTGGATCGATCCACCCACAAGCTCCCTCCAACCAATCATAATCATCTCGGGTCCGCTATTTTCCTTGGAATTGTTCCCGGCGTCGCCCAAACCGGCCCGACTCGGATTCCAGGTCCACCAACTACGGAGTCACTGGGCAACCATATAGTGGACCGGCTGAAAGGAGACAAATAATGTGGATGAGGTGGATATTGTCTCCCCCTTCATCCCTCGGGAATCCACCTCACCGAATGGTCACATTTGGAAGATACGTAATTCTGGACGGATCCGGTACCCCGAGAGGTTGAGATGGCTTGCCGAGGGAAGCAAAAATCCATGCATAGAACCTGCAGGTACAGGTCGATACTTATATAAATTTATAGGGGATGAACGCAGATCGAAAACAAAGGATAGGAAACAAAAAAAGGAGCTAAAAAAAAAGTAAAAAATCGGGTTGTCGTGTCCTTGCCTTCGGCGGTCCACTTAGACTGAAATTCTGACCCGCCATAACCCGAATAGAGTGAGAACTGGTCTTTCCGGTTTGCCCTAAAGAAGATTACAGAACATTCAGAGTAACGCGGTAAACTGTCAATTCAACCTTCCCTCCCTTTTGAATGGGGTTGGAGACCCTTATATAGGCAGACCTACCCCTAGTAAAAATTTTTTTCATAGCCCAAATTAGAGTGTCCCAAACGGGTTAACCAGAGGCTCTTCGCATTTCTGCCGGAAATTCGATTTTTGGTAATTTCGGCTGATCGCAGCTTGGCGGGACCCACACAAGCTCGATTTCAGACACTCACGCGGTTTTCCTTCAAGCTATTCAGGCCATTGAGATGGGAATTGGGGATAATCATGATGTGAAATTGCAGTTGAAGATAGCAATTGAGTATAAAATAAAGAAGCTTTAAGGAAGGGAGCTGTTATAGTATTATATTAAGTAAGTTAAGGGGCTCTCCGGGTGTAACCGGGTAAAATACAAAATTACAATACGGTAATTTCAAACTCGGCGACTCATCAACTCATCATTGACATGCCGTGAGGTCATAAGGCCAGTTGGCATCCCGTATAGCCTCAGCTGTATGTGTATGCAGGCCGTAAATCAGTAAGACACACAAAGTATCCATAGCTTAGTTTCTTTCTTAAATACCTATCCACTCTCAATTCTATAAGATAAACTGTGCCCCCTACCTTCCCTGGAATTGCACTCAGCCCTCACGCCCTCGGGAACACATGCAATCACAAGCTTAGCGCCAGCGCTACCTGTTACAGATGCGCTGGACAGCACATACCAATCTCACAGCCGCTGATCCGTTATTATATTCGCCCCCACGGACTCAAAGGCCACGCAGTACCGAGGACTCCGGTACTTAGATCGCCAAACATGTTCTCAATGACCCAACGCGTCCTTCTCGAACGTTAAAATGCCATAGACAGGCCGCACATCATCCGCCAGGAATAAGCTCGACCACAACAAGGCTCGCCCCCGCCCTCTGATCTGCCCAAAAGCATCAACCCTCGCATCCACGGCACACATCCCTGATCAACGTTTAATACTTAGCTCTGCACCGAGCAGCACCAAAAACAAGACCCGCCCTAGCCCCGTCCCAGTCCGCAAAAGCAGCCCCAACATTGCCTATCGCATTATATGCGCCACACCGTCCGGAACACAGCCATTATGACACACGCAGCTAGGCGCAGGTCCGCACCCCGTAGACCGGTTATTGCCTATATTGTATGCTTCGACGTTTCCCGCTGTCACAGTTCCACATCTCCATCTTGAGGGTGCGGATATGCTGTGCACCTTACTGGCAGATATAGACTCGTGCAGAGGGTCGATAGCGAGGATTCCGGTGAAGAGCGAGATATTTGGTCCAGCAAAGGCTATACTCGTAGATTGGTTGAGACAATCTGTAGAAAACCGAGTAATTGTATCGCTTTGTTGAGTGATGCGTGAGCTGTTGCTTGATACATTCGACTATGCCTGTTCTATACCCCGGGGATGGTTTGGTTCATTTTCCACTGAGATGAAACAGGTGCACATTACGATCAATTGATCGCAGGTACTCATTTGTACACTCTTTGGGTTGTAATGCCAACTGGACGGGCTATTTGCACTCGGCACTGTTAAACAACTGCCACAGGAGTATTCATAATTCCTTGGAACAAATAACCTCGAACATATATACCATGTAACCTGCCTTGTGATTGTAACTGATTGTTGGAGTGCCTTTTCACTTAGGTGAACCCTTGTTCAGCCACTAACAGATAAGATCGTCAGCATCCACCAGCTATACGCAATTGGGACTAGTCTTCGATCTACGCGATCGAGATCTGACACCGCCAGTTCTAAGCTTAGAGACTTTCCGGCAGAGTTGCGGTGAACAAAATTGCTGGACCTTAAGAAGCTATGGTAAAGGGTACATATAGAAAATATAGGTTGTTGGTATTTAGCATGTTAAAATGCTGTTGGAGTTGTTTAGTCGAAGGTTTAGCTATAAATCGGTATCGAATTGATAAAAATGTAAGACAGCTTGGTCTTATTGATCCAGAGTTGAAATGAGGATAATCTATACATTGTATTAGTTTAAAACTGGAAGCAAGCAAATATTAGTAAATCAGAATACACCATAACTAGCATATGCATCTCCGAAGCACCAGCCACAGCACTCTTCAGAGCACTAGTCAGGTCGACATGGAAGAAAGGCCGATTAATTCCATCCACGACAGCCATACCAGTACCGACACCTGATCGACCACTGTGACGATGAGGGTTAATCTTCGCATCCGTCTCACCAGTCCGCATAACCTGATTATCATCTTCAGAGACAACCATAACCGACGAGGAGGCACTACTATCCTGCACCTTCAGGTTGGCCTCCATATCCTTCGACCAGTCCTCCTTCGATCAAGCCTGAGACTGAGCTTCCGAACCGGCTAGACTACCATTTAGGATCCTCGCAAAGTTGAAGATCGACCTCTGCCATCGAGGGCCGGACTCGTCTAAGACGGCGGGGAACCCGAACCCAGAGGCTGCTAGAGCGCGCTTCCTCCATTTGTTTTGGATGTGCGCAAGGTGCCACTGTACGCTGTCTTGAGATGCCCAGCGGTATAACTGGTTGCGGATGTCGACGAGGTTCTGCACGGCTGTGACGTTTACATTTGTTGACGGCTGCGAAATCGAGGATTATGGCTCAGAGGGTTGGAATTGGGCAAGTGGGTGCTTCCTCTGCCATTAGAATTTTGCGTTCGGCACGGGTTGGACCTATGTCGTTTCAGGGTCTGTCGCCTGGTGTTTCCCATGTTTGAGGGTTTGTGCGACGGGTTTCTTTGAATATGTGGCTGACCAGGTGGTCTGTATAGTAGTTTTCATTGGGATAGTTGAAGCCTTCAGAGACTCTGTAGATGAAGATTCCTGGGGCCGGGTGGTGGATCTTGATTCGGGGGTTTATGCCGCCTTCGTGGTCGATTGGGAGGTAGAAACGTCGGGACATCTCGGTATCATCTTCAAATTCTGTGTTCGGGTCTCCCTGGGATAGGCTGAGCATACGGTCGCCCAGAACTGAATACACCTGGATGTACCTGAATGTAGCCAAGGAATTGGCCTCAGGCTTTGGCGAATTTGAAGAGGAGTACTGCCAATGATACGCCGATTGTGCAGTATATTCCGGTCTCGATGGTTGAACATATGATCAAAATGATGCTTTGATAATTGGAACATCTATTTTGGGGTCTCCTGCAGCCTTGAGTTTCCGGAAAACAGTACCGAGTAGCTTGAAGGCAGGGTGATTGCGTTGATGGAGGTTGACTGCAGTGCTGATCATGGTGTAGGAAGAACGACGAAGGCAGAGCGCAATGTGGACAAAAAGAAGAACAGTTTGGCCTTGTGGGACCTCTTCCTCGTTCCATAGTTGCAAGCAGACCGTATGCCATATAACATTACCAAAACTGTGAGGCCAATAGCAGCATCCATTCGAGCGGATGGAAGATGCTCTAGCGTATCAATGATGATCTTGTAGGTTGCCCTACGCGTAGAGAAATGTGCTTTCTCGCCAAGAGCTGTTTTCACTTGGCCAGCACAAACATTGATCACGGGCCTAGTTATAAAAGCAGTGATAGCAGGAAGAGGGATGAAGTCGACTATGAAGCCAACACGAAGCACTCCGAGGAACAATACAATCGCCCCGCAAATGATTGCCAGGGTGGAAGCAAGGACCGGGTGGGGTATTGCAAGTTGTAATACCTGATCCAATGGAGAAAAGGGAAGAGAACCCATAAGTAACGACGAACTTGAGGAGCGGTGGATGTGTGACGCCGAAACTAGTCGCCCCCAGTGGGCTCATGCTCGTAGTAGCCATAAGTTCCAGTCTCATCTCTTACGACAGGAGTTTGATCCGAATCAATTTGTAAAAGCTTTGCGAAAGCGTGGTCGACTCGAGTCGAGATAGTCTCCGCCATTGTTGCGTCGAGTCTTCTTCGGTTCTTCGTAGTCTGGAAGGTCACAGCCGGCAGCATTCCAGATTGCCAGAGAGAAGAGGAGCTGAAGAAGGAGGAAGAAAAAGGGAATTCCCAGTAAGAAGGGCCATATTGAGTCCATAAGAGCCGGACCATAGGGCTGATGGCCCATATACTTCGGTGCCGGCGATGTCGTGGTTTTAGCGACTGACCAAGCTGATTGACTTTGACCAATCACGGCAGGTCTGGATAGTAGGTCATTCTCGTGTCAGACGTTCCTAGATGTTTAGTTACCCCTAGTTGGAGGGAATATTTTGTGTGTATGATATTAAAATATTAGAGAAAGTGTTCCTGCACCTCAGGGAAGGTGCAAGTCGAACTCGTAGGGCTGAACGCTTGGACCCACCGCAGATGGGGCTGATCGCTTACTCCCTACTCCTGTTTATACCTAAGTCTACCTATAGTGTTATAGTACTATAGTGTACAATCACGATTAACTCTGTTGCCTAGAATTAGTTCCTACCATATTGATCCTATTTGGGTTGGGATGCTTACCTTGTGGAACGTGCTATTATCCCCATGTAACCTCGTATCACGTTCGACCTATATTATCGAACTTTTCTAGGCAGAGATATTATTTGTCCCTATTGAGGTAGAGACATATTGCACGGAGTAGGTAGTGAGAGGATAGAAAAATGGGTCCCTGGTGCCTGAGCTACCCCACATTCTTCTGAATTTCCTCTTCTGGTTAGTTTTGCCCTTTTGGGTTTGGCGCCCTAGTCAAGATAGACCTAGTACTCCGTCACTACATCCGTTTAACCTACCTCTCCCAAGATATTTCTATATTCCTATTCGTGTACATGACCTGCTAGTCCATATCGAGTCTACAGCATACTCGTGCTTGATGAGAAAAGTATGCCACCTGCAGGTGTATGTCTATGACGTATGAAGCTCTTTTATCCCAAATACTCATAAACCGTCGACTTCTTTTGACCTAGGTGACAAAAATGATCACTAACCTGCCACTCTGATCTATCAAGCCTCCCATTCCTCGCGTGGATATCCTGCCCAGCCAAGGACAGTGACCAACGCTTCACAACATTGTTAGACTCGCCACTGTTACCGCTCAAATGGGGTTGTTTTAATCGGGGAGCTCCCTAATTGGGTTTAAACATCATACATACTAGGACCGGTCCAATCTAGAAATAATTCAAGTTCATAAGTTGTTTATAAGATATACCCAAAGTCCAGTCCAGCAGATCACTCGCTAATCTGACCCTCAGAAACAATTGTAGCAAACCCATCACCCAACTCACTGAGAACGACAGAGACCAAAGTCTCAGCGTTCGCACCAGGGATATTGCGATCACCCACAGCATCCCCAACAACAACCACATCATATCCAAGCTCATTACCAGCACGCGCGGTGGTAGAAACACAAACGTGCGCCATGTATCCAACCAGCACAATCTTCTTGCCTACTTCTCCCAGTCCCTGCAAGTAATCATGTAGATCGGTCTTGGCAAAAGAACTGGGGAAGTTCTTTGTGACCACTTTCTCGTTCGCCTTGGGCTTCAATTCTTCAAATTCCTCCGCGAGAGGAGTGCCAGGTGTGAAGACGGGTGCACCGGCGGGAACTTCGTGCACGACGTGGACAATGTTCTTGTTTCCGTTCTTGCGATATTTCTCTAGCAGTTTGGCAATGACCTTGCGGGTTTCGGCGACTTTTTGAACTGCTAGAAGGCCTGTGGCGTATTCATTTTGGGCGTCGATGATGATGAGGGTTGAATCACTGGGAGAGGCGGTGGAAGGGGGGATGCCGACGAGTTCACGGAATGACTTGGCTGTGGAAGACATGGTGAGAGGTGGAGGTAAAAGAAAGGAAATTTTGTAGATATAGAGGTAAAGTATAAAGAAGTTGGGCGTTCAATCTCCGGATGTGGTGGTTTTATAGATGTCCAGGTGAAGAGGGGTGGCTAAACCATATGTGGGGCCGGCGGGCTTTCGGCCTATCCCACTCTATGTGACTCGGCATATCCCACCTTATATATGGGAGTTGGATATATTTATTTGTAATAAGACTATTAACCTTAACAACTTAAACGTAATAGATGTTCTCTTGCATATTCTAAGCTTACCCCGCCGCTTGGTTGATAATCATTGCAAATCCTGGGGGCGAGGTCATATCTTGTATGCCAAACATCAGAGATCCACCTGGGCGAATTGTTTCTTCTGGGAAATCTAAAACTCAACATTTGAATCCCCAGATCGGCTGTCAATTACTGGCATTTGCTATAGTATTCCATACGGTATCAAACGGTTCAATGCAATGCTAATAGGCCAAGGGCCCTTATCAAGTACGCGAGCTCGTTATCTACATGGTTCGGTGTCAATATTTTACTCTACTAACCATTGACAACCATCTCCGGCATAAGAGGAATCTGAATCTTAATCCTGATCAAGACCTCAGGAGTTGGCAGTCTTCGGGTTTCGAGTAATTAGTTGATTAGTCTAATCGAAGGCAAACGAAGGCATTTGGAAGAGTAGATATGCTCATTACAAAACGGAGAATTTAGACTATGTCTTTGATCAGTGCTTCTCTTTCTGAAACTTCTGAGGCTCATACTCCTGGAAGTCAGCCAGACAAGGTGCCACGAAAAGACTGCGATTGAAAGCTCCCTTTAGCGTGAAGAGCGACACCACAATCCATATTAATACAACACAAACGCATAGTATCTAGAATAAATTAGCTATTTGAAGATGAGATATTTGGCGTTAAAGTAGCTTACTGTGCCTAGGACCCTAAAGAACCTAGACGGCATTTCTTTACCCAGCTGGTTGGTACAGTTTGCAAAGACGCCGAGCGGGAAAGTGAATGCCCACCATCCGAGGTTGAATGGAAATTTCCTCGACCGAATAATGGCTGCCACTGCAAAGAACAACCATAAACAGCCAAATGACCACATGAGTAGAGCCACCAGAAACCCGATGTCGTAGAACGTATCTCCTGATCCGGGTCTCAATGTTCCTGTAAGGGGGAAGACCTTTTGTGCAACTATCCCCAATTTTTGAATTCTATACAGAAAAGAATGATGCATTAGTGTGTGAATCGCATCTTCCAAACCTTACAAAAGGTACTCACCCGAACCCGCCTTGACCAAGAGGACCAAGGGGCAAGAACGTGCTAACAATCACTGCTTTTGGTGGTAGTTTGTACAGCATAAGACGCATCAAATAAATGACAATGACCATCATTGCTAGGGGCACTCCGACTCCCCATAGAAAATAGCTCGCGATAATAGTCCCTAGAGCATACTGAGGATTTGGGAGGTAATCAGCCACGATACCCCCCGATGCCGCCGCAACGACACAAGACACAATGGGAAGCAGCCAAGCGGCGCCCATCGCTTGTAGTTCGATGTGAGCTGATCGAGTCATTCTAGAAAGCTAGTCAGCGCTGGTATTCTTAATAGAAAAGGAGTTATGTGTAGACCATACACAATAAATGGTATCCCGAAGCATGTCATAACAGACATGATAACATCTACAATCCACAGAGCCCAGGCAAAGTAAACAGCCCACTCTCCCCAAGCTGGTACGCAGATATAGCAAAACATATTGACAATTGTTGAAAACCCCATAGGGAGAGTTCCGACGAAAAGGGATTGCGCGGGATGTGTCACCATGAGGTAGAAGGCCTTTGGGTAGAGGATATATCGCAAGATGGTGATGGTGGAGAAGATGATAAAAAGGAGGACATTCAAACAGAATATCACCACTGATATCCAGTATAGCCATCTGCCATTATAGGGTAGAGTGTTGAGCAGAATAGAAGTAATCCCAGTGCCCATATTGACTGAGAACCAACTTGAGAAGGAGAGTTAGCTATGTTGACAACCTATGCTCGAGACACTTACGCCGGTGTGAAATTCCGCACAAGATGGCGCCAGCCATGATTATGCTTTGAGTGATTTGGGTAAGAGTCTATATTCTCGCTTTCCGGTGACTCTGTGGTATCATTTATGTTCTCATGAATAGCCTCGTCGCTAGATGAGAATTGGTTTTGATTGTCTCGTTGCGGCATCGTACAAAGGTCAATTAATTCAATTTCCGATATGTTAAACTTTTGAACGGTCGTCAAGGAGGGAAAAGAAATTTATTGAGTATGATATATGTGGTCGCCATTCAAATCGCTTAGACGGAATACAGAATGGAAGGTTAAGGTGTTGAGTCAGAAATTAAAGTAGGTGAAAACTTGCGAGTCGGCCGAGATGGTATTATACCCCTGGCCCAAAGATGAATAGCTATGTAGTCACAAGATATGATGATTCATAGCGACGGTGTAGGTATGGATGACCGGGTGGGTCTATACGGATGGTACGGGTAGTGCGCCACCTTAGATTTTGCCTGCATAACTAGTTTGTAAGAGGATTTTATGCATTGAATTCTATAAAAGCTAATTTAATATTGAACTCTTAATATATGACCTCGTAATAGCTCTCTGATCAGGTGGTACAAAAACCCGACCCTAAGTTGTTGGGCTATTGCTCGAATTGTCGGGGTTAGTGGCGAGATGAAGTCAGGAGATCCCTTAGTTCTAGCATAGATATGCTCCCCATGGGAAACTTCGTTTTGTTGCTGTTTGACACATTCGAAAGCGTCGGGCGTGTTATAGAGTAAATTTCCCTAAAACATACATGTGCTAACAATTTGAAGTAGTCGTGCAAACTTCGATGATCCTATAGCTTTATAGGTTCTTGATATAGATTTGAAGTCGAAATGTATCTCCTCCTTCTGGATGATGCAATGCTTTATCGCTAGATACAATCTTTCAAAGAACGACAGCATTCCAAGGTTGTCTTGATGGTAGAGTATTGAAGTTGAAAGACAGTGCTGTCATGTAAGAAGCATATTATGTCGCCAAGACCAAACTTCCCGATAAGGCTGATTCTCTGGGTCGCAGTTGCCTCATAAAGACGTAACATGATGAGGAAAGCCCTAATTAATGCTAGTTTAGTATAAGCATGAGCATCAACAAATAACTCCCTTCTTCACAAGTTGATATGGAGACACCTTGGAAAGTCATTTTTCGAAGGATGTAACTGATGAGAACATGTATATTCCATCCGTTCATATGGCAATTCCTCGATTTGTTGGTGTCGTAGTTGTAGAACACCTCTTTCCTGGGTGGTTCGCTGTGCCACTTCACATGTTCCTCTGATAAATAAATGCGTAATCCTCTCGCTGTGGTCGGCGGCGTTCTGTTGGTGCAGATGGGAGTGTGGCCATATTGATATAGTACACGAAAAGAGGGGTTGTTATGCAGGTGGATTGTGATTGGAAGAAAGGGAAATGTATATGACTGCAGGTAGATCGTTTACACAGGGAAGATTCATTTATCTTCACATACTTATTCCAAGCTGTGCATTGGTTGAGAGTTATGAAATTAAGTGCAGTAAGAATCACATTCATGTGTATGTAGCAACTTCCCGCAGAATTGAGCAAAAGAAAAGTTAATTGTACTAGAATGATGCGCCAAGTCACTACATCCTCGTAATCCTTGTAATTGTGTAAATCCTCAATGCCAAATTCTTGATCAGTATAAAGAGCTCTTTAGCCCACATATATATTATTGTAGAGCTAGACAGAACATATGTTGTACCACGGAGTTAGGGGAGGTCATGAGACTATGGAGCTTTTACTCCGTACTCCATAGTTATTTATACTGGGCCCCATTAAATGACCCCTTAATATTAACCAACTTGGAATCATCTCACACGATCTCCCGCGCATTCCCGAGAACGGGAAGCCGACCACACCGCCTTGTATATCAATGAAAGTCGGTGGAAGGGAAGAAGAGTACTAATGAGAACTGCAGAACTGCAGACTGCAGCTTTGAACCGGAAATGCGGCTTCTGTGGGAGGGTCCAAGCTTGAGAAGGCAGCACGCAATGCATGAGAGCTACTAGTGTGCGGCACGAGCTTTCATGCTTCATTGTTTTCGAAATCTCTAGACCGGATATAGAACTTATTAGTACTCCGAGGTAGAAATATATGAAGATCCGTAGTGTTCCGCATAATATGGGTCCAAAAACAAAAGTTGAAAGATCAGCTCACTATTAGAAACCGAACTCCATATGTTGGAGATCACAATGAGTCAGGATATGACAGGTGGATAAGAATCTTTACGGTCATTGGCGCCTGTGGGACTTTTTTTTTTTAGCGCCCAATCTTTTCACAAGTTAACAGGATTGAATTCTTGTACAACCAAAGGGAAAAGGTAGTAACATGTATCTTTTTAGAATCATATAACATTGAAATCGTATGATAACACATGAAGAAGAAAAAGAAGCCAATAAACCTCGGATAGCTTCACCGCATATTGGGAGTGGATATCCGGATGAAAGAGCCCAAAAAAAGGACGAACAGTCATTGGGTAATATATTAGTATTTTAATACTATTTAGTATTTTTTAATAGTATTTTTTAATAGTATTTTAGTATTTTCTGGTCACTATGCCAACTGATTTTTCCCCACTTCAAAGCTGTGCCGTCAGAGGGTTTTTTTGTTACTTGGGCTGAGATTTTTTTTTTCTGCCTTCTTCCCCTCTCCATACTCACAATAATTACATGCTCTGTGAGCTTGTTCTGTACACGATAATCTAGCGTTAAATCTTTGCTGGTCAAATTGTGAATCACCTAATACCCTTTTTACGACATTACGAACTTGAAACGAAATAAATCATGGCCAGCGTGCAAGAGCCCATTATTCCGGATAGCCATGTGCTGCCAACAGATGGACCAGTTGAGCCCATTTCATCCATAGATGAAAAGTCTACCGCCGATGCAACTGCGGCGGAACTGAGCGAATCCACTGCTACCCTGGTTGAGCCCGACTCCACACAACAATCCAAAGATTCAACCCCCGAGGTCCCAATGACCGCCGCGGAAAAGAAGAAGGCCAAGAAGGCAAAGAAGAAGCAGCAAAAGAGACAGGAGAGCTTGAGCTCCATTGCCGTGGAAGCTGAAAAGACTCCCGAAGAGACTCCAGTCGACAATTCTGTCGTTCCCGAGACCAAAACTGCAGAGCCTGCAGTGGAGGAATCAGCAGTCGAAGCTCCCAAAGAAGCTGAACCTGCTGCCGAGTCAGTGGTTGAAGAAAAAACCGCAATTGAATCAACGGAAGAATCCAAGCCGGCCGAGAAGGCTGTCGATGCCACCGAGGCACCAGTGCTTGAGGAAAAGCCCGCCGAAGCTACCCCCGAGGTTGCTGAGAAGGCTGCCGAGCCCGCTACAGAAGAATCGAAGACTACTGAGGCCGTTCCGGAAACTGTCGCAGAGCCAGTTGAAGAATCCAAGGTTGTGGAAGAGGTTGCTAAGCCTACCACAGAAGAGCCCAAGGCCGTCGAGGCCGTTCCTGAAGTCGCCGCAGAGCCAGTCGTCGAAGAGACTCCCGCTGCGGAAGAAACGAAGACTGTCGAGGAGGTTGCCAAGCCTATCACCGAGGAGAAGCCTGTCGTCGAAGAAAAGGCTACCGAGGCCGCTCCCGAAACTGCCGCTGAGCCTGCTGCTGAGGCCGCCGTCGAAGAACCTAAGGCTGCGGATGATATCGCTGAGCCTACTAAGGAAGATTCGGAGCCCGCCAAATCCTTTGCCGAAGCCGTCGCCGAGCCAGTCGAGGAGACTCCCGCTGAAGCTGCTGTGGAAGAATCTAAGACTGCCGAGGCCGTTCCTGAGGCTGCTGTGGAGGAAAAGACCACCGAAGTCGTTCCTGAAACCGAAGCCGCTGTGAAGGAGACTCCCGAAACTGCCGTGGAAGAATCAAAGATTGTGGAAGCTGTTCCTGAAATCGCCCAGGTGGCGCCCGCTGTCGAAGAATCTAAGGCTGAGGAAGTTGCCGAGCCTACTCCCGCTGAAGCCGCCAAGGAAGAAGAGACTCCTGCTGTTGCAGAATCCAAGGTTGAGGAGGCTGCTCCTGAAATAGCCAAGGAGACGCCTGCCGTCGAAGAATCCAAGGCTGAGGTTGCTGAGCCAATCGCCGAGGAGAAGCCCGCCACCGAAGAAAAGGTCATCGAGGCTGCTCCTGAGACTGTCGCAGAGCCTGTCACAGAAACCCCCGCCGTCGAAGAATCTAAGACTGAGGAGGTTGCTGAGCCGGTTGCCGAGGAGAAGCCTGCTGAATCTGCCAAGGAAGAGTCAGAGCCCGCTAAGTCCTTTGCTGAAGCTGTTGCTGAGCCGGTCGTCGAGGAGACCCCGGCCGTTGAAGCTGCTGTGGAGGAATCGAAGCCTGCTGTTTCTGAAACCGTCGCAGAGCCTACTGTCGAAGAGACCCCGGCCGTGGAAGAATCTAAGACTGAGGAGGTTGTCAAGCCTTCCACAGAGGAAAAGACTGAGGAAAAGGCTGTCGAAGCCGTTTCTGAAACCCCCGCCGCTGAAGAATCCAAGGCCGCCGAGGTCGTTGAACCTACCACCGAGGAGAAGCCTGCTACTGAGGAAAAGCCTGTCGAAGCTGCCCCTGAATCTGTCCAGGAGACACCTGCAGTTGAGGAATCCAAGGCCGAGGCCGTTTCTGAAACTCCAGCTGTCGAGGAATCCAAGGCTGAGGAGGTTGCTGAGCCTACCACTGAGGAAAAGCCCGTCACTGAATCTGCCAAGGAAGAGTCTGAGCCCGCAAAGTCCTTTGCCGAAGCTGTCGCTGAACCGGTTGTCGAGGAGACTCCCGCTGCTGAGACTGCTGTGGAGGAATCAAAGCCTGTCGAGGCTGCTTCTGAGATCGTGCAGGAGACACCCGCAGTTGAGGAATCTAAGGCTGAGGAGGTTACCAAGCCTGCTGAAGAAAAGGTTGAGGCCGTTTCTGAGACTCCTGCAGTCGAGGAATCCAAGGTTGAGGAGGTTGCTGAGCCTACCGCCGAGGAAAAGCCCGTCACTGAATCTGCCAAGGAAGAGTCTGAGCCCGCTAAGTCCTTTGCTGAAGCCGTCGCCGAGCCGGTTGCCGAAGAGACTCCCGCCGCTGAAGCTGCCGTGGAAGAACCCAAGACTGTCGAGGCTGTTCCTGAAATTGTTAAGGATGCCCCAGCCACCGAGGCAGCTGTGGAAGAGTCCAAGCCTGTCGAGGAGCCAGTGACCGAGAAGGCTGTTGAGGAACCCGCTGTGGAGGCAGAGTCCGTTCCAGAGATTGCCGAAGAGGCAACTGCTGTCGAGCCCACTGTTGAGGCTTCAGAGCCAAAGGAGGAAGTCATCTCCGAGCCCACCAAGGAGGTGGCTGATGAGGCTCCGGTTGAGCAGCCTGCCACTGAGGAATTGGCTGCCGAGCCTGTCAAGGAGACTGAGGTTGCCGAGCCGGTTCCCGAGCAGACTGCCGATGCTGCTAAGGAATCTGCTGTCGAGAAGCCTGCTGAGGTTGCTGCCGAGGAGACTACCGCCACCGAGACTGCCACCGAAGCAATTGAAGAGCCTGCTGCCGTGGTTGCCGAGGAGGCTACTCCTGAGAAGACCGAGGAGCCTACCAAGGTCGAATCTGTTGAGGAGACCGCCGAGAAGGTTAAGGCAGAGGAACCAGTTGTGGAGGAGCCTGTGGCGGAAACTGCTAAGGAATTGGCCACCGAGGAGTCCCCTGCTGTTCCCGAGCCCGCTGAGGCTGCTCCTGTCGAGACTGCCTCTATTCCTGAAGAGGCTGCTGCTGCCGCTGTTGCCCCCGAGGAATCTCCCGCTGTTCCTGAGGCCACGGAAGCTGCCGCCAGCGAGATCACCGCCATCCCCGCAGCTGCCGCTGCTGCTGTCACCGAGGAATCTCCCTCTGTTCCTGAGGCTGCCGCCGCTATCGTCGAGGAAAATGCCGCTTCTACTGAGTCTGTGCAAGAAGCAGTGGAGGAGGCTATCCCCGCTGAAACTGCTAAGGAAGTCCCCGTTGAGCAGCCAGAGGCTACCAAGGCTGAGGAAGTAACCGAGAAGCCCACTGAAGAGCCCGTCGCCGACAAGGCTGCTGAGGAGCCCGTTGCTGAGACCTCTGCTCCGGAGCCGGCTGTTCAGGATGCTCCCGTTGTCGAGGAGACTCCCGCTGAAGAGCCTGCTAAGGAAGTTGTCGCTGAGGAGCCCATCAAGGCTTCCACCGAGGCTCCTGCCGCTGAGGCCGAGGAGAAGCAACCCGAGACTGCTGCTGCTGCCGAAGAGAAGGCTGTGGATGAGCCAGTCGCTGTGGCAGAGACTGTCGAAGCCGCTGCCACTCCTGAGCCTGCAGCTGAAGTTGAGGCTAAGGCCGAGGCCGTTATTGCCGAGCCCGCTGTTACTGAAACTCCCGCGGTCGAAGAAAAGGCCATCGACAAGCCTGTTGCTGTTGAGACCGCGGCTGAGCCCACCGCTGAGCCTGTTTCCGAACAGACTCCCGTTGAGGCCCCTGTTGTTGAAGAACCTGTTGCTGAGGCACCAGCTACTGAGAAGGCTGAGGATGTGAAGGAGCCCGCCATTGTCGAGCCCACCGTCCAAGCTACCGAAGTTGCTGAAGCGCCAGTTGTGGAGGAACAGACCGTCGCAGAGCCTGTGAAGGTTGAGGAGCCCGTTGAAGCTGCCGTCTCCGAGGAGAAAATCCCCGAGGTAGCTCCAGTGGAGGCATCTACTACCAAGGAGCTCGAGCCTGAGACAGCCGCCGTAGAGGAAGTTGCCATTGAGCAGCCTGCCGTTGTTGCTGAAGAGGCTGTCGCAGAAAAGCCCGCACAGGAGGATACCAAGGTCGAGGACCTCGTCCCAGAACAGTCTGCTCCTGTCGTGGGGACTGTGGTTGCAACTGAGGAACCCTCGAAGGTCGAAACCGTCGAGCCCGAAGTTGTCAGCGCAGATAAGCCCGAGATTGTGACCGAGACATCCGATGTGAAGGAGCCTGTTCAGCCCTCCACCGCTGATGTTGAAGCCTCGGCACCATCCGAGCCCGAAACTAAGCAGGAAGAGCCCGCTGCTCCCACCTCAGAGGAAGTTTCTACCAAGGATACTGGAATTAGCACTGAAATTCTTGGTGCTGGCGCTGCCGCCGCCGCCGCCGCCATTGCCGGTGTAGGCGTGGCCGCCCTTGTTAACAAGGACTCCGAGACTGTCTCAGAGACTTCGAAAGATCAGAAGGATCCCGAAACTACCGATGCAGTCAAGGAGCCCGTTACTAAGGCTGAGACCCAGCCCCAGGTTTCGGCAGCAGATGCACAGCACACCGACGGTAAGCCAACACCGTTCTATCTTTCATACCAGCCGTCTGCCATGTCGTTCGAAACTGATCCCGTTCTTGCAGCTCTCGCTGGTGACCGCGAAGCCCTCCTTAGCAAGCTCAACCAACCCTCCACAGACCAATTGTCCACGACCTCCCAGAAACCACCTGCCGCGACAGTCGAGACTGCCGTCGAGTCCCAGCCTGCCGCCGAGGCCAGCAAGGGAACCGTCGAACCTGCCCAGCCCTCCGAGGCCAAGACTGCTACCGATGCTACCCTTCCACCCAAGGATAACGATGAGGATGCTCGTCCAGCGAGCCAGAACCGGTCAGTGACTGCTGTTTCTCTAAATGGTGCACCTGACAGCTGGCTCAAAGCGATTCTGCGCACTGTGTTTGTGAACTTCTTTGGGGCCATCTTTTCACCTTTCCGTCGTGGAAAGTCCTCAAATTAGAATAGACCATGTGTTTTCTTGTGATTTTTGCTTTTTTTCAGCCAGTTGTTTTATTTCTTTGGAGCTATCTACTATCGAAAAACATCGTCGTCATGACGCAGAATCTGCATTCAAACTAATAACTGACTCATCGATCAGCAATTTGTTCTGGATGGCGGTTTTTGCCGTGCCAATGCTGGCAATTTTCTGGCGTTCGTGCTTCAGCACGGACAAATGAGGTCTCGATATCGACGGTCACGTGCATGTCGAAGCCCCAACTCGAAGATGTTCTCTTTGTCCGTGGCAATACGGAGAGTGCGTCGCACGACGAAGTATAAAAATCTGGACACAATTTCGACTACTCCTCTCCCGCCATTGCATTATTCCCCTGTATTTCTGATTACGAATTCCATTTGCGTCTCTTTTTGAATCTTTCTTATGGTTAATGATTTCCTTTTGTTGTCTCCAATGTTATATTGGTGTCGGCATGGCCGGCTGCTCTTGATGGATCTGCCTGACCTGCTATTTATCCAGTATACTATGACATGAACTTAATGAATACCTTCTACTTCTATCTTCTTTGTGCTTGTTTGCCTGTAATCTTCTAGTTTCTTTGCGTAGCTTCTAGATTGTATACCCTGATTGCCTTGTTCCTTTGCTGGTGCACTTTGCTTGCCTGCTATGTCTTTGTGTCTGTGTAACAGCAACGGTTGAAAGTGGTGTATATAAGTTGGATTCCCACTTGCTCAGAATAGATTCTTTTCTTTGCTTGTATCCATTTGCTGGCCTAGCATGGGACAGCATGCGTTGCTGGGTCATTGCATGTAGAGAGCTCAGTCATGTTGACCTGGATAATGACTAGCCCCAGTAAAATGGCCATGGTCACCAATGGGTGGTTCCTTCGATATTGGGAATATGAGCCATAATAAGCCCATGGGAGCCTATTGGATTCATCGTTCTTTCCAGTTCGGGCTTGAAGAACCATGATGCTGGGCCACGTGCTCAGTGTTGACCCCCCAAAATGTCTCTGGTCTTGTTATTGCCACCACGCGTTCGTCTCTTCTTCTTTTTTCTCAACAACCATCACCATCCATCCGTTTCTTGAAGATTATCAACAGAGATGGCGAAAACTAATCAAGGTAAGTGACAATCTCTTCTTTCTGAATCATTCATCACCTTCCACCTCATGGAGTGTCTCTTTCGGTGGACTCGAGTCTCATTTCGACCGAGTTCATCCATGGGGATGGGCCTTTCTTCGGAAATTGTCTCATTCCTTGTGGTATTGCTATTCTGTGTGCAGTATCGTGTCTCGTCTCTCTGAGATGGGACCGTTCTGTGTGCATGATCGTGTCTCGTCTCTCTGAGATGGGACCGTTCTGTGTGCATGATCGTGTCTTTTCTCTCTGAGATGGGACCGTTCTGTGTGCATGATCGTGTCTCTTCTCTCTGAGATGGGATCGTTCTGTGTGCATGATCGTGTCTCTTCCTGACATTAAGATTGAGCTTCGCTCTTAGGGATCTGGTGTCCCTTGCTAGAATTTGACATGATTCTTTTGAATTGTATCTCTTTCTTTGGCATTGGACTCAGTTCTTGAGAGTCAGGCCTCTTTGTTTGGCATTGGAATTGGTTGCTTGGAATCGGATCTGCTTGACTATGTGTAAGCAAATCACTTTCTATGGCCGCTCTTTCTACTCAAACAAGTCTTGTGGACAAGGAACTGTTCTTTTACCCACGGAATATGCCTCTCAAGAAAGAATAAAGAGAGAGACACCCAAAAACATGAGAGATATCTATCAGTTTGCCCTCAGATGATCAACTGATGGCTGTCACATTCAGTTCACTTCAAAGAAAGAAGGGTAGGGTTACTGACGCTTTGATGTTCTTACAGATACCGATTCGGAAGGTCCCCGCGGCCGGACTGGGCGGCCTGAAACCCCATCATCCTCTGCGGCTTCGTCCTCTCGTCGCAGCACACTCAACCGCGTGCACTTCGAGGAGCCCGAGATGTGCATCCCACTGGCGTCTCCTCGTTCTGACGATACGGTCACTGCACTCCGGGTGCCTGTAGCTTCCAGTTCGACCAACCCTAAGGTTGGTCTGCCTTCGACTGTCGCGGGGAGTTCGGAGACGGAGTTGCCTCCTTCCTCAGTTGACAAACACAACTCGTTCGCCCGCCAGGGCAAATCTGCTGGTGCCTCCCACCTTTCTTCCTCTTCCCACCCTTCTCACCCTTCCTCCCACACCCTCCGTTCTTCTTCCATCCCTCCCGTTCCTCCTTTCCCTGTTTCGATCCTGAAGAATCGAAACGCCATCAAACCTCGCTCCTTGTCTGCTCCGCCATCCCCACCCAAGATGGCTGATGGTTCTGGTGCCCCGGAGGGCAACAACAAGCCACTCCCCCCGTCCCCCACCAAGTCTGCCCCTCACACCCCGAGCCCTCATACACCAAGCAAAGAGGGCATGCGCCATCCCGTCCTCGGCACACCTCTCATGAGTCCTACTGGTGTTAGCCCTACTCTGAGTCAGCATTCAAGCTTGACTCTGACTCTCAAGGACCTTCCTGAGGCTGTGCGAGCACTTCAGTTCCAGCACGACGCAACCCAAAAGCGGCTGGCAAAGAAGATCGGTGACATCAACCGACTCGAACAGAAGGTCGATGACTTCCTCGGCTTCACTGAGAACTACATCGGTGACCAGACGAATGCGCAACTTAAGCGCAGCTCCGAGTTGGCTTTCGACTTTGCCCAAGTGCAGCGTGACGCCCGGGAAGCCAAGGGGCAGGTTGATCAGATCAAGGAGGCCATCCACGAGATGCGCCTTGAGATCAACGGACTGACCTCGTCTCTCTGTGACCTGAGCGCCAAGGTCGACATGTGTCTCACCGGGATTTGGGACAACACCGAAGAGCCCTTCGTGGCCTTCCAGCGTCGACGGAACGACGAAATAGACGCTGATGTCAATGAAATTGGTGACAACACCGTCAAGCTGAAGGCGGAATCCATGTTCTTGAGACGGGCGATCATTTGCACTATGACTGCAGTCAGAGTCATGCAATATGAAAACAACCTTTACGCTTCTCGCGATGTAGAAGTTGTTCTTCCACCCTTCCCTTTGGGTGAACGCGACGACAACGAGCCCGGTCTTGACGGCAACCCTGAACCTTGGGAAGAAGCACAGGTCGGTCCCGCCATCTTCAGACCAGCTAAGGCTACTCCCTCGCTACCTCGCCCTGTGCCAGGTTTGCGCACTCCCTCCGCTACCACTGTGCCCGCAAATGCGACTCCTTCGGGATCCAGCACCGTGACTGGAAAGCGCACTCCCTCTACCACTGTGCCCGCAAATGCGACTCCTTCGGGATCCAGCACCGTGACTGGAAAGCGTACTCCATCAGCAACCACTGTGTCCGCAAATGCGACTCCTTCAGGATCCAACACTGTGACAGGAAAGCGCACTCCCTCCACTACTGTGCCTGCGAAGGCCACTCCTCCGGCGCCTACCACCGTCCCGGCAAAGACTACCCCACCAGCATCGGCCACCGGGTCTACCACAATCACTCCTCCAGGTTCTGCCACTGTTAAACAGAGCTCGATCCCTCGCCGATCCAAGAAGAAGAAGAAGACTCTTTCGAAGAAGTCCTCTAGCTCTCAGCAGAATGACAAGGAGAACACCAGCAACAACACTGGTAATGCGGACAACACTGAATCCGCAGAGCTCAAGGCCAATAAAGATGCCAATGACAAGGAATGTGCATCTGAGAAGAAGGGGAAGAGTCTGTTTGGATTCCGACGCCGCAGCGACAGCGTCTCATCCGCAACCAGCGGGAGACTTGCCGCACGTCGGGATGACTCCATCCCCCCCGTCCCTGAACTTCCTCGTGGGATTGTTCTTCCTGGTCCTCCTGGGGAGCCCATCCCCCTCGCAAACATTCACCCCCTCTACCGGCCACAGTTCCAGGAGGTGAATGCCGAGGGAATCCCGGCGGCCCCCGTCATCCCGACCGCCTCGAGTGCCGCCCGTGCTACTCCCCGCCCTGAGAAGGCCAAGGGACCTGAATCCCCTTCGGCTGGCAAGGACAAGACTCGCAAGTAAGCGAGTCTGTCCAAGTTCTCAAAAATGATACTCTCACAACGAAAATCTGAAAAAAACAAAAAAAATTGAAAACAAAACAAAAAAAAATTACCCCAAAAAACAACAAAAAAAGACCAAAAAAAGTTGAAAACAGAAAACCCTCCAAAAAAAATACAAGATCTCATCTCTGTGTTAGATTTGGAGGATTTGGGGGTCAAATGTGTTAGATTTTGTTGTGTGGATTAGCATGTCAATGAACTTGTTTGATTACAATTCTCCAGTAAAAAAACATCGTAGCTGAATATGCATATAAAATTAACCAAAACAGTATTTACTTAGTAGAAGAGACCATCATCTTTTCAATCTCCACCGCCGCCTCTCGAACCTGTGGACAGTAATGCAGACGCAACAATTCACCCTCCCACACTGTACCAGCAAAGACATTGGTAGCTTCGACATCAGCAGCATAAGCATTGAATACACCATCACCCTTCCGCTCCTCCGTGTGCCACAGCGAAGAGATACGACGACCATGATATTTGGAGACTTGGTTCATGAGCGCGAGTGTGGCAAGAGCAGACTTCTCCGGCAACTGGAGGGAAGTTGTCATGAGACGCTTGGAGAAACTGGCAAGTCGGCTTGGGGGCGGGTTGCCGTGTGCACGGGATAGCAGGGTCGGCTGCAAGCAGCGGAGGAGGAGAACCATCGGGGTCTGGAAGTTGACCTTGTTCTTGGAGCGGGTCTCGGAGAGCTTGGTGCCTTCTTCGGAGGAACCGGGGTCGGGGAGGCGGAGGGATGTGTCAGGGTTAAACTCGACGTCTGGGTTCATGGAGAGGGAGTAGAGGGATCGGTAAAGGTGCTTGATGAAGAAGTTCAGGTCGAGATGGAGGCCTGCGGCTGCTTTACTGGCTTCTTGGCCTTCTAGTAGGGCAAAGGCGGTCACGGTGCAGAGCAGTGTCCTTCGGCGAGCGTCTCGGGCTGCGCTTTCCGCAATTGTGGCTTTGTCTTCGTCTTCGTCTTCTTCCTCGTGGACGACTTCCTGGTCACCTTCCACGCCCATTTCCTCGCGCTCGGCGTGGTTGATCAGGTCTTTCAGAGCTTCAAGCAGATCACCGAAGAAGTCCTGGTTAATGAGGTGAGCGTATTTCGCCAGACCCTCCAGCACGGGACCCATCAGTGCGGGAATGCGGAGCTTGAGAATGCGGAAATAGAGTCCAAATACAAGCTTTAGTGTTTCGGCCTGGTTCTTGTCTCTTTGTTCGTGCGATACCACTGCCTCCGCTTGTGACATATCCTTCTCGACTTCCTTACGCTCCTTTTGAATCTTGCGCTCTCGCTTCGTGCGGAATTCGCGCTTTTGCTTGGGCTTCTTGCCGTGGGGTTTTTCTTCTTCTTCCCGGTCTACTCGGTCCCGGGACGCCTTCAAATGGAACTCGCCAAGCAAACGAAGATGGAGGAATGTGTCCAAGACAGTGGGGTGAATGTGGAAGTCTCTGGCCTTCAACATCTTTGCTAGCAGACGAACAGCTTCGAGGGAAACGGTTCCATCGTCATCTTTGGCGAAAATCTCCTCCATGGTTTCGCGGCACTTAACATAGTCGGCATCAAGCTGTCTCCGTGCAAGGCGGTTCACCAAGATCTTCAGAAGCTCGCTGCGGAAGTTGAAGTGTGGCACCGCCAAGAGCATAGTGCAAGCCATCGAAATCGCGAAGCTCCTTAGTCCAGGATCTGTGGGAGCATCTCCTTTGGCTGGCTTTACAAGCGTGGCAAGCTTCTGGACGTAGGCTCGATATCCTGATACGAGTGACTGTTCGAAATCTCGGAGCTTGCGCACTTCTTTTGATACTCTGCCGGCCTGGTCGTCTTCGCTCAACGGACGAATGCGGTATCCGGGGATGACATCCTTGTAGACAGCCGCCTGTGAAGCCAGAGCCAGCTTCTTAACTGTGATAGGTGTGTTTTTCTTCGACACCATCTCGGCCATTGTCTTGAACAGAGAGATGTGCTCCTCGGGATCCTCGTTGATCAGGGTTGCCATCTTCGCCAAGTCTTCCTTTGCCTGCAAGATTTGTTGCTTTAACGGGATCTTAGGTGCTTCTTCCTCGGATTCTTCTCCATCCTCCTCCTCATCCCCAGAGCCATCCTCCTCGTCATCATCGGTACCCAGGAAGCTGTCGGTTTCTTCGCCCTGGTCTTGAGATTGGGCTTCAGCCTGGACGAAGCCTTCAGGTGTTTTGATCGGCAATCGTGCGTTCTCGCCGGCTTTCTTCGTGTTTTTGCGTGGGCGGCATTCGTAGTCTTGCTCAACATCCCACTCTTGGCCGGATCTGGAGCGCGATGAGGATTTCTCAACGTCTGCTGGAGGACTCAATCGTCTCCGCTTCACTTCTGGGCCACGCGCCATTTTGTAATTGCAAATTAGGGGAATTGACGGTGAAATTTGCGGAGAATAGTAAAAGATCTTTAGAGTGAAAAGGCGGTCCCGAAAATTCTAGGCGGAAAGTCAATAATCGCTCTGATTGGCTCTTGATATCCGTTCCATCGCTATAAATTTCAGGTCCGCTTCTGAGCGGTGAGATATTGCCCGACTTTGGTTTTTTTCTTGTTCCTCACTTCCCGCAATATACAAGCTCGCTGCTAATTCAATCTTTTTGCTATATCTTCAGCTTCATATCTGCCAATATGAGATCCCTCACAGAAGTGCGTACTAGTCCGATGACCATTGACTGCTTTGACTAACCCATACGACATTTGTAGGAAGAGACACGGACGCTTTTCACAAAGCTAGCTTCCTATACCGGCCGCAGTCTCAACACTCTTATTGCCCCCGCCGAAGATGGAACCCAGAGTGTTTTCCGTTTGCAAGGATCCCGGGTGTACTATGTGAACAAGGATATTGCCAACCTGAGCGTTTCATTTCCTCGCGACGGTAAGCTTTGGTTCGGCTTCGTGATGTATCATACTAACAATACCAGTCCTCCTGTCTTGCGGTACTATGATTGGCAAGTTCACTAAGGTGTGTACCATTGCCTCTGCTGCCATTTTGCCCAGTGATACTAATAGTCTGGTAGACGGGCAAGTTCCGCATCAACCTGACAGCTCTCGATCTCCTGGCGCAACACGCCCGCTACAAGGTCTGGATCAAAGCCAATGGAGTTATGGTAAGCTTGTTCCTACTTCCAATACTCTCCAACATCCTTGCTAACAAGTTTTAGCCTCTGCTCTACGGCGGTTCGGTTTTGAAGGCCCATGTGGCCAGATTCAGGTTGGTTATCCTTTCAATGACTATCCCTTTGCGATAACTAACGACTCTAAAGTGAGGACGTTGCCGAGAACCAAGGAATTGTAATCTTTGACAGCAACGACGTTCCCCTGGGATTCGGAGTTACAGCAAGATCATCCGCGCAGATCGCAAAGTTGGATCCTACCAGTATCGCGATCCATCGTCAGGTAGGTGGAGCTCTGATCTAACTTTTACTTACATTGGCTAACTCAAACGAACAGGCGGATGCAGGAGAGTACCTTAGAGAGGTGAGTTTTGTCTATCTTCATATTCTCTACCAGATTGCTAACATCTATATCAGGAGGATACCTTGTTCACAACCTAAGCATATTCGACATGACACCGAATCTTACATTTTTGCACCTCGCAAAAGGCGTTTGGGAGTTTTACCTGATCTATTTGATCTTACAAAAGTTGTACTTTTTATCATCGAATCTTGTGCTCATTGCTTCTAATGTGATGAATTGATGGCAAATGTTGACCAACAACTTCTCTGTAATGGTTACTATATGAAATACATACTCTGAATACACACAAATCCATGTCCAATGTAATGGGAATCAATAACCCCCAAATCTATTTATGGATGTAGTGTAGTTGATATAGGACTTTTTGGGCGACATGATGAGTAAGCACGCCATCAAATATCATCCAACCTTGGAAAAGCGGATGATAATTCACTACAGACCTCATAGCACTAGTGTTTCTTATATCGCCGAGGTCGAAGAGAAGTCCCGCGACGCCGGCCCTATAAACAAGGTTCTCCAGCGTGCTTCCCTAAACTTCTTCCCTTTCTCCCCACGCAGTGGGCACAAATATCACCAACCCCCACCATGCCACTCTACACAACCTCCCAGAAACACCAAATTGCGGAGTTCATCAACTGTACACGGACAAAAGAGTCCGTTGCCGTTAAAGTAAGTGACTTATATGTTCGGACATGTTCTCCCCTCCATTTGAATATCCCAAAACACTTCCATTCAGTCACGTGGATCAAAGGACTAACTTTCTACTATAGTTTCTGAAATCATCTGGCTGGAGTTTACCTCCTGCCCTTGACGCGTAAGTACTTGTCATCACTTGTACTGAATTTTGTGTTTGATTTCGGTTTGTCTCCAACTTCTGCCTGGACATGTATTGAGTTCAAGATACCAGGCAGATAGAGCATCAAAGCTCCAACATCTGTTCTGTTTGCAAGATTTATTAAAGTCTCACTTGGAGGAAATCTCGATCACTCACTTCATCATCCATCATCCCAAATGCCTCGAGTCAAGAAGACAAAGAAGAAGTGCTTGCCATTTCCTTACCTCACCATCTCCGCCAAAATCATACATCGATCACGCTTGAAACACCCCGAAGCTAAACATTCTCTTTGAAATAGGTTCTTCGCCGCTGCGGCTGGCACCTCCGCTACCATTACCTCAGAACTTACAAAGATCTTCGAAAGCTACCGAGGTACGTACCCACTCCTGACTGGTGATTTTGATACAGAAATACTCACATCTCCCAGATGACCCTGTGGACAGCCCAGATACCATCGGTATCACCCGAGCCATAGAATTCCTAGGCGATCTGAAAGTCGAGCTCGATGAAGTCACCTGTCTAGCCATCGCCGAGCTCCTCCAATCACCATCAATGGGCGAATTCACCCGCGAAGGATGGATGGAAGGCTGGCTGAAAGCTCCGTAAGTGCCAAAGAATCCGCGTCAAAGATCAAATCCGATCTAACAACCCGCAGTTGTGACACAATGCCAAAAATGCAAGCCTATGCCAAGTCCCTTCGGGAGAGAATTCCCCAAGAACCCGAGACTTTCAGACGAGTTTACAGATATGCATTCCCGCTCTCGCGAATGCAGGGACAACGCAATCTCCAATTCGAAATTGCTGCTGAGCAATGGCGGCTCTTCTTCACTACTGACCATGGAGGTGTGGCGTGGAATACGGAGACGACGCCGTGGCTGGATTGGTGGATTGAGTTCCTTGAGGAGCGCGGGAAGAAACCTGTTAATAAGGATCTGTGGGAGCAGGTTGAGGTGTTTATGCGGAAGAGTCTGGAGGATGAGGAGATGGGTTGGTGGAGTCCTGATGGGGCTTGGCCTGGTGCTCTGGATGACTTTGTTGCTTGGGTTCAAGCTAAGAGGGGGAAGGGATCGGAGATGGAGGTTGAATAAGGGGTGTATCTCTGATCCAATACTTATTCGTGAATGTTCTAGGATATGAGGGATTCGTTTCTTCTCGCTTCCAGATGGGCTGGGACATGGCTTGTGGCATAACGATCTACTTGAACCCATGTCCACTCACGACTTAATGCATTGTGTTATCCACTACCGTTCCTGTGTCTCGGGTTTTTAGTCATGATGAATTAATAATGGCCAAATGTGCCCGTTTTATGCCAAGGGAAATTGCATTTCTTTCGGTCATATCTATCCAAACTCATTTGTATATAGAAGTATAGATTGGCAGAAGTAGAAGCAGAGGTAGAAGCAGTGGTGTAACTAGGTCAAAGAGAAAAGAAAAAAACATATATAATACCGATCAAAGGTTGGTATTGAAATAAAATAGAGATATAAAGCCATTCATCATGAGACTGAGTGATAACATCAAGGGGAAGATATCTGCGGCAGATGCACGCGGGGTGTGTACATGGATTTAGATCAACACCGGAGAATAATAAACAAAGGAAATAGACAAATCAGTGACTGCAAACGAAGCAACGAGATTTAGACATCTCAGATGCATCGTATGTTTGTAGTCAATTGCGGACTCGGCCCATTTAAGGGAAGTCACGCTTCTCGTAGCCGGGGTCGCGACGCTGGTCGTAACGCTACCAAGTTGTTAGAAATCAAGTCGCAATTTGTCGAGATTTCATTGAATCATACCTTCCGGAGAGCTTCCAGACGCTTCTTCTTGGTGTGGGTGTTGACGTAGGTTCCAATGAAGAATCCAACAATGTTGAAGAAGGGCACCCAGGCGTGCTCGGGGAGGAACTTCTGAGCAAAGGCCAAACACAGGGGCGAGGTGACCCAGCTGACCTTCATGACGGGCATGAAGCCAGCCTTAACGGTAGCGCGAACCTGGTGGATGGTGCGCGCGCCGGCGATAACAGCCATGGAGCTGAGGTAGACGGTGTTCTGGATAGGGGAAATCTGTGGAACGGGGGTATTAGCGGATGTCGCGCGTAATGAGGTGATCGGACACGTACAATCAGATTGCTAACGAGGATCTGGAGGATCTTGGCCTTGAGACTTGTGCGGCCGGCGAAGATCTTCTGCAAGATGCCAATGAGGAAGTGGCCGAGGGGCGCGCTGATGAACATTCCGTACAGCGACATCTTGGGGATGCGCGAGCTGAAGTAGTGACCGTGCTTGCCGACATCGTGGGCGATCCATGAGGCCAGCAATTCCTGGAGACCGGAGAGCACACCAGAGGTGAGCATCTTGGTGCGCAGCGGGTTCTTCTGGAGTTGGAGGAGGTAGGCCTGACGATCCATTCCCCGGATTAGTATTGGTTCAATAATATGTAGTATTCGGGGGCGCTGCATACCTGGAGATATCCGGAGGCTGTCTTTCCACCGGTCAATCGCTCACCGACACGGTGCACGATGTCTTCGGACTTGCCGCCGCCCGTGACTGTACGGACGGTCTCCTCCTTAAACTTGACGGACATTGTGATCGGAGGGAGGAGGGTGCGAAGAAAGGAGTTAAGTTACGCTGGAATAAGTTAATTGCAAGTGATTAAGATGTAATGGATGATAAGATGCCAAGTGGAGAAATGGGAAGATGATGGGGGGATGAGACCTGGGGGGGCTTGTTTGTTTATGTTCACCCGAGGGTGGCTGGGCTGGGGGATATTGGACCGAGGCTTCTTAACTCACACAAAATGTCTATATTCGAGGGACACAGGGTAGAGTACAGAGTAGAATATAAAATAAATTATATCGGAAGAATACATCCAGGAAATACAGACGGCTATGAACAATCGGCAGATGGATCCGCGGCGATATCCATTGGCGGAGTACATCGGAAACCTCCGACGGCTTTTGATGGGGGCGTTTTCCTTTCCCCTTTAAGGGTTGAATGTTGAATATTATATGTTGTACGGGGTACAGAGTACAGAGTACATATAACTACATATATATTCTTTTCAATCTCAACAGAAATTCACTGTTTGTCATTTTTGGGGCTTTCATGGTCACGGGACACTTCAAGACTATGTAGACATCCGAATTGTTCTTTGTATGCTATTTGACTTGGTTATTCAACATTGGACTAAATAAATTAATATGTGGAAATTGTGAGTGTCAATCTGCTACTACAGGCTTGGGAAAGGAGGAATCCTTGATTCAATCTATGAAAAAAAGAGTATTTCTACCCCTGGAATATGGCCAATTGCTGTCTGTTAGCATTGAGACATTAGATCATTCAACCAGATGGCAATGTACACAAAGAGTACAACATACACATGTACATCAGTGGATACATTCTATGCATAGAATTTGCCCATGGACTACATCTGGGCATCTTGGTGTCTATCACCCCAATCTCTAGCCTATTACCCCTTTCTGTTAAAGCCCTAAAAAGAAGTCAGCAGAACCACCGTATCCCTATGTTGTTGCAATACATAACATAACATAATCTGCTAACAGTTGAGCAGATATAAAGCAAGTAGCTGTGCCACTTTAGCTTGTCATAGCTTGAGTCTAATCACCATGCGGCACATGATATTCAGAGGAATGCATAGCCCAGCAAGCAAAACCCGGGCAATGTTATACCTAGGAGAATGTATCCAAGAAATGATGATTCCAGTCTCAGGCATGGAAAGCCGCAGAGGAGGACTTCGGTGCGCTCTGTGTGATGTAAAATGCGCTCCATGAGAAGGTTCACACGGCCGCAAAGGAGGACTTCACTATCATCGATGGGCTGTGGTGTAAACCGTATATTCCGACGAGAGGCAATGCTCTATTGGAAGCCTCGCGCGGCTGCATAAAATCCTAGCCAACACGGAGGGTAAGCCAGCCCGGTTGGTCGTCGAGGACTGCCTGATCTGCAAGCCATCAACCGGCGAACGCGACGACTCAGCGACGACTCAGCGACGACTCAGCGACGACTCCGCGATGGCGACTCTGCGACGGCGACTCCGCGATGGCGACTCTGCGACGGCGACTCCGCGATGGCGACGGACGACTCAGAGAACGAGGGGTCCCGGAAACTTGAGCAGATCGTCAACTCCCCATCCTTTTCATCCTTTCATCCTTTCCATCCATCTTCCTTTCCATCCATCTTCCTTTTATCCAATCTCCTTGTTGTTTCAACATCATTTCATCTGCTTCATCATTTGAAGCACATCAAGATATCACTCCGGCCACGGCTGAAGTATCAATCACTATCCCAGTGTGTAAGCCTTCCGGCAGCACGCCGAGACCTCATCTCTTGCACACCCAAACACAGCAACGTACTTCCCGGCATCCAGCCGGGTGTAATATCAAACCTCTTTCCCGCGTGTAGACCATCTGACAACACGCCGGTAAGACCTCACCTTCCATTCTTTCATTCTCATTCCCATTCACAACACTCCCATCTCTGTCGGGTACGAGACAACCCGACGTGACATCAATCATGTCTTTGCGTCGCTTCATCAAGAAGGTGCGTAACCGTGCCAGATTCCCAGCTGAGTCCGAGGCTCAAGACTCGCAGCCTGAAGAATGGCACCCTCAAATTTCGACGACGTTCTCCACCGAGGGACTTCATGGTGATTCAGTCCCATTGCTTCCACGCCCGGCTGAGTCCGAGGCCCAAGACTTGCAGCCTCAAGACCCGCAACCTCAAGGGCCGGCAACATTCACCACCGAGGGACCTAATGATGATTCAATCCCATTGCTGCCACCCCCGGCTGAGAGCAGTCCTGTTCTTCCAGTAAGCCCTCGTCGCAGACATTATCGTGATATCATTCGACGATTCTTCTCATTCCGCCGCCGCAGAAGTTCTGAGCCCGCCAGTCGCCAAGCCGACCTTGATGCAATCTTGGCGAATCTTGAACTCGCCGCTGCTGGGCTTGAGCGTGAACCCGCCAGTCGCCAAGCCGACCTTGATGCAATCTTGGCAAACCTTGAGCTCGCCGCTCGCGAGGCTGGACTTGGGCGTGAATTCGCCGTTTGGCTTCACCACCCCGACCTTGATGTAGCCGTGGTGAATCTTGAACTCGACAATCGCCATGTTCAGCCTAACTATGAAGCGCTCGATCATCTTGAGAATCTGCTCGCCAGTCGCGCGGCTAGGCCCAACCCAGCAATTCTCGATGATGACACTCTTCAGTACTTAGATGACGAGTCGGACCTCCGATACCTCCCGTCGCTGGATATCGAGTTCGATCGCATCCAGTATGACCCTGAGACGATGAGAGGATTTGAGGATGTGTTCGCCCGCCAGGAGGCTAGAGACCGCCAGGCAAATGCCGAGAGTCGTGCCGGCCGTGAGGCCGGCTCCAGGTGATGAAGAACCTTCCTTGCGCACCTCCTGCGAGCGACTCTTCGGAGTTTAGCGATGACCAGGAGGGCGCAGTATATATATATAGTTCTCACTTGCCTACTATTACATTAACAGGGGGGGAAGCCGGGGTGAGGAAGAGGTGGAGGTGAGGTGAGGCGACAGTCAGGTGGAGGTGAGCGGGAAGTGAGGGAGCATGTGAGAGAAGGGTGGAACTCAGATTCCACATGTGAGAGTTGGGGAGTTTCCCCTAAAAATGAAGATTTTCCAAGTATGATTCCAAATAAAAGATCATGATCCCTAGAAATATGTAAGTTCTAGAGTGATTGATATTAGATTATGTATTCCGCACCCACACCCGGGGGATACACACCCGTATGTGCATGTATAGAACTAGGTCAATTGGATTAAGGTATCAAGATACACCATTTCCATGCGAAATTATAATAATAAATTTGCATGGCCTATGTGTACATATATTATAATTTAGTTATACTAGCTCATATATATAATAAAGATATATATTGTTCAAACTTGTATATAAATTAAACCAATCTAACTATGGCCTGCCCAGCATGGCGATGACTAAAATGCGGGATGGCCCTCGGAGATTAGATCGAACTTCCTTTAGCCTCGGTTCCATGCGGTGCTGTTCCACGCGATTTCGCCCAACTTCATTTTATTTCTCTCTTTCTCATGTTCATCGTTCATAATGGCCGACCCTGAACGCCCAGAGTCGACTGAGGTCCAGGGGAAAGCACCCACCCGGAGCTTATGCGCGAAGCGACAGCTGTTGGCCGCATTAACAACAACCGATGTGACAATTCGCCGACTGAATCTGTAAGGCCTCTTTCGATCCAGCCATACTAGGTCGAGAACTCGGTGCACGACGCGGTTCAAGAATATTGCTAACTGCTCCCGTAGACTACTCTCCGAGGCGAACGGACAAGAACGAGTACTAGCAACTGTCAACTATGTCGCCTCAATGCTTCACCACCTCACTGCATCCGCACCCTGGATAGCATTACAAACAAGGCTGGGTCTCCTTGCACGACTGAAGGGTCGTGTACCCAAAAACGTCACTCCCGCATCATCAAACTCCAAATTCATGGCTCTTTCCTCCCTCGCATCGGAGACGAGATATAACTTGCGCCTGTTTGGACTGCTCCCTCTGTGGATCTGGGGAGCTGAAACTCTCAAATCGCCCCCGGCCGACCCCATTCTCCACGCTTTGACCGTCCTGCAGGTCATTTCGAACGTTATTTACCAACTTCTCGAGAACGTGGGCTACCTTGCTTCCAAGGGGGTTGTCTCGAAGCGCTTCGTGGACAAATACGGAGGCGTGGCCAAATGGGAACTCTGGAGCACTCGTGGATGGTTCGGACACATCTTCTTCCAGTTCTTCGTGCTCTGGCGTCAGAGTGTGCTGCGCAGACAGCGGTTGGCTGCGCAGCGAGCGGCTGCTGGCACGGTCGAAACTAAAGAGACCAAGGCTGAGGATAGCGAGTCACTACGTTTGGAGGTCCGAGCTTGGCGAAAGAGCTTGGTGAACAATGTCTTCTGGGCACCCTTGTGTCTGCACTGGTCTGTTGAGCAAGGCATCGGTATTCCCGCTAGCCTAACTGGACTTATCAGCTTCTGTGCTGGAGCTTGGAGTCTCCATGACTGTTGGGCTGGAACCGCAACTGTCAAGGCATAACTCGATATTGGATTCCTAGCGATCCTCGGCCTTTGCCCTTCGTTTCTTATCTGTACAAATCTACTCTTACTTGCACATATACCTGATGTTGAGAGCGCACGTGGTTTATTGTTGGCTTTGCATTTCATATGTCTAGATTAAGCTTTTTGGAATATAAACGTGCCTTGGTGCATTCGTTCTGCTAGTTCTAGCAGCTGGCGTTATTTCGGTCTAAGCTTTTATCGTATGTATGAGTAAATATATCATTTCTTTTAAGTGTACGACCTTCCCACCCTTTGAGCGTTCGCACAAACCAAGTAGGTCTCCATACAAGGTCTCGGGAGATTCAACATTGTCCGGCATTGTTTCTGTGGTGGCAAGTATGGACTCATTGCTTATGAATCCTTAGTCTCGGGGCTGGGGAAGTGCACCATGACATTCTTGTTTGCCATTCAGAGTTCATAGGAATTCCAAGATATTTTCGCCTGAATGTATTATTGTTAGGACCTTGATAACCATATTTACTGTAACAACTAATTGTGGCCGTTGCCCCAGGCATCAAGGCTTCCCAATCGACTGAGTTCCATGCGCTTCGTTGTGGCGGACAACGGCGATGACATAAGCGGTGGGCTTAAGTCATCATCATCAGAGGTACCCGTGGACCTGGGAAGCTCAACATCATCATTCCTGTTACCTACCTCTATCTCTACTTTGCCGCAATCGGATTCCCTCGCTGATTCTGGTCTATCGGTTCTTTTTCATTTTCTGTACTCATTTCTCGTTCCCTTTTAAATCTGCGTCTCGCTCCGCCTGTTCTTGGGCATTGGACACCTTTGTTCATTCAAGCTTGCTTTCATCAACTTCACGACCTCGTTTACGGCCATCATGTCTTCTGAGCCGGATCACACGCACGACAAGAAGAGGGTCCTGAAGTATGTTTATTTTGAACACTTTTGATTATTGACTACGCTAACTGAACCCCAGGGACGGCTCTGGCGCCGAGCAGAAGGAGGTAAGCATAGGCTGCAGGACAGCTCACGAAAGCCTTGTAACTGACGAAAAATGCAGGAACTCGATACCTCCACGGCTATCTTGAAGAAGAAGAAGAAGCCCAACTCCTTGATGTGAGTAGCTGATAAGAGATATCTGTCTTGGGAGCAAGAAGCTAACAGTTTTCAGTGTGACTGATGCCGTTAACGATGATAACTCGGTGATTGCTCTCTCGAACAACACCATGGAGACTCTCCAGCTTTTCCGTGGTGATACCGTTCTCGTTAAGGGCAAGAAGCGCAAGGACACCGTGCTGATTGTCCTGGCTGATGACGATCTCGATGATGGAAGCGCCCGCATCAACCGTGTTGTGCGTCACAACCTTCGTGTCAAGCACGGCGACATGATCACTGTGCACCCTTGCCCCGATATCAAATATGTAAGTCGGGTATTTCCACGTCATTTTACTATGGTCTATTGGCTAATCTTATCTTCGTGGTCCAGGCCAAGCGCATTGCTGTCCTTCCCATCGCTGATACCATCGAGGGCTTGACCGGCTCTCTCTTCGATGTCTACCTTGCTCCCTACTTCCGCGAGGCCTACCGACCAGTCCGACAGGGTGACCTGTTCACAGTACGAGGTGGTATGAGACAAATCGAATTTAAGGTTGTGGAGGTCGACCCTCCCGAATACGGCATTGTTGCCCAGGACACAATTATTCACTGCGAGGGCGAGCCCATTCAACGAGAGGATGAGGAGGGCAACCTCAACGAGGTTGGCTACGATGATATTGGTGGATGCCGCAAGCAGATGGCTCAGATCCGTGAATTGGTCGAGTTGCCTCTCCGTCATCCCCAGTTGTTCAAGTCCATTGGTATTAAGCCGCCTCGTGGTATTCTCATGTACGGTCCCCCTGGTACCGGTAAGACCCTGATGGCTCGTGCTGTTGCCAACGAGACTGGTGCTTTCTTCTTCCTGATCAACGGTCCCGAGATCATGTCTAAGATGGCCGGTGAATCCGAGTCAAACCTGCGCAAGGCCTTCGAGGAGGCTGAGAAGAACTCCCCCGCTATTATCTTCATTGATGAGATCGACTCCATTGCCCCCAAGCGTGATAAGACCAACGGTGAGGTCGAGCGCCGTGTTGTTTCCCAGCTGCTCACCCTCATGGACGGTATGAAGGCCCGTTCCAACGTTGTGGTCATGGCCGCTACCAACCGTCCCAACTCCATTGATCCTGCTCTTCGTCGTTTCGGCCGTTTCGATCGTGAGGTTGACATCGGTATTCCCGACCCAACTGGCCGTCTTGAGATCATGCAGATCCACACCAAGAACATGAAGCTTGGTGAGGATGTCGACTTGGAGACCATTGCCGCCGAGACCCACGGTTACGTCGGTTCTGATCTTGCTTCCCTCTGCTCTGAGGCTGCTATGCAGCAGATTCGTGAGAAGATGGATCTCATTGATCTCGATGAGGACACCATTGATGCCGAGGTTCTTGAGGCTCTCGGTGTCACCATGGAGAACTTCCGTTTCGCCCTTGGTGTCTCCAACCCCTCTGCCCTCCGCGAGGTTGCTGTGGTCGAAGTCCCCAACGTTCGCTGGGACGACATTGGTGGTCTCGAGGAAGTCAAGCGCGAGCTTGTCGAGAGTGTCCAATACCCCGTGGACCACCCCGAGATGTTCCAGAAGTTCGGTCTCTCGCCTTCTCGCGGTGTGCTGTTCTATGGTCCTCCTGGTACTGGTAAGACCATGTTGGCCAAGGCTGTTGCCAACGAGTGTGCTGCCAACTTCATTTCCGTCAAGGGCCCTGAGCTTCTGAGCATGTGGTTCGGTGAGTCTGAGAGCAACATCCGTGACATCTTCGACAAGGCCCGTGCTGCTGCTCCTTGTGTCGTCTTCCTTGACGAACTGGACTCCATCGCCAAGTCTCGTGGTGGCTCCGTCGGTGACGCCGGTGGTGCCTCCGACCGTGTTGTCAACCAGCTTCTTACTGGTAAGTTTCCGCTGTTACGTTCTTTTCTTTTTGCTCTGAATATCTACTAATGCCCCTAACAGAGATGGATGGTATGACTTCCAAGAAGAACGTTTTCGTCATTGGTGCTACCAACCGTCCCGAGCAGCTCGATGCCGCTCTGGTCCGTCCTGGTCGTCTTGACACCCTGGTCTACGTTCCCCTTCCTGACCAGGAGTCCCGTGAGGGTATCCTCAAGGCTCAGCTTCGCAAGACTCCTGTCGCCGGTGACGTCGACATTGCTTTCATTGCCAGCAAGACCCACGGCTTCTCTGGTGCCGATCTTGGCTTCGTGACACAGCGTGCCGTTAAGCTTGCCATCAAGCAGGCCATCTCCCTCGACATTGACCGTCAAAAGGAGCGCGAGGCCGCCGGTGAGGATATCACCATGGGCGATGAGGAAGAGGAAACGGAGGATCCCGTGCCCGAGCTCACTCGCGCTCACTTCGAGGAAGCCATGAAGTCTGCCCGTCGCTCTGTCAGCGATGTTGAGATCCGCCGTTACGAGGCCTTCGCCCAGAGCCTGAAGAACACTGGAGGCGGCAGCTTCTTCCGCTTCCCATCTGCTGGTGAAGTCCAGGAGAATGATACCTTCGGCGAAGCCGGCAATGACGACAGCCTCTACGATTAAACGCTTTTGCTTCGAGGTGATATGACTTGTTTTTCTTTGGTTCAGATATGCCTGGATTTCTGCGCTTCGATTCGCTTATGAATAGATCGTTTTTCGTGGAGATGCAGGCCTGCTGGGCTTTCATAGGGTTTCCTTTTTGTTTCTTCCTGTTTTTGCCCACATACAATGTGCCATAATAGCCAATACAGGTGGAGAAATCTCTACGTTTATCAATGTTCTTGTAGGTATGAAATGTAATGTTGATACACAATTAAGGTCCCAATACTTCCAATAATATTCACATATCCATCTATATTGTATAGACATTTGTTATACTCTTTAAAATGATATGCCGAGATCTATGTATAAATTTCGGGACTTCAACTCGGCCCTAATCCCGAGATCTCCACTTTTATTTTTCGGTTCTTAGTTGAGGCCGAGAGCGAACGTGGGAACTGGCGGAAATGTCGTGCTTTGACTGGTCGATTTGTTACGTTGGAGTTCTGGCCATTTGTAATTCGGCCCGTAAGTGGATATCATGGTAATATGGACATAGTAGATATCTAAGTTGATCAGGTGCCCTATGAAAAGAAAGCTGTTATTGGCTTTACCGGTATGACGCCACTTAGAATAACTCTTTTAGGAAACGCATCTCGGAGATTGTGTATATCACGGATATAGTGGAGGAACGAACGACCGATATTACATTCTAGCGAATGAATTGGGTCTCCACATCTGTTTTTTTTTTTTTTTTAATATCATGCTTTGAAATATTTAGCTCGGGGTTTTGGACAGAAGGAGAAAAACATGTCGGTATATTTGTGGTCCCTGGAGCCATATAGTCCCTCGAGAGGTTCTTTCCCAACACGGTTTTCTCTCACCTCCCACACCTAGGTCTTGCTCATACACCTACATAGTATCTATATACTACATAGGTATTGCAACCATGAATTCTCAAGCATTTGACTCAGGCACAACTACGCCTCGCCTCAGCATGGAACATGGTTCCATCGATGTAGGTGCCGCCAATACATTGCACGAGAAGAGCGAACCAGACGTCGAGAGCGCGATCGAAACCCCACGAAAGCCCGATGACTCCAATAAGGATCCCAACCTTGTCGACTGGGATGGAAAAGACGACCCCGAGAACCCCCAGAACTACAGTAATCTGCGCAAATGGGTCATCACATTGACTATGTCCTCCATGACAGTGTGGATCACCTTTGCGTCCAGCGTCTTTTCAACTGCAACCCTGGTGACTGCGAAGGAGTTCAATGTGTCGACTGAAGTTATGGTTCTCGGTACCAGTCTGGTTGTTTTCGGTTTCGCTCTAGGTCCTCTGTGCTGGGCACCGTTGAGTGAGCTATACGGTCGTCGCATTCCACTATTCTCTGGCTACGCCATCTT